GCCTTTTGCAACCTTCCACTACACTTAATGGTTCTAGCCAGCACATGTTCCCAAAACTATGTTTTCTAGGTTTACTCTCCCAAGGAAAAAAAATCAGATTAGTTCCTACCAAACCTCTTTTTGGTTGATGACTCTAGTCATCTCGACTATGTGACATTAGCTAGTCATCTAGTCATCTCAACTAAAATTAAATTATCAAAGAGTAATGTTTTTACTGTTGAGCCATTCATTAGCTAGCCACATGGATTAAGAGCGAGGTGATTTGATCCTTTATATTAATTACCTTTTTTGCGGTTTTGTGTATTTCCTGAGATGAATTTGATGAGATAAGAAAGAGAGACGAGGACTACCAAATCATGTTAGTGCCTCCTAAACCTCTTATAGTCTGATGGCTCTAGACATCTCGACTATGTCACGTAGTAAATTAAAATATCAAAAAGAAATATTTTTATTGTTCAGTTCTTGATTAGTTAGTCACATTGATCAAGGAGGTAAATTGGCCGTTTATAATCCTCACTCTTTTGCCTATTTTGTCTATTCAGGATAACTTTTTAAGATGAATTTGATGAGGTAAGGAAGAGAGACAATGGCACACCATTCTTGAGCTGTTCAACCATACCCTGACCTACAACTATTTTGGAATCACAATTCTTCTTCCACTAGTCTCATCCCAAGAATAAAGTTGATTTCAAAAGATTGATAGCCTTACAACATAGAGTCCATATTTTTGTAATCATCCACTAGATTTAGGGCTCTCTAACAATCTATTATAAATTCATTTCCATCCAAGAGACTAGTGTAATACATTTATTATACCAAATGGTTTAAAATTTCATGATTGTATCTAAGAAATTATGAAGCCAAACATTGCAAAACAGAAAATCAATCTCTAAACAGTTGAAACCCTTCACCATTCCTTGACAAGCCAATATCTTCACATATAAAGAGAACAATTTATGAAGTATTCCTTAAATAGATGTTTGAGGCTAATTCAGTTGAAACAAATCAAACTCCTCATAGGTTATAAATGTTGTTATACTAGCATAAAAATGAATTAAAATAATCAAAACTCTGAAGACATCTTCTGAAACTTTTTGCATCCTCACATACACTTAGGCTTACAATTAGTCATCCATAGTACTTGTCTCCAACATGACCGAAGAAAATTTTAGTACATAACATTTTTGCATACATGAAACGTGCTTATTAGTTTAAAATTCCTTTTCTTCTTTGAAAGATTTTTGAGAACATTTGAAAGGTTACAAACTAAACCAGTATGTTTTGTTCCCATTATTCGACTCTTTTATCATATGTCACTTTGACTTGTGCACAAGAGTTACTTGAATATTTTACCCCTCATGTTGAGATTTTTAACCTGCCTACGGTTCTTAGTTTCAACCATCATAACCCCCCTTGTTGAAAAAGCTTCATGCAATCGAACTACTAAATGTCTCTTCATTCTCATGCTCATTAAGTCTCCCAATGTTTCCGTTTGTATCACATTTCACCAACATAAATGAGGGAAATATAGAATCTGAGTATCACAAGTTCGCACCCCGTCACTGACCCTCTCTCCCCTCATCCCCTTGCTCTTTATCTCTTTCAGGCTGTGTGCGTTTTAGGAGAATATTGCACGCAACTATACTTCAACTTTGAAGGTGGTAATGATATGCGACACTCTTTTATGAACCGGTTTTCATCTGTATTTAAGCATGATCTCATACTTCTTTCCTGTTCTAGGCCGATTTATATGAGCTTACTAATATTTTTATCTTTTGTTTCAAGGCTGGAAAAAGGATGCTTAAGTCACATAGGTTACGTCTGATCATTGCTGATGAAAGATTACTCTACATAGTATGTTGTGCTCATCCGAATGTTTGATTGGATGAAGGTGAGTCTTGGCCATAATGTAAAGACAATCCCATCTAATTGAAGGTTTTAAAATCCGAGATTAGCATCTACATGGGAATATTCTCTAGCCGGTTCCTCCCTGTCACGTTGCAAATGCCCTTCGATATTGTACTGCCTGGCATATGATACTACTTTCTGATTCTAGAAGGGACAGACTTGGAGGCTTTGACAACCACAATCCAGTGCTAACCTGGGGATTTTCAAAATTTCTACCGAAAAAGATAAAAGGGAAATCTAGAAAAATAATTCAAGTTACTCCCAGCTAGTCGTTGTCGCCGTTCGAGAACTCAATTATTTTTCTGATTACATCGTTAGTTCAAGTTTTCATACGGTTTGTCAGTTAGTTTTGCGGTCTTTTCTTTACAGAGGAGTATTACAAGTTTAAAAGAGACGTATCAGCTTCGTCAGTTAATTTATTATCATTTGTGGATGGTCTTCTTGACCTGATACATTGAAACAGCGCTGGGGTTGAATGTCGATGAAAGCATTCACGTTTCTATCTTTGAGAAGAAGACAACAAGTAATCTATCGAGACTTGGGTCCCACATTCATTCAAGTACATCTGAAGGACTTTCCTGACGAACATTTGCCCCAGAATCATAAGCTATTGTTAGGTGTTACCTCTAAACCTCTACTTTTAAGAAATTTGCATAGACTGTGACGAGACGGCGACATTGAACCCCCCCAACCTCCGGGGGAGTGAACAAGTGTGATTGATTAACCTAAATATTAATATATATATATATGTAATATTGAGGCTGATAATATGTAAGCTTGAATAGAATATATATGTGAAATGCAAATCTTAATATATGCTCATTCTGAAAGAAATTTGATATTTTTTGAGGCTCAAGGGTGAATGCAGAAATCCGAACAGTCACCTCCAGTACTTATTCACTTCTTCCCTTTTGCTCTTATTTTCCCTCACGACCCGAGTCGTCTCACCATTCCTATATCACATAAATGATATCGCCACAAGACCACAGAAAGACTAAAGTTATTGATACCAAACAAGGTCACAAGTTTGTTCACGTGAGGGACTGCAACTTTCTTGGACGGCTCTCTGCTAGTTATCCCAAATTTTCGCTAACAACCATAACAACATTCAAAACAAATTCAGCCGATTGCGATTTGGCACCTCCTGTAGCTGTTTCTCCATCCATGCTAGAAGCCAACCAGAAAGAAAAACAGACAAGAAGAATGGATGATAGGTACAAAATATTTATAACGACTGACGAAAGAACGTGGTATATATTGTAACCAAGCATGTGTTATAGGCAATATCATGAACATAAACTATGGGCAATCGGTTCAAAAGAAAAAATCATTCGTAACACAGATAAATATAATTTTTAAATGATTGGAACAAACGAAATTATATTATTTCCTAAGCTTCATAGTTAGTGGTAATTATTTTTATTTTTATAGGTTAATAAAAAACTTGAATGTTGCCTACGAAATCACTCATAATACACAGCCTAAAAGTCAGCGAAACCATAGATAGAGTTCGGAAGAATACTTTTTTTACAGAAAATAAAATGATACAGTTTTTTTTTATGAATGGACTGGTCAAGTTTTTCAGTTCTTGTTCCCGTTTTATACAGAATTATATAAGTACTCTTATAAAATCTAACAAAACACTATATAACTGTAATGACAGGGAGGAATCTGATCAGAATGAACTCCTTTCACTCTATAGCCATATGATTAGGCTTATATGTCAACAATAGCGGCATACCGTCAAGTCCATGTGCTCTTCCAAAAGGAAATGAGATGAGAGAATCAATTTCTTCGTTTCCAAGGTGTCATTGAACTCATGCCATATATTTAAACCTTATCTTAAATCATACATTAATGGATACATCAAAAACACTTGAAGCTTCCTCATCATATGATTTCTGAGAATTATAAAATATTAGTAACACTAGGACAAACAACATGGCATATGATAGTTTATAGAGCTTAAGCTATATTCACCTTGTTAGTTTAAGAATATGCATGCATAACTAGCAATCGGTAATAACTACTTGGTTCTCAATCTTCAGGACTCCTGAGTTCATAATATATTAGTGGAGTGACATAAAACTAATTTGACCAAAACTCATGTTGGATTTCAAAGAATGCCCAATTTTCACTTTATCTTTATCTTACCATCAGAATTCATACACAGGGATTGGATTAGCTCTACTCAAGGGGTTGCCCAGATTACCCACCAACACACTTTGGATTCTCAATCAGTAAAGCCCTTAACTAAGCTAATATTGGTGAAAACCATGCATTTTTTTTCTTGAATGGATGATATGATACTATCGCTCAAGAAATTCTTATCTTAATGTCGAAAATTATTGCATTGGTTTTCTTCGACAAAATCCAGTTTCACAAGAATTAACTTTACATCACGTTCCGACAGAGAGAGAGAGAGAGAGAGAGAGAGAGAGAGAGAGCCAGACGAGCAGGGATTGAGTCGGACAAACTGAGAAACAGACAGACTGACTGACTGACTAAGAGAACGGAGAGAAAAACAATGAAATATCGAAATCGGTCACCATCAAAGCTACGAAGAATTTGTTTCGCCTTCGTCAAAACCTTTCAAGAATGTTGGCAAATCCTGTCTTCTAATTTAAAAGTGAAGGTTTTTGTCTTCATTTCCAGTTTGCGTGTGCTGTGAGGGTAGAAATAAGGAGACAGCATCAAGCATGTCACACTAGTTCCAGGTTGGAAGTAGTTCAATATTTTTACTTCTCTCTCTCTTACCCGTCCCCAGTAGATGAAACTTACGGACCTTACATTTGTTGACGTCATCACACCGTAAAATGGATTCGCATCTTTAACAGTACAGACCGATCAAAAAGGTCCAGCAAGAAGTGGAGGGAGAAGGGATTTAGACATGCCACGAAGCTACAAACAAGTTGAGAGAGGTTTTGTGGGAATTGTGGAGATCAAGTGAGTGATCTCGCTACCTCTGAAACCTAATGCCTTAGAACAAGATCGGACCACTAAGAAGAAGAGGGCCGGTGACTAGAGAGGATGACAGAGCTTAAGAACAGAGAAGATGCAAGATCTGAAGAGGGAGGCGAATTCTCTCTCCTCTACTGTGTCAGCAAGTTCCTAATGATCGCTGCTTGGGCGCTGCTCATCTCCGTTGTCGCCAGCATCTGGGAGAGCCTTTCGCTCAGGTCGTCGACCTCGCGGTGCAGGCTTTTGATGTAGTTGCAGGTATCCTGTAGAACCTTCGACGCTGATACCTGTACCGCGAAGTTACACAGTACGCGGCAGTCAATGCAATGAATCGACACAAGCAAATATGAGAATGGCCACATAACGAAAGAGATGAGTTAAAACGTATGACCAAATCTTTGAATTTTCCCATAACCAACAAATTTTAAGTTGGACGACTCTATTCTTGTGTAATTATAATCAATGATTGTGCAAAAGATGAAGGAGAACAAAGAATTGAGAGTTTTGGAGCACTGGCGTACCCTGTCGTTTCCTCGGATGCGACTCTCGGGAAGAAGAGCTTGTAGCTTGGAGACGAGCTCGATAATCTGATCCTCGGTGATCCTCGTCGAGCTGGACTGTCTAGACCGCAACCTTCTGCTGGACATTTTCCTGTAGAGCTCTCAGAGGGAAAGGGAGAGCTTAGGGCTTCGAAGAGGAGTTTAAGCTAGGGTACAATGAGAAGAGATGCTTTTGGCTAGATGGATGGATTACGTGGACAGATTTGAGCGATGGATGAAGAGAGAGGGGTGGAGGGAGAAAGAACGGAAAGTCGAGAAGGGGGGGTGGGGAGGAACTCAGGGTGCTGATAAGAGGAACAAGTGCATGGGAGAAAGAGACGGGGTGATGCATTTAAGTACAAATCTAGAGAGAGTGCAGGTGGTGAACGGACCGAACCAGAATACGAGGCTGAGGTCTTGACAGAGAAAGAGAGAAGAAAGAGGAAGAGAGAGATCACGTCTAGGGATGCGCCTAGAGAGGAGAGAAGAGGAGGTACTTGAGTATAAAATATTTCTCCAGGCCACAACCTCTCTCCGCCACCTTAACACACCCTTGTGTGTGAAAGACAGACGGTCGGGCAAAAGGAAGGAATGGATCAAAACAAAGAAGAGATCTAATAATGCCTCTCAGAAGCGGCAGCCACTTCGAACCGTAGGAAATCCTGCCTGTATGCAACTTGTTGGACGCCGCAAATAAACACAGCTCATTACTTTTGCATCCAAAGAGTAATCGATAGAGGATATTCCTCATACGCTCAAGGGTAGGCATTCCACGACGAAATCATTCGAGAGACCGGGCCTTCGTAACTGCGCAGACCCTGCATGATACAAGAAGATGAAAGAGAAAGCTGTCCAGGCGACCTCGATCCGAAGCCGATTAATTTACAGGGAAGGACGTCCCGCAACCACGAGGCCTGCATATTTATTTATCTTCTCTCTCTAGCCTCTTGGCTGCACTAGTTTCTTACATTGGCGTAAACTAATGCCTGTCTTTCGTTGCCAAAGAGGATTTATTGAATTTCTCATCTGAGTGAGGTAACCACTGGGGAGAGAATATTAAACCACGGAGGTTTACTCTACATTGCTCGACCTGGCGCCACTCCATTGGCGGAATACTATACGAGTATGAGAATCTTTCTGTATTTATTCTCATGTGCCCGATTTAAATTTTTTGCCTCTATTAGTGCGTGTGATCATAAGACAATGATGGTAAGTTATACATGGGGAAGTGCAGGGAAAATTACTCTCTCGCTCGCTCTTTCTCTCTCTCTCTTTCTCTCTCTCTCTCTCTCTCTCTCTCCTCTCTCTCTCTCTCTCTCTCTCTCTCGCTCTCTCTCTCTCTCTCTCTCTCTCTCTCTCGCTCGCCCTTTCTCTCTCTCTCTTCCCCTCTCCCTCTGTCGCGCGCTCTCGCTCGCGGTAATGATCTATTGACACTGGGGACAGCCAGGATAATGATTGCCAACCCATCTGCGAAGAGCTTTATTTAAAATGTGATTAGCAGGTTCATGGCAGTGCTCCACATGGCCATGTCTATATACCAGTAGGAACATGTTTGACTTGTTGAGATTCTTATTTCTGGCTTGTAATTGGACGCAGTAGATCAGACGATACAGAGATGATGATGATACTGGAGAAAAAATTTGGAGATGGGAAGAGAGATGTACCGTGTTTACAAACGACAAGGACGGGGAAGAAGGTAGACGACTAGGCAACAGCATACTTAGTACTTATGGCTTTTTCAAATATTCCCCCCACCAATACAACTTGAATCAATGACAGGCAACTTGCGAGTAAAATAAAAACCAGCTCGATTAAGAAGGCTTGCTTATTCAAAGCGAATACCCAGAATGACCTAGTAGCAAAATTCTATTTTTTTTCATTGAAAACAAACTAGAACGCTATGGGAGTGAAAAATTAATGTCAAAGTCTGTGTTTGGTTTTTCATGTAAATACAGTCTCTCTCGTCCACTTACCAGAGTGTAAAATGCTTGATGGCCCATGTCAAATAATCTCAGTAGAACTGTTAAAGAACCCAATATAAAACAGAAATATTGCCTGCGTGCTGGAGCCATCTTTAATAGCAGAAAAACTGTTAAACTGCTAATAGTTTTCTGATCACATGAGTTTCAAACAGGATCAACAGAAATATTGCCATCTTCAAAAGAGTGAATCCTAATGCAGAAAATCTAGTCTCTGTTTAATCACTATATTATGTTATACTGTTTGGCTCTGTTGTCAAATAATCATTTCTCATTTTACCTGCTTGCTGCAGCCCAAAAACTCAACAGTCGTATGAGAGAGCATGATCGAATAGTGGTACATGGAAAACAGAAGTTCAAATCATGTTTGAATTTGTTAAGCCGATTGATCTTAAGTTCAAGAATTACTTTTGCGCACTGAAATTCATGTTCTTCATTTCATGGTGAACCCATACTTTTTGATGTCAGATACATAAGTCACAAAAAAAATATTGTGAATTTTTATTTTAACTATGGAGATGAGATTCCCATAATTGAATTTTTGTTTACCAACTTGACTTCTCTCTCACATACAACCTACTGAATTTCAAGCAGTACATTATATGAGCGATGAATTTGACAGAACATTAAGTGGGCATGTCTTGATCCTTTGGTAAAATCCATTCTATGAAAAAATAATTTACTCTTTATCTATTGCAAAAAATCCTTTCGAGCCTTGGTTACCATCCACATAGAACATAATTTTAGGAGAATACAATATCACGTAAAAATATTAAAATTATATTAATACTTATTTTTATTTATATCAATTCTGATAAAGATGATTCATATTGATATTACTCACTAATTGAGTCTTTGTAGGACTATAAATACAAACTGAATAATTAAAATTAATAGTTATTTATCAAAACATGGAATTCTACTAGAAAATCATAGAATGAAAGAATTAAAGAAGCTTCGAATGACATCTACATCAAAGGTTTCAAATAAATGAGCTTGAAAATATTTTTGTAGCAGCACTCACAATCATTTCTAACACTTAAGCTCTCAACAGGATTTGAATCTTCAGCTTTTAGAGTAGTATATCCTTCATCATAAATATCTAGATGGTCAAAACCACTCATCATTAATCAGTTAATTTACAATTTAATTCAAAAGATCCAAAATCTTATTCAGGTTGTTTTCTTTCAATCATCTCCCATTCACTAATCTTGATTTCAAATGCCTTGAGATCGCAAGCGAACGTTTGGATATTTCACGATAGGGGTAATCAAAATAAATCCCCTTTCTTATTATTCTGAATATTTGGTAGCAATCAAAGGATAAATAAGTAGATATAATTCACTACTTTCAAAGCATCCTTTCATGGGGTAACAACGACTTATGCTTTTTAAAGATTTTTGGATGAATAACAGCATCCTAGGTCTAACATACTTTTAAACCTAGCTATCATTCCCAATGGAACATATGTTCCTTGGGCGGTAAGGATCCTAATCTTGAGACTACGACATCCATTTAAAAAGTATTTCTTCTCTACGAGTTTTAAGTCATATTTTTCTCTCTTCCCCTAACCCCCCCACCCTCAACATACCCCTACAACCTATGATGGCACTCAATTTGTTCCCACGGCGATATGGACCCCGCCCTCGTGGGATCCAAATCTTCTGACCCTGCAAGGTGATCTTCTGGCACGTGCGTCCCACATGCCATCTTCTGCGGCGGGTCAATGATTTGGCGTCCTCACCCAACGCCCATTAAGAGAATCTCCACAGCGTAAGGTACTGCGCTTCGGAGACTACCCTTGAATAAGATGGTGGACTTCCTGCCCACCGTATCCTCCTAACGGCGGTTATCGGCTCGCCACTGTTACATTTCCCCCCAAATCCTCTTGCGTCTATGCAAAACGGCTAATATTGGGTCGACCCAAGGGGACACATTGGAGAAGTACCAGAGCGAGCCTGTGGGTGGGTCTCCTCCTGTCGTCAGCTCTTCCGACGGGGAGTTAACACCCATGAATACAGACTACGTTCCTGAGAAGACCAAAGAGGTGGGGAGGGAGGGGGGGGGGGGAAGAGTAGGGGGAAGTGCTAGATAAAGTATTGATGACCAAAGGAAAATGAACATTTGAAAAGCGATAAGATTTCCCCTTTGGGGCTCTCTTTATACATCCCAGTGGGTTAGCTTGTGGTATAATTTGTCTCCGAATACCCTGAATCACTGCATCAAAATTAAGTATAATTCTCCCGAAGGATTTCACCATGATATTTTATGCTACGCACGACGCCAATGTAAAGCAAGAGCATGTGCAATGTTCGTTACATTCTTATAAAACGGCAAATGTGTCATAAACCCTAGTTCGATAGCCCGAGGGGGTCTCTCAAGAGTAGAAGTCCCGGTGCAAGAAGAGGTTGGGGCCATGTTTGGGATGACCTACCACCCCAGGGACCATAGTAGACTGGTCGGTGGACTAACCCATCCCTACGTCGCCGTCAAGAGGAGGGAAGACCCGAAGGGATGGGGGATGGCGAGAGGGGTTGCAGGTGGAAAGGGGAGTGGGTGTATAGGTACTTTGGAAAGACCCCAAGAAAGATTTTCCTCGAGGGGGACAACTGACGCGAACTTTGCTGTAAAATAAGCTTAGGCCAATGCTCAACCTTCAGTCGAGGTCAAAATATGATATCGTGAAGTTTAAGGGTAGTCAAGTCTTATACGAACTAGGGTGTCAAATCCATTGTGAGAAATAGCACAGCAGCAGATTTTGGCCTCGTTTAATGATCTTATACGTACTAAAGATATCCAATCCGTTGTGAAACGTCAAGTCGAGCTTGCCAAGTACGATTTATTTTTAAATTAAAGCATGTATTCGTAAACTGATTATTTTCCATATACTTGGCGGAGAGACAGAGAGATGGGGGGCGTATATCATTTATGATACAATAAACAATAACCTTCTGAGTTAGACCTTTTCAGTTCTGCAAAGTTTCCATGCATCATGAAATGGCAGTATTTGTGTTTGTTTGTCTATGTGCGCGCGTGTGTGCAAGGAGAAGAAGAGATCGAGAGAAAGTCTGCAAAAGCCATGTGCATGAACAGAGGGCATCAAGGGACATTAAAGAACAGAAATGTCCTCCGGGTTTCCAACATGCAGCCGGATCTAATTGGGCAGAAGCAGCGACCACCTAGGTTTTCGTGCTAGGTCTCCTTTTCTCCACTACCCAGTGCCCCACTCGACACATGTGCATGTTTCGTCTAGAAGTCTCTCTCTCCCTCCCTCTCTCCCTCCCTCTCTCCCTCCCTCTCTCCCTCTCTCCTCTCTCAATCTCAACGAAACAGTAATAGCTGCAGGGAGAAAATGGAACGACTGTCTTTTGAATCCAAAAATATGACTGTCAAGATGCCATCAAGAAAATCAGCGTTTCTACTATATGATAATATCCTCCACAGAGTTTAGGACAATATTGGTATGAGTTCACTTTAATCCAGTAAGGTAGAGAGAGAAAGAGAGAGAGAGAGAGAGAGAGAGAGAGAGAGAGAGAGAGAGAGAGAGAGAGAGAGAGAGAGAGCGAGAGAGAGAGAGAGAGAGACAGAGGACTACGCAGAAGACCGCGGAAATGCACTGAGCCCCCGGCAGTGAATATGAGCTGTGCAGGGTCTCCCTCCCCAGCAAGAAGAAGCCATCCTTGTGTTCAGGCTGGGGCACGCGCGGGCTGGTCGGCTGCATGGGGACCTCTCTCACCTTGAGGGAACTGGGATGTTGTCCTCTTCTCCACACGGCATGTCTCCCTATGATAGGGAAGCTCTGCAGCCTTTCACTGGTCTCCAAACTCCTCTCCCGTAACGGGTCTTGTGGTGAGAGTTGTGATCCAGTTAACATCAGTATAGTCGTTCTCTTTCTATATACACGGACTTGTTGCGTGAATGCTTCGCCTTAATGAGGAATCACCACACCTTTGGCACAGCGATTTCTCTAGGTTAGCACGGTAATGCAGAAACTTGTGAAGTTTCCTTCCGAAAATGACTCCGTGAATAACCGTTTCCACAAACCAGATTTTAGGAGCTCGGCATGAACATTTCGAAAGCAGATTCTTCCAGTGTGCGTTGCAAAACTGGATTATGATAACTCATCATAGAGGAAAACGGCTCGAGTTATGATGCTTTTCGAAGTACTACTCTTCTTGTTGGTTCCTGTTTCTGAAGAAATGAGAACAAGTTTATTTGCCATTATTCATGAAATATATATCTAGAGAGAGAGAGAGGGAGGGTGGGAGGGAGATTATGTATGCATGTTCTACAGTCAAACTACTTTTAAATGCTTTAATATTCCGTAATTATTGATATCACTATGATCTATTTCCTCGTCCCCAAGGGGAGCCATTTGGTCGGAAGTGAGGGGAACGCAAGGAATATGTCTGTTCAGGGAAGAGGAAGGCCTCATGCTTCATGCTTCATGCTTCATGTAACCATGGGAATCCCACCTGGTCGTCCCTTCACCGACGCTCGTCCCCGCCGCATGAATGGCGAGCCGCTGCCTCAACGCAGAAAAGTCCAGTGGTAAGGAAGAATGATGACGTTACAAGTCGTATATGCCCCCCGTGAATGCATGCAGTGATATGCATCAAGTCAAGGAGCAAAAAGGATCCGACCCGCAGATATGATCAATCAACTGACCCACTGATTGTGAATGCGTTGTTTACATAACTGGGTGTCAACGGGAGCTTACCAAGGCCCCGTCGAGTCTGGCTCAGTTGACTTCTGAGTGTTCAGTACTGATATTAGAAAAGAAAGTTAGTTGCTAAATCTCATGGCTCCTAACTATATAGGCTTCATAGCCTAGCCACCCAAGTGGAATAAAGAAAAGGAAATACATCCGAGGCCTAATGATTGTCAGTATAAACTGTAACACAAGTTCCATCCTAGAAAAAGTATAGTCGCTACTTTGAAATTAATGATGATAGAACGTCGCGTTTCCAACATCTTGCCTTGATATTTTCCTCTTTAATTGATTAACCTGCCCTAGACTATAGATACGCAGCTGTCAAATTCTTCATTATTGGATTCTGCTCTGAGGGGCCACACCATATAATCTTGTTTTATGTTCCCCCTTAAATCTATGGAAATGAAGCTGAGCACCCCTACCGGTTTAAAACATTTGAATCTGTTCTAAGGAGTCCCTTCTCCTAATTTCATGTGAATCTGCTCCAAGGGTATTATCGCAAAGTTGATACTGCAAAGTGAGTCTCCATCGAAGAAATCCTCCAAGATTTGGATTCGAAAATAGGCTCTGATGCTGACATGGGGGCTCCGAGGAAAACCTCGATGAGCGTTTCTCCGACCCACCTGATCAGCTGAACGGGTGGAGCGATCCACTTGATCATCGTGAACCAAAAAAAAAAAAGAAGACAGGCACATGATCTCTGCCATGCCAGCCCCATCTCTTCCGGACATATTGGAGAGTGGTGACTTTCTCTCATTCGCTCAGAACCAGCCGAAAAGTACAGCGGGCAGCCCCTCTGGGTCAGTGTCGATCGATCTGATCGGTGTCCTGCTGCTCCGACCCACTTGAATCACCCAAAATTGGCATTTATGCGAAGGGTTTAATCAGTTGGTTTAAAAAAACGTACTTGTATGTGTAGGTCTGTAAACAATTGATGTGAATGGTTTAAATAAACCAACTGGTGTTTATGCAAATCAGCTTCCTACTCATTTCCTCGGCCGACGATCCGCCTACAACCGGTTAAATCGCCCAAAAGGCAGCACCCAATGCAACTTTCCGCAGGTGATGAGGCTGCATCCGTAAAGCTGCCGCCTTGGAGTTCTACTGATAAGGGCCCCAGAGAAGTAGTCCTCCCATCCCCTTTCTTCGGTGTGGTGGGGTGGAAAAGTGATGACGCTCCAGAAAGATCAAAAAGAGAAGTCTTTGGATAAGATGAAGATAACCCCCTACACAGACCGTCAGATATGCCCGCCTGCTGAGGAAAGATGCTAGAAGCACCCATCATGCCTCAGCCACCAGGTACTCGAAGACGACGTCCTTGCCCGACAACTTGCGGTAAATACCAGCGAAGGTGCAGAGCTTGCTCTCGGTGCTGTTCCTCTCTTTCGGGTCCAGAAGAATCTGAGATGACCAAACCATATAAGATACCCAAATGAATAATATGTACGAGAGAGAAAGAGAGAGAGAGAGAGAAATGGTGTCCTACGTAAGTTTTCTGACTAATAATTGCTTTTAAAAAAAAGCATAGAGTCACTTTAGGCAAAACAGCTCAATATCCTTCAGAAATGAACACAAGGCATCAAAACTTCTGCCTAATCGTAACCTGCATGGGCAGTCTGCAGCATCGTCTAGAAATGACAGAAGTCTGTATCTACCAAGTTCCCAGTTAGCAAGTACATGGCAAGGCATGATTGCCGTCTAAATGTCAATGCCATCATCTTAACCATACCTTGATGATCTTCGAACCGTCAAGGTGGGTACCTCACCCTCTTTCCAACAATCTCCGCAGGAAAAACGATGTCCTCCAACATGGACTCATCGACGGCAGTGAGTGTCCGATTTCTAGGGCGCACAACAGCTGACCCTTTCTTGGGCGGTCTCAGTATCCTTCTTGATGCAGTAAAGACGACGTCCTGACATACAGAAGCAAGCAAGAACTTCATCGATAAGGTTTAATGGTACACCTTTCTCTTCTCCAAAGCAACATGAAAACATGACTCCCCAGGAAGTTTTGTCTCAGATGAGCAGTTGAGAAGGGCCACATGTGATGGAGATCTGACCATGAATTCTTTGAAAATATTGCTCCATTAAACAGAAGCAAGCATTGGATTGATAGAAAGTTATCAAATCCCAAAGGAAGAGAGGGGAGAGAAAGAAAGGTTGATTCCTCACGAAGAGGCTATTAAAGCAGTCATATATTCACCGAGAAGCTAGATTTCAGGTTAGAAATGTATGAGCAGAAAATATTAGAAATCGTTCACACCTTTCCACTGAACTTCTTCCCTAGTTCTCTGACAAGTATAATCTGAATCTTCCGAAGAGCTTTCCTGAGTCTGTAAGGAACATGAATCACTACAGCCTTCTTGTTCCCAGCAACATCAATTTGACCGCAGCACGGATAACTTTGTTACCATTTTTATGAAAAAAATATACAAATATTCATATATATAGATACGCACAACAAGAAATAGTATGGACTAACATGGCAGAGTTGATGAAAAGATCTTTCAGTTCGGTCCTAAGCTCCTGATTACTATTATCCAGATCAAAAAATCCCTGTGGTTTGTAGAATGGAGATGAATACCAGTGATTCACATATTTCCAAAGAAAAAGAAAAAGTTTTAGCATTAATGAGGGATGATTGACCTGCGCAACTGTTCCCTAAAACTCGGTAGGCTCCGGGCCTTAATCCTTCTGGATTTTCTTCATTGCAGTAAACAGACTGAGGAAATCAAGGAGATATCACCTGAAAAGTTTGAGAAAGAGGTAAGGATGAAGAAATCTCAGAAGACGTTACTTCAGACAAACAATTCCTCTTTTATGAAAGCGATAAATGTAAAAGTAAACCAAATCCATCATTCTAGTTCTGTACAATCCAGAATTCTGCGTACATCTATTCTCTAAGACAAAAGCATGAACTAAGATAATCCAAAAAGCTTACATCAGGACTGACTAAGCTATGATAAAACCTGCGTGAGCATCTATTCGATTCAATGGGCACCAGGCTTGACAACAGTTTTCTAGAAAGCAGTTAGTAGATTTTAGTGTAATAAGACCTCAATGTTTACACTAATATGTCTCCATATTATACATCAGGTTTGGGGAGGAAAACGAAGGTTTTCCAAGCCAAAAATAACCACAATATAAAAGACCAAATGATAAATATGGATACCCCAAAGTTTCAGGGCAATACACAAAAATAACAAGCTCATGTGTGCAGAAACGTGAGGCAAAACGGAGAAGTTGACCCATAGTTCGAACCATGTAACATAAGATAGAAAATAGAGGAGTACACACTTACGTCCATTAATGTGTAAAATATGATTTGTTTTTACAAAATTTAACTCTCAAGGGGACTTATCTACAAAAGAAGACGCTATTTTCACAAGAGCTGACTTCACAAGTCAACCCAAACGAAAAATAAAAGATTCTTTTCACAAGAGGTGACCCTCCAGTCAACCCATGCGGAACCCAACGAACTGCTTTCACAAGAATCGACTCTCCCACAGAACTTACGCAGAAGAACAAGTTGTCTCAACATTAGTTGAGACTTCAAAATGATCCATATGGAAAACAGCCGTTGTTTTTTTTTTTTTGCAAAAGTTGATATGCGGGGTCACCTAGGTGAAATCAAACATGCTGGTTTGCAGGGGTCAACCTACCAGACAACTCACACAAAAAAGTTAGCAAGCTAGCTCTTCAAGAGTCGGCTCTTGGTCTGACCTTTGCGATCGCAGAATAATGTAAAGGGTCAGCTGTCAAAAGTAGAAGGATGGACTCCACTAGATGTCAAGTTGATGAGTCGACCCATTAATTCTGGAAATCAATCCATGTAATTTTGCACGACTCTTAACCTCAAAAACAGTGCCCAGGAACTAGCAAATCGAGCTGTTTTTGAACAGTCAGGGAAGCTTTTGCAACTACTAGTAGAGGATCGCTAATTATAAAAAGACTGTGAAGAATGGGAGATTCTGAACCGTTCACGAATCAATCTTGTAAACCCTAAAAGCGTCTTCAAGTTCACAACATTCAAAGAGAATCCCAGGTCTGAATGAGCTCATATCCAAACAAGAAGAGTGGTAAGTACTGTGTTTCTTTTATCCCTGTTTGTCCAAGCTTACATTTAAACAAGACTGGAGAGAAGTTTAATTAGTACTTCGATAAACCCAACTTAACTGAATAAAAGTTTTGACTAGTACTTCGAGAAAGTGAATCTATTCAAGTTTAGTGGAAACACCCAAGGAAAGGTTTGGAAAGTTGAATATATTGGGGATTGACCAAACCAGAAACAATTATGTCCCCACTTTTGGTATGTTTTTCAGATATTTTGGTGCCATTTACTTTCACCACCATCACTCTAAAACCCAGCTAGAAAAACAACAAGTCTTTACGTATTAATTTAATTGAAGAGCATGGCAAGCTAAAGGTTTTTAATTATCGGTGTAGTACATCTAGATATCATTACATATAATTATCAACTTAAAATGAAAATGGTAGAACTTGTACAAATATGATAAAAGCGTCTTCACAAAGTGGGTACATCATGATAGAATCGGTGGTCTGGCATAGATAGATTGTTCAGAACCGAACAATGACAACTGCAGCTCTTTGAAATAAGGCTGAGGTCGCGTGTCCAAAGGTCTAATAAAACAAGTGGTTCATCTGCCCAATTCATATATCAGACAGTTTTATTGGCGACAAAATTCATCCATCAGACAGTTTTATTGGCGACAAATAGGTCACAAATTGATTGTGCTAGATAGGTATCTAAAAATGTCTCACAAATATCACAGCATCTACAACAATGTGCACTCTGCTATCACATAATTTTTTTTTGGAATTCATCAACATGATAAATAATGCACAAAAGATAACGGATTTTTGTTATTGATCAGAGGATAATACAGAATATCATTGATTATAAGATAAATGCAAAATTAAGCCACCACTTCTTCATCATAGAATAATCCCCCGCACACACACTACTCAACAAAAGTCCACAATCACATGCCCACCCGAACTCTAAAGATTACCATGAAACAATCACATTGACATCTCAATTTCCTGATCCTCTTCATCAGCTCCACTCTATCTTCTTCCTACACCAAGAAAAGGCAGCCCCTTGCCATTTCACCAAGAATGCATGATTATGTTCCCATACGAGTTGTCCCCAATCTTCCTAAAACATTTTCTTTCGTTCACCAAAGTGACAATTGATATTATACTGTTCTACCAGAGATGCAAGGCCGAATGCCTCAGTTCGCTATCTTCATCTTAAAAAATATCATTGAGTTATATAGGAAAGGCACTTTCTGTCTTGCATCAGTTCGCCATACATAACTAGCATGATATTGTTAATGTTGCAAAAGCAAAGATGCCCAAGAACTTGAGCAGTACTGGATCTTTTTTTGCATCACTTTTAAAAAGCTGACGAATTGAGGTATGGACTACCAAAAACCGATTAGAATTGGAAATGGGTAAATTCGATTTTTCCTAATTATTGCATCAATTGTTTAGTTTAAAAAAAATCAAGAAAAGAACACAATCAACTTGAAGTGGCCAGCTTTCTCTCAAGATTACTCTACTCCTTTCAGACTGACCCCATTATGACAGGAATTAGTAGCAAAAGAAAGACAGTCGAGTTTACCAATCGAGAAGATAGAAGGAGAGGGAGGACAATAAGAAGATAGCAAGGGCTGAAAACGTAGCAGGCCGAAAAAGTGCAATCTAGCCAGTCTGAAAGGATAAAACTTAAAAGACCTCAACAGATTAGCCTTACATGGCCCATAAGACCCAAAACGTGTCTGCTTCTCATTGGGTGAGTAGTTACCTCCTTTTAAACTAAACCATCTTATCGATAATCAGAAAAACTTTTATCAGATTCTTACTGTTCAAGGAATTGATAAATACTTTTCTCCTGGTCAAAGAGCCACACGTTGTAGGCAAAAATTATTTTTTTGACGCGAAATATTATTTTCATATGTTCCTCTCTCTCGTTATAGATTCAAAGAACCTCTCATGGATTCAAGGTAACCCCATTTTCGAACCTTTCAGATTAAAGGATCACCCTTATCGTTTCTTGTGGATCCAAGGATTTTCAATTTCATTCCTCATGGATTCAAGGTCTAACATCTTCCCAACTTGTACTACATCAAAATCTCCAATTATCTCTTTAATACAAATGATTACAAGCTGGGTCCATCAAATTTTCACCATTAACACTAAGCGGAGGCCTTGGGATGATAAATATCAGAAGAATTCCACATATGCGTCTACTAAGGGTCGCAAAGGAATCAAATTTGTACCTTTCCAATTGGAAGTCCTTCAATGTCGCCAAAACCAAACATTGAGGGAGCATGTAATCCACATCAACGTGTTTAAAACAGTAGTTAATCGTCGAAAGTATCCAGAACAAGTGAGGAGTTTGGAAATCAATCCAATCACCACTTCTTTTTTTTTCGCAGAACAAATTCCTCGATATAAAGCTGACCAAAGTTTCTGGCCACAGGTGACATACTCACAGCTAGGAAGAAATCACCATTCATGCGCTTAAACTGACAAGAAGATCAACAGATGATTCCCTTTCATCCTGCTTTCATCTTTGACTAAACAGATGCTACTGCAAAATTATGCTCAGATAGAGTGAAAAGTGCTCGTTTGTCAAGGAAGGTCTGTCTGCATCAAGGAACTTGACCAGCTATTACTGTGCAACAGTCTCACGACTCTCCCCGGTTCAACCATTCGCCTGGAGTTCATGAAAATAGATACAACTCTGGGTCCACGCCACTTCTGACCCATTGTACGAACCGCTCGAAGTCAACCCAACTAAACGAAAAAGGCGCAAACTTCTACCACTCATTTAATGGACTCGCCATTCCCTCAGTGAGCGCCTACACTGCCCCTGAACCTCTACTTGAGCACAAGTGATCGTGACAAACAAGACGAAAGAAAAATTTAGAACTGAAAAGAAGAAGAAGAAGAAGAAGAAGAAGAAGAAGAAGAAGAAGAAACCTCCGGCAGCCTTCGTCCGCGCGGTGGCGAGGCCCAAAGCGCCGGCAGGGGGTGGGAGAGACCGAGAGAGGAAGAGCCCAGCAGCGTTGGCGGGAGAGAGTAACTTTTGACGAACCCTAATGATGATATCCCATGGTGGCCGTCTTACGCCGGGCCGTAACGGACCGACCCATTCGTATCTTGAATACTCTCTCTCTCTCCCTCTGCATTTCGTCGTCGTTTAGACACAGGAAAACCCTGAAAGTACAGGATTTGCATGCAGAGAAGCCTAAAAGAAAGGATTTCATTGAAGATTGATACAATACGAGACCAGATGAGCGCCGCAAAAGAAGTGCAGCCGGAAAACGCCCGCTGGTGGGGTCAACGACGCGGGGTGTTATGCCTACTAGATCATTCTTGATTAGCTGGTTGGGTCCGTCAGCAACTTCCTCCAGAAAGAGGCCACCACCCGAAAAAAAAAATGGTTTGATGAAAACACTGTGGCCCGTATCGGAGGGCAGAATTATGGAAATCAGAAACTTTTCTCACAAGATATGCCGTCGTTGACTGAAAGTTTTCATATTTTGCTCTCTCTCTCTCGTAATTAAAATTGTAGAATAATAATTGTATTTTGGGAACACAAATGACCGATTCCGCTCCCCAGCCGCCACTGGTGGTGAACAGGTAGCGGAGCAAAGAGAGTGCAACGAAGGGCGCGTAGGTGTGATCATTCCCCTCCTTCCCCTTTCCCAGTAATATCACCCTTTTCTTTCCTGGGCGACCAAAACCCTTCACTCGCTCTCTAGTCCTCTCTCTCTCTCTCTCTCTCTCTCTCTCTCTCTCTCTCTCTGGGGAGAAATTCTCCATCTTCTTTCTGCACCAACGGGGAGGGAGAAATCTGTTGAGGTAAGAGCCCTCCGAGCCCTCGTCTGATGCACGAGCCTTCCCGTCCTCCTCCCCCGATTTTTGTAGGTAGGGTTGGAATGACTGCGCCGGCAACCAGCCTGCCGCCCTCGTCCTTCTGATTGGGACGATGGCTCGATTCCTCCCCTGATTTCTTCCATTAACGAAGGTGATTTCCCCAATTTCTGCGGGCTGTTATGTCATCCTTGTACAGAGGGACGGAAGCCCTCTCCCCCGGTGGGTCGTCCAGGGATGCCCACTGCGGGATGTCGGTCGCAGCTTCCCCACCGCAACAGCAACCTCATTTCGTGGTGAATTATCTCATGAAATCTTGCGGATTTCCTCAGAATGATGCCGTCAGGGTCTCCGGTCCTGGTTACCACGAGAACCCCGCTGGGGGAGTCTGCTTCCTTGGTCAGTATGGATTGAAGGATTATCATGGGAGGCATGTGGGCTTGGTGGGAGATTCCTCTGCCCACTGTGTCGCCCTGGACTCGTCCGAGACGATGATCAAAGTCCCCAAGGAGGAGGGCCCATCTGGGTCTGATATCATGCAGCTGTTCTCCGGCAAGCTGCCTGACGCCCACGAGTCTGGGGTGAGGCCCAAGGTTGAGTTCCTGGGGGCTCTGTTCGGATCGAAGGACCGTCTTTTGAAGGCGAGCCACAAGAATCGCCACCTCATGATGTCCAACATTGACGAGAAGATCAAGCCCAATGTCTCCCTCCTGCGCGAGTGCCTCACCTCTGATCACCGGGTCATGAGGTTTGTCTCGAGACGGCCGAGGTTGATCACCTCTAACGTCAACAAAATGAGGGAGGTCATCCAGAGAGTAGAGAGCTTGGGCATCTCCAAGGGCTCTGGGATGTTCGAGAAGGCCCTCTGTGCGGTCTCCGACATCAGCAGAACCACATTTGATTCCAAGTTCATGCTTATGAAGAGCTTCGGGTGGTCAGAAGCTGAGTTCCTCTTGGCGTTCAGGAAGAACCCAACTTTCTTGGGTTCTTCTGAGATGAAGATCCGATCTATAATGGAGTTTTTGCTGAAGGAAGTCGGCTGCATGCCCTCCTATGTTGCCAGTCACCCCATACTCCTAACGTACAGCCTGGAAGGGAGGTTGAAGCCGCGGCAGTATGTTCTGAGGTTGCTCAAGTTGAATGATATTATCGGCGGAAAGGACGACTTCCTCAATACGGTGAGCATGACCGAGAAGGCGTTTCTGAATAGATATGTTATCCGGAATACTGAAAAGGTCCCGGACCTGCTGGAAGGTTACGTGGCTACTTGTGCTAGGGGAAAATCGAACTCTGGGTATTAGTATCCTGTTCATAATCGTGTAATGATATGGGCAATTTTCATTTTCTGGGTTCCTCTCAAATATGAACATATCGGCACAACAGTAATGAAATGGAATGATCTTTTTCTTCTGTGATTTTTTGTTTGAACACGGCAATTCTGCCCGCTTGATGTTTCTATTTTTTTATTTTCTTTTGGCACCTCAGCACCGGAGTTCTGACGACATTGGTTCTAATAATTCTTTTGGAAGAAGAGACAAGGGGAAACCTAGAAGAGGGCCTTGTAGCATGTTTCACATCTTCATGCTCATTGATGCCAAAAGCCTTATTCTCTGTTGGTTCAGTTGTTTCCTCAGTTAGTAAAGAGATCCCCCTTTGTAACAGCTTTGGCAGCCCTAAAATAGCAGTCTTGCTCATGTAATTACTACATAATTTAACTCCCAAGGTTTGCATGAGGGTTGGGCCTTTTAAAATTTGGCAATTTCCTTTTTTGGTATTTTTGCGTGTTTTTGGTTTCTTCCTTCGAGGTGGATCATGGCTCTGCTGAATATTTCTCTTGCTTTTGATTCAAATTCCCCCAAGCTTGTCACCTCTCTCACTGTGATTTTATGTCTGTCCTTCTCCATCGCTCCATTCAAGATGAACTAGTATGAGACAGCAGTCATCAGACCAGCAAATGAAACGGATGTTGAAAACATAGGCATGGTCAAAATGAGAATGCACAGAAAACATTCTGCTGAAGAGTTGGTAGCAGATAGTTTGTACATGTGCAAGGAAGATACAAGGGAACACTTGTTGACAATTAGCTGTGTTCATCATGCTTTCGTTAATGGTTTTTACATAAGATAAAAGGCTAAAATGGCGGCTTTTTCAACCTCACTCATTCTGAAAGGTCCTAGTTGAATGAATTTTTCAGGTTCCAATCAATGAGAATCTCCTTTTTTATTTTGAATCTTTGATACCAATGCAAAGGAAGATGCATAAAGAGTTGGAAAATTCTTCACCAGCTATTTTGTGCTCTTGGTTTTGGCATTTAGCCTTCTTTCACGTTCCAACTCCAAAGTTGAATGTTTCATGTTCTGATTCTACTGTCAAATATAATGACGCCAAAGGAGGATATTTTTTCTACTTTCGGATTTCCTTGTTCATTTATCATGGCTTCTTTGATTTCCTGTGCTAATAAGCATAGAAAATAGTAATTAAAGATCTCCAGGGGTGGGGAGAGGCTCGGCTCTTGACTGAAAAAAATCGCAACACTGACCTGCTATATTACAGATACTTAACGTTAAGTGAAGGAATTGTGAGCCCTATTTCTCAGTGGAATAATGATTGCCTAAAATAGTAGCTGATTCTTGAAAGTCAGCGCGTAAACCCAGTGAAATTTATTGATGTGATGGCCTTCTCCTGATCGTTACCTAGTCCCATGTTTCGGTAACCAGTGTTGCCATCTTCAGGTAGTATGATCATATTACTCTCACAAGTTCAGATGACTCAGGAGGTGGTCTGTTCAGAATCAGGCAACTCCAATCTTAATCTGGCAATGCTAATATGGATTGACCAGATTTGTTTGGGCAAATCCCAGGGCCCAACTGATCCAGGTACCCATTCCAATTCGGCAAGCTAAGTTTGACTTTAGGAGGCATCCATTACACGCAACATGATGACTTCTGCTCCATTCTGCTTTTACTTGAAAGCTGCTCTCTCCCTCTCTCTCTCTCTCTCTCGCTAGTGTTGGAGTACATCTCTGGTTGTGTTTATTTCAATTAGTTAACACCTTCTCTCCCCCAAAGAAATTGAGGTGAGCAAGAAAGAACTTAAAAATACCAGCACAAGCCTGCTTCCCTGACCTTGGGTTGGTCAAAACTGGGTTTACTACCAGACTGAGGCCAACAGCACAGACAGGAATGGAACCTGGTTCTTCCAGTTTTTCTCCAAGGTAGGTAAGCCCCCAAAGCTCAGCTTGGCTTAGCTCACCTTCTCAGACTTTTCTCCAGTCCCTCATAAAACTGTTCAGACCTGGGGCATGCTTTGTTCTTCTTAAACCCTAATATAGGCTTTGGCATGGAGATGATCTAAGTATAGCGAAGCGGCCATTGTCAAGAGGATGCTGAATATTTGGGACTATTCCAACGATGTGGAAGCACCTCGAATATTTCTCTCTTCTCCTGTCTTTGTGGTGATTTTCTGCCTGTGATTATTCGGCCTTTCCAGTGAGTAGACTGATACTAAGAGACTCTCCGTCATTGAAGAATATGGCACAATTTAATTTCTTGTTCATGGCACAGGTTGAAAGCAATACACTTGTAAATGATGATCGGAAAGGTGTTAAGGCAGTCTCTTCCTTTCTCAGAAGGGAGCCTGTGTTTTACAGTATCTTACATGGGTACATACATACATATATATTTATATATGTATGTTAATTTATCTTTTTTATGGGGTCTGACTGAGTGGCCATTCTATCTGATCTGACAAAGTGGTCATCTGGGTCAGCGCAAGTGGGTTAGCACAAGAATCGCCAATAATGGAGAGAGGTGGCACTACAGGGCATTTAGATCTGAACTTCCATAGCAGGCCTATTGAAGCCTAGCCTTCTCTCTCTCTCTCTCTCTCTCTCTCGCTATATATATATATATATAGAGTTAAAAGATTAGTCGTTGGATATGATGACAACTTTTGTAAATCATCTGTACCTCATATGTTTTATCAAAATCTGAATCTCATAGGGTCTTTTTTAAAGGTGGGCAAATAGTGGATATTACATAATCCATGTCCCCTATTAATCCAAAATGTGCGGTGAGTATTGGCAAAAGTCTACGTTAATTGTTCAAAATAATATACAGTAATTTTCAAAAAGCCTACTAAAGGGAAAGATGCTGATGAAAAATGGATGAGAAGGTGCCCACGATCACCATGAAAATGAGATCATTAAATGAGATGATGTAGAGTCGATGCTTATGGTCACCTCAAATCATTAGGGCCACTTATGTCATTGTATATGTTGATAGTCAATAACAAACTAAAAGATATCTGGTGTCATTATTGTTAGTGTTTGCCTCTTACTAAGTATTTAGGGTATTATTAAATTTAAGAACCATGAAAAAAAAGTATCCACATATTCTTTAAAATTGTTGGATCAAGGGGTCATGTGCAGTTCCAAAAAAATTATAGATTTTTTTGTCAAATGATTCAAGGAAGGTAGTAGAAATCTAACATTAGTATTGTTCATTATGATAGAGACAAAAAACTTCATCCTTTACAAAAATGGTCATAAAATTATTTTGGAACCAAATATATCTGGAACTTATTTTAGAAAAGAGAAGTTCAATGTTTATAGAGAATTGATCATTATTGTATTTCTAACACTTTAGAAGATCAAACATAATTGATCGATCACCTAGTGACACACAACTTTCAGAAAAGCTGGACAAATGAACAATTTGATTGCATAAACTGCTTTGTGAATTGAATCATCTAATCTTTGGTCCATCAAATCTCAATGATTTAAAGACCAATGGTCAAATTTCTGAGCTCTATAAGAAGTGCATCCTAAGAGCTTTATAAGTATACCTCCATGACACATTAGTTCTATCAATTTATACTGAAATTAATATACACTTTGCTAAAATTTCATCACAGATTCAAAAGGTGTACAAAATAAAAGAAAATTATTATCTTAACTTTAAGATCATTTTGTATCCTACCAATCTCTCTTGTATTGAAAGCAGTATGAGGAGTGGTAGTAATAAGGAAGAAAAGACAAAGTAGTGTTTTGTTGTTTAGCAGGGGAAGATAGACTCATAAAATTCATTGTGTATGTAGATTCCTTGATCCTATTAATTTCCATTGTAATTTTGTGAAGGAGAATAGTGGAAATCAAGGGTAAAAACTCATGACAAGTGGGTCTAGGTTAAAGAAGACTAAACTATTAAAATTGTATATCTATCTCTTATCAATATTTTGTGTCAATACAACAAAATCAACCTAGTATAAGATAAGAAGAAGTCTAAAAATCTAAGAAAAATAAAAATATTTTATAAAGAGCATGTTCACCATGTTCCTCTCTTGGTATTCTATCTAACCCTACTTTAGACCTAAAATGTTTTATTCTAAAAGCTTTAATAAATTATGATGAAATCAGCCTACTTATACGTAAGAGTCATATGTAGTCATGCAAGTCTTATAAACATGATTGCTTCTTCACATAGCATAAACTTGCCTCATTTAATAATCATCATGCAATCAAATCAATCAATGTCCCAACCATTATTTGTAGAACATGTGGAAGAGCTGTGCTTCTTTAATGATTTGCTTTCAGCTTAGAATGAAAATTAAGTCAACCATGTGTAGTACCCAATAAATATTGATTGACTTTTAGGATTGTCATTACAGCTTTTGAATGTTAGATTTACATGTGAGGCTTTTATTAAATTATGTGCAACAAGCAAGAAGTGGTTTGATAATTAGAAATTTTATTATCAAAAGTAAATTAATTATCCATATGAACACAATGCTTGAGAATAATTTCCATGAGCAGAAAAAATATTTTTCATATGGACAATGGAATCACTATCTACTTGTAAAAAGAGAGAACCCCAACAAGCATGCACAAAAATGTGAAAGACAGATTTATGTGCCATAAATACTTTATTTCTCTCAAATGATCAATAAAAAAAGTTATATTATGCATTGACTATTGTACATAATCATTTTCTTAGTTAATACTTATATGTTGCCTTTATGATCTCTATCCACTAACATACCAAAACTTATTTCTAATTTCTTCTTGATTTGAGAGATTTATGTAGAATAAAAGCCACATTATAATATAAAGCTTATAAAAAGTGTAATTTGGAAGGCCAAAAAGCGTGTGACATGTGGAAAACCCAAAATATTCAAAAATTGAGCTCATAATTGGTCATTAACTATGCGTTGAAAATGTATATATTTGGTGGAAATTGTAGACTTTGGGGGGGTTGACTCATTAATTCTATAATACATGGGAACGTTGGAAACCATTTCTAGGTGGCCCTCATTCTTGGTAGAGCCAATGAAATACTTAAGGAAATAGATTCAAAAGTGGGACCCAGTAGAATCTCATGGGACCCACTAGGGGAAGTTTAGGGAAGATACTGCCTCGGCGGCGGGGAATCACCAGTCCAATCGGTGACTTTAAACGCTTCTCTCTCCCTCTATATGACGTCACCGCATACGTCATCATCAATCCAGATGACAATCTCTGGGCCCTCTCGATGACGCGACCGCCATCAAGGAGAACAACTCCGCTACGTCAGCAGGCGATTTTCTGTGACCCCCCCCGTCGAAATCTCAAGAACTATGAAGGGAATGCCACGTGTCAGTTGCAGTCCGTGCCTATCAAATTGTATACATCTCTCTCTTTCCCCAACAAGCTAGCGCTGTAGGGGCATATAAAACAGTAATGAAGGATAAATTACAGTAACATTACAATTTTCATTCTTGTAAGGTGCCCCCCCCAGTATAAGTTTGACGCTTTACTCGCATTTTTAATTAATTTTCGTACCTAGATAACTTGCTCTAGTGAGGATAGTCCTGAATTAGAGTAAAATGATAATTATAATTCTTGTGAGGTTTTTCTTGTGAGGGAAGCCCCTCTATTCGGTCGATGCTTTACTCATTTTTTTGATTAATCATTGTCCAGTGAGGACATAAATAAAATTGTAATTGTTTTGAGGGTTTAAAGAATGACGCGGAGGAAACTCTCCAGCCGGATGGGTGGCGGTTCGTTCTCAGGCTTTGTCTCCTTTTGTTGACATAAAAAATACATTTTTTTTTATGCCCACCGAGACTTTCCGTCGCCTTTGGCCTCCCTCCCCGGTGGCGCTCCACCAGCGGGATCGATCGAGAGAAGAAGGGGAGGTAGTTGGGGGGCTCTGTAGAGGCCGCTCGCTATGGAGATCGCGCCTAGGGTTTCTTGAAGTGGGCTGCTTCCTTTCTCCCCTTCGCCCATCCCTAGTAGTGTTTGCTCCTGTGATGCTTTCTGGGCTCGGTCGTCTATACCTGTAATCTAATAGCCGCCTCCTTGTGGCCCCTGGTTGGCATCCATCTTCCTGCTCGCCTGATCCCTTCCCTGAGCTCTGTTCGTGTTGTCTGAGCCGACGACCTCGAGTTTGTGTTTCCCTTGTCTTTTTTTTTTAAATTTTAATTGGTTGGTAAGTCACCCTCGAGGGGACGAGCTGTCTTCCGGTGATTCTTCTTCTCGCCTTTTGGCTCTGCTTTCGTGGTTCTGTGGAGTTTAATCTCACTTTGGTAGCTCTGCTCCTGTGAAGAAGGATTGCTCCTACCCATAAAGGGCAGTTGCTTGCTTTTTCTGCGGTTTAGAACGGATCCTTGGGTAAATCATTTTGAACCGTGGGTTCTGTGGTAGTTTATAGATATGTTTCAAGAATGACATGACATCTGGGAACAGAAAATGCTGAGAATTATGAATCCAACCTTTACGTGGGTTTTAGACATTTTTTGAACGATGGGGAAGTTTGGCTGCCCAGTTCATGGTTGATGATTCATCAAAACTTCGTAATCTGGTGTCTTGGAGAATTTAATACCCGATTGATCTTTAGATTTTTTTTGCATAATGTATCAGACAAATACTTTCCCACAGCACAAGTATGAGCCTTTCTTAGAGTGGGTGTCTAAACCTCTTGAGAGAGGATTTGACCGCCCATTCTTGTCTTCTATGGCGTCCAATTCCTCTGTGAGATGATCTTTCATAGATATATAGAGCTGGAGTGCCTTCTACATTGAAAGAATCAAACAAAAGGATGATCAACAGAAAAGAAACAAGAAGAATCCGGGTTTCGTTTCATTTTCTCTGTTTTTCTTAGATGGTATTTTCCATTGGATTTCGCTGTTGGCTGTTTTATTTGATATCACTCTAATCTTGAGTTTATCTGGTCCTGTAGATGACAAGCACGACTCTTATTTGTTTCAGCCAAGGTGGTAATAAATGATTTCTCCATCAAATCGGTTACTTTCCTCTGCAACAATGGGTGTATATGGATCAAACAACCAGATGGGTTTGTGGAATGACTCATTCAAGGCTGACAGCAGTCAACAAGCTGGTCTATCTGCTTCAGTGGATGCGGATGCAAAACTGGACCATAGGGTTAACTCGATTCCTTGTCTCGGGAATTTATAAAGTTCTAAAATTGACAATACTCTCCCTCTGATCTTCATGTGGGTTATGTGTTTTCTCTATTACTAGCTAGAAGACATCCCACTTGAGATATCGGGTCCAGAGAAGAAATTGGATCAAGAAGCTGATAAACCGAGTGACAAGGTAAATATGGTTTAATCTGTTGTAATTCTGATCTAGTAACCATGATTCGACCTGATATCCCTTGCTGCTGGAGAATTTTCTGCCAATATGGAAGTCTGGGACAATCAATATTGTAGCTTTTGATGCAGAAATTCTCAAGACTTGTGCTATTCACTTCCATCCCACTGCACTAGGCATTGTTTCATTCATTGTATCGATTATCTTCGATTTTTCGGGATGTGATGTTGAAAAAAATCCCTCTGGGAGATTCGTAATCGCTCTTTCTGAGTAACCCTTAACAATCCAAGCATGAATGGACGAACAATGGAACATTCTTCAGTTCTGTGCTCTGACCTCGATTTCTTGTCAATGCACGCATCACATATTCACTGGTCGCTGCTGCTTAGTTTTAGGGTATGTGAGAACCAGTCATAGTTTGAATATTTAGGTATTCTTAAAGTAAATCATTTATTTCAATTTTATTTTTTCTAGGTCTTATTTGCATGTGATTCAATATCCGTCACTTAGGGCGGTTATATGTTCTTTGATCTCTCGTGCTCAATATTTTAATCAGTAATTGACAGAATTTAACAGCATGCTGTGAGTTCTTATGTGCTAATGGATTTCTGTCTATAGATGTTAAGACGGCTTGCACAGAATCGGGAAGCTGCTCGGAAAAGTAGACTCAAGAAGAAGGTATACTGGAGAGAGAGAGAGAGAGTTAGTGGTTGATATGCGTTAGTGGACCATAACTTGTATTGTGTTGCAGGCCTATATCCAACAATTGGAAACAACACGTACAAAGTTATCACAGATTGAGAGCGAGCTTGAGAATGCAAAGAGGAAAGTAAGTGGAACATTGTTTTATTGAATTATGCTTATTATCTTGTTCTTCTGGCATTGTATATTCATTATTTTTGTGACTTATAATTCAATAAATACCTCTCTCCACCGATTGTTATGAAAGCAAGCATGCTCGGAGAATGAGCAGGATAACTAGTGGTTACTAATCTTATGTAATTAAAACATTTCTATCTGTAAACTAAAACATTTCATCTTTCTCATGTAATTATTTCATTTCTATCTGTTCTATGTAATTAATCAGAAGAGGAGGCATGAGAGTTGTTGATGCCCATATAAGTAATCTGATTTGAGCGTGTTGATTCTATCGCAGGGTATTTATAGAGGTGGATCTTTAGGAGATTCTGGATATGGGTTGTCGGCAACAGTCGATTCGGGTATACTTTTTCGAATTGAAATGTTAAGCGATGATTTTCCAGTTGCTTTTGGGTACTAATTTGCTTAAATCTGTGAAGAAACTTGATTTTTCCTTCAATTTTTTTGATTTTTATAGGACTTGCGGCATTCGAGATGGAATATGGCCACTGGGTTGAAGAACAGAACAAATATAGATGTGAGCTGAGGGCCGCATTGCAGGCGCATATCTCTGAGATTGAGCTTCGGATACTCGTAGAGAGTGTGATGAGCCACTACGATGAGCTTTTCCGAATCAAAGCAGCAGCTGCTAAGGCAGATATTTTCTATCTGATGTCTGGCATGTGGAAGACATCTGCGGAGCGATTTTTCCTGTGGATTGGCGGATTTCGCCCTTCAGAACTCTTGAAGGTGAAGTCAACTCTGATCCAGTATTCATTGAACTGACTAAGCTATAATTTTATTTTTATTTTTTTGTGTGTCTGGAATTCAGCTGAATCCTTTCATACTAGCAATAAGAACATCTAGTATGGATTTCTGACGATGTGATGCTTAGTTCTTGATGTGGCTCGTCTCAGATTGCTGTTCCAAAGGATAAGAACAGCCATGGATCTGATGATGAGGAACCATTTTCTGATTGTCTTCTCTTCTCTTCCAGGTTCTGTCGCCACAGCTTGAACCTCTGACGGAGCAGCAGTTAATGGCCGTTTATAATCTCCAGCAATCATCTCAGCAGGCCGAAGATGCTCTTTCCCAGGGGATCGACAAGCTCCAGCAGACTCTCGCCGAGTCTCTCACTTCCGACTCACTAGGTGCTTCACCCGTTGACAATCTCACTGAGCAGATCGCCGCCGCCGTGGGCAAGCTGGAGGCCCTCGTCAACTTTGTGACCCAGGTGAATAAACAACCCTTCATCATCGCTACTCTCTCTCTCTCTCTCTCTCTCTCTCTCTCTCTCTCTATGTATATATATATACATGTGTGTGAGTGTGTTTGTCTCTTTCTCTCTCTAAACGTCAGGGATGGTTTGGTCTTGCAGGCTGATCTTCTCCGGCAGCAGACACTGCAGCAGCTGCATCGGATTCTGACCACCCGGCAAGCAGCAAGGGGGCTTCTGGCGCTGGGGGACTATTTCCAGCGCCTCCGAGCTCTCAGCTCCCTCTGGGCCGCCCGCCCCCGCGAGTCCTCCTCCATTTCATGACCGTTGACCAGCTCCACGCCATCACCGGCGGCGCCGCTATCCTGCTCTTTGCTCCTCGTTGACCGACGCGTGTCGCTGTACATAAACCCCCCTCTTCTGCTTCTCACTGGCGGATTTTTTGCTATAGATTAAATCGTGAATATACCGTCCAAGTGTCGTCATATTATTCGTCATACGTGGATATCATGAAAGCGACCACGTGGACCGATCGGCGCCTGGGCCCGGGCCTGGGCCTGGGCCGGGCCAGGGTTGGGGTCTTGCGGGGCCCATCGAGGAGAAAGAGGGGTTGAAGGGGAGGGGGGGTGGGGGAGGGGGGAATAAAAACCCTAGCGATCGTCGACCCTTTGCTAGATTCTTTCACTCACTGTCTTTCGTTCCGCCGCCATTTCCCCACCACCTCTATCTCTCTCTCTCTCTCTCTTCCTTTCTCTCTTCCTAGGGCAGCTCTCTGCGGCCATGGCGTCGAAGAAGCGGAAGATCCGGCGAGAGGACGGGCGGCAGGCGGAGGTTGACCAGCACCAGCTGCAGTCGAAGCAGGAGGAGGAGGAAGAGCCGGTCGACTACGAGGTCTCCGAGGAAATCCACCACTCGCAGCATCAGCCACCGCAGCCGCAGCAGCAGATCCATGCGCAGCAGCAGCTTGCGGGGGAGGAGGACGACTACGGGGACCCGGACGATGACCCCGAGGCTGAGGACGGCGGAGGGGAGGATCAGGATGGAGAGGTCGAGGCCGAGGAGGATATTGAGCAGCTCCTGGAGCCCCTATCTAGAGAGCAGCTCATCTCGCTCCTCCGTTCCGCAGCGGCTGTAGATCCCCGCACCATGGAGGAGATCCGTCGGGCCGCTGATCGGGACCCTGCGCACAGGAAGATCTTCGTCCACGGCCTTAACTGGACCACCACCGCCGAAACCCTAAGATCCTTCTTCGGCCAGTATGGCGAGATCGAAGAGTGCAAGATCGTCACCGACCGAGTTACCGGCAAGTCCAAGGGCTATGGTTTCATCCTCTTCCGCCAGCGCCGCTCTTCCCGGCTAGCTCTCAGGGAGCCTCAGAAGAATATCGATGGGCGAATGACCGCCTGCCAGCTGGCATCCGTCGGGCCCATCGCCAATGCTCCGGCTCCTCCGCATCAGCCACCGCCATCTGCTCCGCAGCAGCATCAGCAGCAGGTCCCTTATCATACCCCACAGGATGTCCTACCGAGGAAAATATTTGTGGGGAATGTCCATGCGGATGTCAACAAAGAACGTCTCTACCAGTTCTTCTCTCAATATGGCGAAATTGAAGAGGGGCCATTGGGTTTTGACCGCCAGACGGGTAAGGCTAAAGGGTTTGCTTTGTTCATATACAAGTCCGTGGAGGGGGCAAGGAGAGCATTGCAGGAGCCGAACAAAAATTTTGATGGAAAGTTGTTGTATTGCCAGAAGGCCACTGATAGTCAGAGAGCTAAGGCGGCAGCTGCTGCTGCTGCGGCTGCTGCTGGGCCCACTGGTGCTCCCAGCTCAGCTGGACCTGATATGCAAGGTAGCATGGGCTATAATGTAACGCCCGGGGGCTCTATGTCTTTCCCTGGTACAATGGACCTGGGGTTTGCACAGGGTCTTCTCGGTGCTGCTTTGCCATTTGCTCAAGGAATACAAGCAAATCCTGCTGCTCTTGCTATGTTGGCGGCGGCTGGGCAGAATCCAGCAGCTTTCGGTGTCCCGCCATCTATGATGGCATCACTAAATCCTGCTTTGGCTGCGGCTGCGATGAACCAAGGTGGTGCTCAAGTTGTGCCACCATCGCAGGTGCCACAAGTACAGGGTTATGGCATGGGTGGAAGTACGGGTTACCAGAACGTTGGATACCAGGGTCAGCCAACTCAGCAGAGTGGTGCTTCTTATCAGGGTGCGCCCATGGCTCATACGCCAACTATGAGACCTGCACCAGGGTCTATGGGAGGATATGGACCGCACTAGGTACAGTTCTCGTGACGACTGATCAGCTAATTTTTTTTTCTTACTGTGGAACGCAGTCCTTTTTCATCATTGATCCCGGCTAATTGATTTCATATCACATGTTTTAGTTTGAAATTCCGGATCGCAGTTATTCGCCTGGTTTAAAGATCGGATGGCTTTTGTATCTGTAAGGCCCAGCCAGGAGAAATCGACGTGTTCAAATGCAATCAGATATTCCAAAGAAGAACTTCTTTAGGCATTTTTCTTTTATTTCATGGACACGCGGACTTAGATTTTGTTGTCAGGATTTTCTCAAGACTTTTGTCTACTGTCGTTTCTGTAATGGGGTATTGTGAACTCTATTTTCTTGCGAGTTTTAGTTGAACTTCTAGTTTTACATTCAGTGTTTGGGAAATGGTTTACGTGAGACAGAATTCTTGCTACATCTCATTATGTTTTAAGAATTTCACTATTTTCTCTCTTCCATCTCTTATTGAATGATGAGATTCAGATTTGATGATTTGATGCTTTATCTGGTATCCAACTTTTTACGGGTTAACCAGAAATATATTTGGACTTCATGGCTATCCTGGATTTGCTACTTCGGCTGATAATCTTTGATTTGCTGACGTAATTTAGCTTCTCTTTTTAATATGTCATCACCCGAATTATTTTATCATCGGCCTGCGTTCCACGTTCTTAACCTTTGATCAGTGAAAGGCCACAGCTTGACTGATGAACCCGTCAGCTGGAGGTTAACTTGGATTGAACGGTTTTACCCGTGATCCGTTGTAAAGGCATCCTTTCATATTTCTTCTATAGGTGCTATTGTCTAAACATTGAGACCTAAATTATACATTTATTGATCTACGCTCGTACTTTTCTGAGCTACACATTACCAAAAGCCAACATGGAACTAGCTTCCATTCTAGGGGACGAAACCTGAAATTAGCGATGGTGATACCCGTTCATTCTCCATTCTTTCACTGTAGTTTAATCCATGTTGTGCTTGTCTTACCTAGGCATGTAGCTTGTTAGCGGCAGGAAACTGTCAGTTAGATAATTTAAATATCGGAAAAGGTGGATTTATTTGTACACTGCAGCAATATATATGGTAAGTTACAGTGTTACCTGGGAACACAAATATTTCTGAGGATCTTGAAACAGGGTTATCTGAGCATTTTGATGCTGAAATTCTGAGGAATCATTTGATCTTTCAATGTGTCGGGTCATTCTTGTGGACGAAATAGGAGGGTAACGCATCGCAGACGTTGCTAAATTTTGCATATATAATGTCCCTTTGAATGAATGGACTAGAATAATAATGTCTGTACAATTTTACACTTCCCTGTCCCCTTTTTTTTCTAAGTGATATTGCGGATTTCTATAATTGGATACCGAGATGTTATCAGTTTCCATATTTTTTTGATGTCTGTCGCGAAAAATAGATTGATGTTCTTTTCGGATGTGATGTATCCACTCACTCCCCCCAACATTGTGGCATTCTATGGACGGTATACAGCTCGAGAACTACCATTTCTAGCAGCAATACCCTTCTTTCTAGGACTATTTCTCTTGGGACTTTGCCTAATGAGGATGTGCATATCTTATAAATCTGATTTATTTCTTTGTAGTATACAAAGAATGTAGTATTGCAAGTAGATTAAAGACTTGTCTTTGTGAGTGTAACTCTAACATGTTGGGATGGTGTTAGCGAGTGTGACTGGATAGATTGTGATTGGGCTTCCCCATTGCCTTAGATCTCAATGCTTTCCATGTGTACGCTTCTGTTCTTGTCGGATCTGTGTAGATATCATTCTAGAGGATCGATTGATTGCGTAGTGGAATGGAAGAACAATCTACGACTGAAGATGAAATATTATCTGCCAGGGTGATATTGGTAAAGATCATAGACTATGTTATAATACCAAAAATATCATCTTTATGTACTGATTTCTCCAAGATTTTATTCATAGCAAATGAGACCTCCAAGGGATGAGAGACAGGGCTGAAGAGAGAGCCAAAGGAAAGAACAAGGGCTGAAGGCTGTTTTCTCTCTAAAAAAACGTATTTTGTGATGGAAATCAGTGATTTTCAGGCATGCCTTCTCTTTAGGGATGAGTTGGAGTCTAATCACGTAATGTGGGGACATTTTTCTGGGTATAAAAGTTATGTAAGTAGACGGGAGACGCCAATATTTTGCTATTGCGGGGGTATCATTCGAGGGCATCCGAGGGGGGCAGTGCATTTCATTTGGCTCCTGGGTTCCTGATCGTGGAGATTTGGGCTGGAATATGTTTGGAATATGAAGGTGCTATCCCTCTTACTAGTTTACCAAGTCCTGGAGATTCTTGGAGATCAGTATATATAAGTGTAAAAGCATCTATATTTTAGACTGCTGATAATGTGTCTAGAGAGAGAGAGAGAGAGAGAGAGAGAGAGAGAGAGAGAGAGATTTTCCCTTACTTCCCCATGTCCAATTAATCAATGTGTTATGGTCACGCATTATTAAATGCAAAAAGCTAAAGTCGAGCAAAAGATAATAACATTACATAAAGATTCTTGAGAGGGAGAGAGAGAGAGGTTTTCCCTTCACTTCCCATGTCCAACTCACCATCATTGTGTTGTGGTCACGTATTAATAAATCCAGAAAGCTAAAATCGAGCAAAAGAGAGCAAAATCACCTAAAGATTCTTGAGAGAGAGAGAGGGGTTTTCTGTAAGGACCCATATTATGTCACGCTGACTTGGTGGTCCCATTCTTGAGAGAGAATGACGCCACGCCATGGTTTACAAAATAGTAAGGCCATTTTCAACGAGTATCGTTGTTGCTCCCAAGTTTCGGTCTTCAACGATACTGATCGCACTGATCAGCAATTTCCTTTTCTTATAGGGAAGAACAAGAACGGAGAAGCAATTTCATTTCCTTGTAAGAACTTTAATTAGGGTGGCAATGAATATGATGCAAGCAAATTCTCCTGGATAGCAACAACATTCCATCTATATATACACTAAGAACTCTTTTTCTGCTACTACTTCTTAGTGGCTTTGATGATCATGGCCTGAGTTCAATGTTGGCACATCCAAACTTTAATTCTATTGAACGTTAATTAATGTTTGAGTGTGGGGTAAGTAGGAAATATGATGAATACAAATTATGCAAAGTAACATCAACATTCTATATATAGACACATCTACATACCCTAACGCTCTCTTTCCACTGTTACTTGTTGGTGGCATCAATGATCATGACTTACTTCGAGTCCAATGCTCACCCATCTGAACTTAAAGTCTACTTGATCTTTAATTAGGGTATTAAGGAAAATAATGAATACGAATTCTGCAAGGTAAAATCAACATTCTATATATAGACACATCTGCAGACCCCTAAAGTTCTCTCTCAACTGCTACTTCTTCGTGGCATCAATGATCATGAATTACTTTGAGTCTAATACTCACCCATCTGAACTTTTAATTCTAATTGATCTTTAATTAGGGTATTAAATAGAACGATGAATACAAATTTTGCAAGTTAACATCGACATTCTATCTATAGACACATCTGCATACCCCTAAAACCCTCTTTCTGTTGTTACTTTGTTGGTGGCATCACTGATCATGACTTACTTTGAGTTCAATGCTCACCATCTGAACTTTAATAAGGGCAGTAATGAGTAAGATAAAATGGTAGGTATCCTAGGCAACAATGCACAAAATAAAAGGAAATAATGGTAAGAAGGGCATGATAAAAGATCAAGGGGGGATCCCTCTCCTCGTAGATGCCCTAACATACCTACTCTCTTTGTGTGACGTAGAACTCCTATTCCCGCAACCCTAACCCTTTACCAGTCTATTCCTTCAAACCTCAAACCTCAAACCTCATCACCTCACTGTAGGTGATGTGCGTTGTGGGTTCCGTATAATGGGCCATAAGCCCATTGGGCTGGCTCGGGGGGGGGGGGTCCATCAGAACACAAAACTCTATAGGATAGTAACAACATTCTATCTACATACTCACACACACATATCTGTAGAGCCCCCAGAACTCTCTCTCTCTCTCTCTCTCTCTCTCTCTCTCTCTCTCTCTCTGCGGCTATTTCTTGGTGGCGTCGATGATCTTGGCTTGGGCCCAATGCTCACCTATCTGAACTTTACTTCTGCTGGACATCAATTAGGGTGGGAAGAAATAAATAATGAACACAAATTCTGCAGGGTAACAACAACATTCTATCTACACACATACCTGCAGACCCCCAAAACCTCTCATTTCTGCTGCTACTTCTTTGTGGCGTCGATGATCATGGCTCGAGTCCAATGCTCGATGTCCTCAGACTGCGATGGTGGAGGGGGAAAGGTTGGGTGCTCCACGATGTCCCACCCTTCAACGAGGCTGTCGGGCTTTCCAGGTTCAGCCGCCTCAGTGGTGAAGAAGAAGCTGGCAGCTGCCGAATCCGAGAGATCAGGGTGAGGAACACTTCGGCGCCGTCTCTGCCAAGTTAGATGAACAACAAGCAAGGAGGGGAAGAAAAATCATATATATATATATATCTATGCATATATGCGTGTGTGTGCATAGAAGCTTGCTAATGACGTGAGGAGAATTATGGATCTTAAGAGGAGAGACTTCACCTGTAGTTGTGTGCTGTCTGCCAGGCTGCCGGTTGATGCCACAGAATTTACATGCCACACGGATTTATTCAACTGTGGTGCTTGCTTACCAGATCTGGAATGGAAGCATACCGAATGTTATTGCCTTACAGGAAAAAAAATAAATCATCTAGGTGGGTTTCTGTGCATAAAAAAAGGCATGATCATGAACTTCTGGGAAAGAAATCTGTTCATCATCATCCAACATCTAGGTGTGTTTTAATTGGCATAGGAGCTCATCAGCTCAAGTTTTACACTAAGAGCATGCATACAGGAAATAAAATCATAGAGAAGCATTCAAAGTTGTCACCCATGTCTGGAATCATGTTCACTACAACTGTTGGCGATAGGAAAAAATAAAAATAAAGTTATAATTCTTTGTATTGAACTCGAACTTTCCCTCTTTATCCATGCATTCCAGGATTCAACTGGATATGGGAAACTGGACGATTAATAGCACCTAACTTGGGGAAAGTATATCTACCTTGAGCATGCCATCTTCACAGAGAAAGCTGATCGGACCTCCTTTGAAGAAGAAAGAGTGACCAACAACTTCCCAAACGCCTCAAAAGTGGATGCTTCAGAGGGTATATCCAGACCCAGCGAATTATAGCAATATGCGGTAACATTGGAGACACTTTTCTTCAGGAGTGATATCCCTTTCTGCAGGTCCTTGTGGGTCTCAACGCTGTGCAGAGAAGCACAAGAATAGTTGAAACTGACGCTCCCTGCCGCATCCAAGGAAGGCTTCTTTACGGACTCCACTGATGTGACCCCAAAATTACTCGCACTCTTATCATTCCATGAGTTTTCTTCTCCAGTGGATGAGCAGAAACTTTGGCGAGGAATGAAGAGCGGGTACTCATTGCTGCATGAGATATGTAGATGAACAAGTCTTGCTGATGATATTTAAAAAATAAAAAAAATAAATAAATGATTTGACCATTGAAAATTTATGTTGGCCAGCGTTTACCTTTGTGAAGAGGGGCGGGCATCCCAATATGTCTGTTTCTGCCATATACGTGAGCATGAGCCCTGAAAGAAGAAACTCATGTAAGATCAAACAGAACTGACCAAACAGACCCAGCACCATATGGAGGCCACTGTAAGTAGCCCTTCAGAGAGCTATATTGAGAAGACCCACAAAACTCACCGCAAAACCAGAATTATGGAGTGCAGGAGCAGCCAAGATTGGGATGACCAAGTTCAGAAGTTGGACCATGTACCTGCCATTATTAGCATTGGAAAGAAGCCTGAAGAATTCCGATAATACACCAGCATATGATCGAGATACGTGGAAAAAGTATACAACAACAGGAGTAGAGAAGGACGAACCCTAGAGATGCACCAAGCTCTTCACACGGCACAGAATGTGGATCAAGTGCTCTAGGCAGGTGTGCATTACATATCAGATCCGATGAGCAAGCTGGATTCCTTTTATCTGCATCTGAATTCACCTGGAAACCGACCGACATAAGGACTTTGCAGAACGTTTTCAAAGGAACTCAATTTAGCAAAGTCAACGAGCAAAATCATGATTAATGCCACAAATTGGTTGTGAAACTCAGAAACTGGGATGTTTAATCTTTTATGAGCTTCATTCTGGGGACAATAGAAAAAGTAAATGTCATAGGCCTGATTTCATAATCATCGCTAATATTTGGTGCAGAATAATTCTAAATGTTTCTCCTTTTCTGGATGAGGTAGTTTCGCAACGTATTATAAAAAGACAATGAAAACCAGAGAAGATTGACAAAGAAAAGGGAACAAAAGATTAAAAGAGCAATGCAATCATCCTTCTCCACTTAACTACAAAAGGCTCACTGTACTACTCTCCCCCTCACTGTGTACTGCAAAACAAAAGAAATCACCAGATTTCCAGCGGCACCAGAGCATCTTCCAGATAATCCATAATAGGCAGGAAGCAAGTACCATATTCATCCTCAATGACTTGGGCAACGTGTTAAGTCTCTCAGCCAAAAGCAGTCCTTATTTTCCTTCCCACACAAATATGGCGTGCTGCGTCACAAACGACCACACCAGATTTTTTTTTTCCTTTTTCTGGGACCATGAAAGTCCGGTACTACTTCTAGTCAGCACAAAAACGGGCATTCAAAGGTCCGTCACAATTGCTTCCAGGAAAACAGCCAACTGAGAACTTAGGCGGGAATTTGCTTCCACCAATCTCGGGTCAACATCATTGAAACTCACATGAGGAAGTTCTTCCATCTCCTAATATCATGCATTCAAAGGTCCGTCACAATTGCTTCCAGGAAAACAGCCAACTGAGAACCTAGGCGGGAATGTGCTTTCACCAATCTGGGGTCAACATCATTGAAACTCGCATGAGGAGATTGTTCCATCTCCTAAAATCTGCAGAGATGCTAATGCAGCAAATGGATGACTAAAAGATACGATTGGATTCATCACGATGGGAAACGAAGTGAGCGGATGATTTTAGAGGACAGTTCGATCATAGGGTTGTATCAGTATCCCTTCAAATATCCTCGACAGCCTTATAGCTATGGATACCAAAGACCTTTTCCTAATGTGTTTCTCGGAAAATATGATGACACCACCAAGTGAATTTAAGCATTTACTTTTTTTTCATCAGCATTTATTAGTCACCAATATAGTTTTTGGTTGTCATTTGGAGGATAATTTTGTGTGATACGGAAGTTTTGATGGTGATTGTTTCCTTCTCACAAAATGATACTAAATAGATCCATTAAAACCCAGTTCTGTCAAGGGAGATATTGAGTATCTATGAGAACCTTCCATCCAAATGTGGGCTACAATGAAATATAAATTAAAGGAAAATATTTACCAGCCCACTGCAAAAAGTATCTGTAGAGAAAAGATGAATTTAAGCTGACCTATTTCTGTGAGAGTATATGAACCGTTTCAAAGACGCTATAATGCTTTGTGGTCAAGATGACCAGCAATGGGCCATGGCTACGAAAGTTTGTTAATCGGTTATGAGGAATTATCAATTGTTAAGTTCATGCAAATGATTGTGCCGTTGGAAGAAGCCTTTCACAAAACTGTTGAAGTTGCGAAATATCTTAAATTTTCTATTAGTCGATGGGTGATTCCTCACATCAAAGGCAGCAAATTGAAGCAACCAAGGCCCTTATAATCTTCAGATAATCCTTAAATATTCATATCATGAGGTGCAACTTTCTCTAGGGTGATGTATATTTTTGCAGCTAAACGACTTCCTCATCCATTCAACGTGTCTGCATATGGTTCATACATGATAGAGATCGTTAGGTTGGTGAATGAGTTTGAAAATGCGTCTTTAGAGGAGCTTCCTGATGAGAGAGGTATACTGCAATTCCTTGATCTTATTGATATTATCGTCAATTAACATTCATGATGTAGTCAAATTCAGTCACTTCCGCTTCCACAGCGAGTCGGGTTTAGTGAGTGTGGCTCAATAAATAAAACTGTGAGATAATTCGTCGTAGGAATTATCAAACCTCTTAACTTGGGTAGCGGATTTTTTGGTTAAAGTTGGAAAAAGTTACCTATGTTGATGTTTTCACTCAATGAACATGCATCGTTTTAGAATGCTATGAATCCATTGACACCTGCTGTCTAAAAGAGGGAGTCCATTGAACAACATAATCTCCTCGCATTGTCCCACAAACCAGTAAGAACTCCAGTAACTATGACAAATAACGTGGGAAGATGGAATACCCATTCCCAACCTTTCAGGCCAATATCAACCGTCACTAATTCATATCCCTCGCACAAATTTCGTAAACATTACTCTTGAACAAAAAGGTCTGATTTGTACTTGCTAAGAGGTCTCGCAACAATTTATTTGTCCAAAACTAATAGGTTCATTCTTGCTAGAAGGGCTTTTGGTGTCTGATGTGGATCCTACATTTAAAATGAGAGATCAGAATATTATACTCCATAACATTCATACGTGAAGAAATGTGTCATGTCTCTCTTACAGTAATACTCTACCATTTCAAAAGACTTTGCGTCTTTCAAAAATGCTTGAGACAAGCCCCCTCCCACCCGTCCTCTGTGTGTGCAGATCGTTACTATCTGAACTGCTCACTAATATCATATCAAATCTTCTGCTAAAGACTTATCATGTCCCTTGTCAGTAACAGTTAGTATGAGGACTGCTTTGCCGTGGCTGAACTTTCATATAGGTTCTGACAGGATATTTCAATAACTCTCGATCACCATGTACTGCTTTGTTAAGAATCTACACTGGTGGATCTCCTTTTTTACAGTACATGACCAATTAACAACCATTAATTACTTTTGGAAAAGATGGAAAAATACATAATGGTAGAAGGGCCATGTTTAAGTAAAAAAATATTACTAAAATTTAACACCTTTTGTCTGATTTTTTTTTAATACTGTAAACAGTCAAAATTTAACATAATGCAGCACAAAAGAAAAGCAAAAACTATTGTATAAAGCAATCATTAGACTAAAATGCAAAAAATATACACAGAAGAGTTGAAGTTCTTACATGACGTAGAGGAAATAACTTGCAGATTTGTTTCATAACAACTGACTGCTTATGCAGGAGCTCAGAGGTTACGGTCATCTGCATGAAAATAGATTGTGTTCTGACTTCCGAACATTTTTATAAATAAAAATAGAAAGATCTCTTAACTAAAATGACATGGAATGAGAATTTCCATTTCCAACGATTGCAAAAGAATTCCTTATTAATAAGAACAAAACTTATGCATGACCTACTCTACGACAGAGTTGAACAAGACACAGATATACGACATCTTTTCAATCATTCCAATGGTCCTATCACATTATTCTGCTTCCCAAATAAAATACCCTAAAGTAAAAACAATGTACATCATAAAATATGTTCACCAGACTGAATAATTAATATCTCATCCCTAGATTACTCCTAGTTAATAGAATTCCATACTAGACTGTATCAATTTTAAAGGAAATGTGAGACCTCCAATATCTAAATGGACGATCAGGGTTTTAGGTGAAATTTTTGACATAAATATCTCTCGTTTGGTGACCATTGAATTTTGAAAAACAATGAACCCTAGACATTTTTCAACCTGAATGTCCAGAACAAGTTTGTATGGTGATATAATAATAAAGTTCAGTATACACAAAGCATAGTAAGGCATGCACCTACAAAAAGAAGTGGGAGTCAAATGAGATGCATATCCCTTTGTCAGATCTGAAACAAACATAATTAATTGAAAGATAGTCTTGAGAAAGGTAGAGGGAAAAATAGATATTGCATCCAATGATCTCACTCTGATTTGAGTGTCAAAGAGGCAAAATTCGAGTAATACTTTCATGCAATTCCTTATTCTGGTGTGATAGATGAATTCTTCTTTTCGATATTTTCTATTGGTTACACCACTCTAAAAAAGACAAATCCTTGCATTTCAAAGAGGAGAAACATAAAGCTGGATAGCAGTTATCGAGTTATTTACCCATCCACATGGGAACATAGGAGAAGAAAAATGCTAGCAAAGGATTTATCGCTGGAGGTATTGTCTTAATTTCTTCCATGTCTTTAAGCTTAGCTTTTACACTAATCTGATGAAAAAGGTTTGCTGCATCCAGCAGCAAACGGGATGTGATCTAATAATTTCGAATAAAGTTTAAAAAGAACTAATATTTACAAAGAAGTAGCCCATGAAGGCACGTGTCAATCTTTAAGTGGGACAAAATAAGAAAAAGTGTGATCGGTATCATTATACAAATTTGATGAGAAATAAAAATGTTACAGAATAAAACAAGCATGAGATACCAATGCTAGTCCAATTAGATCCAAATCCTACTCAACTTTAGAAGCCTGTCATTAGATATTAACCAAATTATCTTTAAACTATTACATATGACCTTCCCAAAAGGTACCGAGTAAACATTTTACAGCTTGTGGTTTTGCTCAATAACTAGCTCGTTCAAACATAATATAAAATACATTTTAATACTGAATAAAAACCTAAAGATATTAATGAACAACAGTGACGAGCTTGGAGCCTCACTTGGATCTTTAAAAGAACAATTGAGTACTTCTGAGTTAGAAAGACTGAGCTTCTAAGTCCTCGACCTTGAAAACGTCAGATGATCCTCACATGACGAGCTTTCCATAGCTTGGGAAGGGAAATTATTTGCTAAAAGCTTTTTAATGGCTTGTTTTTAAATCTTTCCTGAATGTTTTTGAAGAAAGATATTGGATAGCCTTTTCAGTGTGAACTATTATTTATAACAGGTGCAAACACTCGAGCGTAATGGGTACAATGTTAAGTATTAAGTGTCGTCAACTCAAGTTTTCATATGTTGACACTTGTGCACTGGATTTTGACAGATTTGCAAGTAGAAACCCCTGAACTATAGTTGCTGACGCTTATCGACTTGACTTTCTATTTTACTTCTAGGTGTTGACTTGAAATCTGTTGAAAAACATAGAGGTAAAGTGATGGGGATCATCTTTGACAGGTACTAGGGTCGACATCAGTGAAAAATTGAGAACTAAATGCTCAAATGTTGGCTCCTGAACTTTAGGTGTTAATATCTTCAAATTTTACTCTCATAGGCGTCAACCTGTTTTCTTTAGGTGTCAATGCTTGCTACGTGTTACTTCAAGATCTAATTGGTTTAACGAGCTTATATGACAAAGCCTTTTGGGTTATTAAAATAGTTTAAACATTTTTTTTCAGCTCAAAAGTATGTCAAGTGAAGGCGATCCAAGTTGCTACAATGCGGCTACAATCCAACAACATAGTTTCACTATTGAGACACTACAAGATAAACAGAATCAAACATCAGGTGAGATAATTCACGCATCATCTGTCTGTTAGAGACATTCAAATTCCAAGAACTTGATATGATCATCGAACCACTAGTATCATACTTCAAAAAATTCATCTGTAGCCACTGCTTGGGGGTTATATTAGAACAAAGTTAAAAAGAAGTTTGTTCACATTCGAACTACATCTGCTTTGGACGGTGTATCGTGACTATTATAAAACAGCAGCAAATTTAATGATACTCGGAGAAACTGGAGACAAGAATGAGACTCCCAATAAAATCATTCAATACTTGATTTTCCCTACATTATGAAAGACATTTTATAAGAATTGAAACGTTTAAAGGATGATCAAACATAAAAAAGGAAACAACAAGAAAAAGAACTCACATGCCACAAACTCTGGGTGCAGATAAGGTTAGAGGACTTTTCCAGCAGCTCTGAACGGCTCCTATTTAACTGGGGAAATTGTAGCATGGATAAAAAAATGTATAAAAAATAAATTAATTAAAAATGAAGAGCAAGACAGAAAAAACACTTACCATAGAGAAGGCTGATTCCACCAATTTTTCCCTGGACCTTAGATCATTTGTTGCTTTAGTCACCAAGGTCTTGCCTGAAGGAAAACAAACATAGTTCAATAGGAAACCCTAACAAGTCACGAACAACAAGAAAAACAAAGCCTCGAAATAAGGTGTACATTATAACTATGGAATGGACCTTGTGCAAGCTTCTTCTCTAAATGATGTAGTCTCTCCTTCAAACGCGTAAGTTTCACATTTTGGGATACTCTCCAACTTATCTGCTCAGATGCCTTATTCTGGATGAAGAAGAAATTACCATTATAAATTGTAGAAGTTGTACAGGGAGTGAATACGAGAGGAATGTCAAAGCATTAACTGGTTAATAAATCAGAAGTCTTCTCTGGTAATGTCTCCTAACACTGACCCAAGAAAACTTGGGCAAGCTGTAATGAAATGTAATGGGCCCAATACCAACTAGAAGTATTGACAAAAAATGGTGTCTACAGCAGGTAATACTACGATTTCTCTCCTTGGAGGTGGGTGGGGGAGGGAGGTAGGAGACATTTTTTTCTATCAATATCTCACAAATCTGATATTGACAACAAAAAGGAAAATATTGGGCCTCAATTTCTGATCACTGACATTTTAGCCCATATCCTTAGGTCCTCCCGTAGACTAAAAAAAATTAGAGCACACTTCCAAATTTTCTTAGCATTTTTTCAGTGTTAGCTTTTGTATGAATCCTTGGAAAGAAGAATCAACCAATTTCGACCAGTAATAGTGCCAACTGATATTCTGAGGTTTCATATAAAATGAACCTTCAATATAAAAGAGATCTCGTTGTCATAAGTATAGAGCAGATGTTGATCTTCAGTTCTGTACTGACAAAACCAGAAAAATATATGTTATCCGTGTTTATTCATATACAAGAATGCATTCAGTCGAACATTGAATGGAAAAACTCTGGGGGACAGTAGATTGACAACAGTTGGCGTCAATTAATGGCCATGGCTCTCTTGAAATATTAATCACCTATGCGGCCAGCTGATATCCTTCTACTCAACTGATGCATACAGTTCATAGCTTTGTAATGAACACAAGAATTATCATATAACTATTGGAAGACAATCGGAATGATTCAACTTTAATTAATTAATATCCACTATAATTCAAAGATCGTCAAAGACATAATATGCATTTACGAGCTTTTAAAATGGCCCCTTTGATACTGTATCATGTTATTTTCTGCCAGTATGTATTTTCAGAAATTGCAAGTATGCTATAAGATCAAGGAGAAATTCATCCGGTGAGTACAGGATTGCAACTTTCAACCGCAAATGTGCTCTAAGGTATGTGATAGAAATGGGACAGCAAGTAGCAGAGACATTTTCTATTTCATTACAATGAGTCTAGATTGTTTCAAGCCAAACACGATGTCATGCAGGGAGATCTAGACCATCTGTGCTGTATCGTAATTCTGAAGACAACAGAACCTGGTTTTATGTCTTGGAATGTCATTATCAGTGTTCAGACATTTGGGATTATGATATGGGATTGGACGAGGGAAGAAGTGATTTTTCCCGGCCACTCTTCCACAATTAATCAGTTGCTGCCTATTATTACTGTGCAATTATTGATCACTTTCCCCGTTCCTCAGCTACATTGGCATCACTTCTTAGAAACTTACTGCTTTTTTATCTAACTAAAGATACTATCTGTTATCCACGCTGACTTAGTTAATACATGTTTACAATTATTGCCAACGCACTACATTTTTTACTTTACTTAACACGATCCGATTTCGACTTATTCCATCTAGTGACAGAATTCTCGTGATCTTCACCTCCTACAAGCAGTCTACAGATAACTTGCTTGGTTTTCCGTTCCATGTAAGGTAGCCTTATTGAAGGTATATGACAGTGATGTTGTTTCCGCAGACCTTGAAAAAATCAAACTACCTTCACTAAGGTTAAAAAGTGATGACCCTCTGTGAGGGTTGACGTCAAAAGAGCTCCATATAATATGCCAACCAGAAGAAGCTCATTTGACTTGTTCAAGGAGTTTAGATATACATGCTCAGAAATCTCATTCTCAATAGAATTTTCAGCATAATTTTTTCACTTGATGTGTAGCGACGCGGAATGAAGACTGACATGGGGCAAGTGACGATACAACAATATACGGTACATAAAATATAAGACCAACGCTGAGAACATAATTCTAGACCTTCCATAGGGTTCCAAAAAAAGTTAAAAGGGCACCTTCGCTATTAGCACAGCGTTGAGCCTCGCATACAGGGAATCTCGCGTGCTCTTGGACGACTTCAATGACGTACCGGAAACATTCAGCCTGGTGAACGCGAAATTTACGAGAAAACATCAAAAAAAGGCTCATGATTCCACCTGTAGAGTGGTGAAGCGAGAACATAGGAATCAGCCAGAAAGGGAAAACAACGCCAAGACCTGTAATTGACGCAGCCGGCGCATATGGACGGCTGGTTGGAGCGCTCGCAGAAGGCGCAGCAGCTGCTGCCGTTGCCCTTCCCCGCCATAAACCTGCTCTTGCTCCAGCCAGGGAGCTATGGCGGGAGATCCCCAGAGGGAGAACCTATAGGAAGCTTGCAAAAATTCGTTGGTTCCTTCCTCTTCCTTCTCTTGCCGTCCCCAGAAGTCACATCTTTGACGGTGGAGATGGTTTCACTGCTCACTGGATCGGGAACCGGGTAAACCAGTCCAGACCGGGTTGCCATCGGTCCGGAAACTCGGCTCGGATCGACCGATCGAACACGACTCAGACAAAAGACAAAATTTAAAAAAGCCATACAAAATGTTTACCAGTTTTAAAAGGCCCACAGTTTATTTTTCTGTGGCACCGAACCATCTCGAAGCTTGCGCTTCTCTCCCTCTCCCTCTCTCTCTCTCTCTCTCGGAGAAAAACAAATTTCAAAAATCTATATAATAGTTTTTCAATTTTTAAAAAGCCCTCGAGTTTATTTATTGACACCCAGAGCCATCTTCAAGCTTGCACTCTCTCTCTCTCTTTCGGAAAAATAATTTTAAAAAAGGCCATATAAAATTATTTATGATTTACAAAGCCCTCGAGTTTATTTATTGGCGCCCGAGCCATCTTAAACCTTGCGCTCTGTCCCTCGGACAGAAAAGGAAATTTTTAAAAGACCATACAAATGTTATAAATTGTTATCAAGCCCTCAAGTGTATTTATTGTGGCCCCCGAGCCATCTTCAAGCTTGCGCTCTCTCTCTCTCGGGCAAAAACCAAATTTAAAAGAGGACACAAATGTTTAAACATTTGTATAAAGCCCTCAAGTTTACTTATTGGGGCCTCCTGCCCGTCTTCAAGCTCTCTCTCTCTCTCTCTCTCCCCGCCGCCGCCTCCCCGACGTCTTCCTCTTCATTTTTCGCAGTCCCTGGACTGCGTATCGCACAGACCATTTATGCTCCCGCCTTCCTCGCTATTCCCCACGTCTGACGACCTCTCTCTTGCACATCCGGAGCACCGCTGGGGTTTGGCTGCCTTCTGAGAAAGGCTCATCTTTAGTGGCTGCCGGAGAAATTTAGTTGTCTCGACGAGGTAGGTGAGTTTTTCACTGCGTGAACTATGTGAATGTTAGCCGTCAATGTATCCGAGTTTCTTCTACTTCAACATACGGCGTCTGCTTTATTGTGGATATGTGCCTATGTTTTTTTACCTCGTTACGTTTAATTCCAATAAATCTTAATAGTTTTTCATTTAGAGGTATCTGTTTTTTTTTTCTTGTGAATGAATCTGCTGCTTTCGTGTATGTGACTGTGTCTCGACATATCTACCTGCTTTTTACTCGTTTCGTATGGTTTTACTGAGGTTTGTGTTTCTCTTTTGGAATTATAGTGGTTGATGGGAATCTCTATCATGTAACAGTTGTGCTCCGGAACATTGGAAACCAAGGATAAGAGAAATCACGGAAAAAACCATGTTTTTCTTGGTGTTTGGTAGAGGTGCCGCATACATTACATATGCTTTTCTCAATTGACGGAAATATTTCTGGAATTTTAACTTTAAGATCCGTAACCATATCAGGAAAACTATTAAACCAGCAATGTCGATTAGTTGTGTCATATTTTTGGAAATCTATTGTGAGGACACCATTTCATTACCACTCGTATTTATACATGTACAAGTGTGATTGTCATTCTATATTTTGAATTTCTTTGTTATCATGTTCTCAACACTGGATACCCCATTCTATCTTTTGACTAAATAACTTGAAGTTGCAAAAAAAATTCTCACTAACTTTTAGAATTGGATCCTCATTTTCAGTCGAAAAGTTTTCTTCCTCTAGGAAAATATGAGGGATGAGATGCAGGTAGAAAGAAAAACAAACTACTTTTGATATATATGTATATAGAAATGGATACGAAGAGAGAGAGAGAGAGAGATTCTTTCTTTGAATGGACTTTTGGTTGAATCATATCAGGTGTCATTCCATCTCAGTAAGATTCTATACGCAAATGATGCTTATTGTTGATCTCATCTAGTCGAGATGTCCATTGGCCCTTTTCTTAAGAGGGAGTGGCATCACTAGATAATATGTACTTATCGTGGGACTGGGCATTACTTCTTATCTTTTCTTCGGAATTATTTTCCTGCAAACACCTGAGTTGATCTATCAGTCTCAGTTTACGAACTGAGACTGTTCAACCAGTTCTTAGTTTCTGAAGCAAGTGAGATAGCTAGATTTAGGGTTGACGAAAAATTGCTTATCAATGAGAGGAGTTTTTGGTTAACTCATTTTTTGGTCCCAATATGTAATGAACTGTGTAGATGATAAAGGGATTGATTGAAGGCGCGTTAGTAATGAACTGCTCTACTTGGTTAGGTAATGTGGGTTTGATTTAGGCAAATAAGTCGGATTTTCTTTGCATGCCTCCCATTATTTACAGCTGATGCTTATAATTGGAAATTGATAACGTCTTCCATTCTGAGAGGGGGGGTTAATAGTTACATTGACGAAAAATTTCATTGTGCTAGTATTGTAAGCTATGAAGAAGTTACCTCTGGGGACAATATTCCAATAACTGTAGAGATTTATCGACATAATATAATTTTAGAGATTATATTTCTTCTGATGTTGAATTCAACCACCTTTTTTTTCTGTCACTGATTCTTTTTCTAGCTACTATTTGATGATGAGACGATTTTTTTTGAAAAGCTAGAATCATTACCCATTATGGGTATTAAGGTAGTATCATTTTACTGCTCACGAGTTTTTAAGTCTGAAAAATCCGCATGAACAGTAAGTCGAAATATCATACAAAAATGATATTTTCGGCGATAAATTATGCGTCCAGCAGAAATCACCAATTTCTGTTCTTGCTGTTTTTCTTTTTCCTTCCGCCTTTTTATCTTTTCCTTGCCTCTGCAATGACTTATGGTTCGTTTCACTGATATGCTTGAAAGGAATGGGGAAGGCAAAGGGCGGGTCGATATTCATCAGGCTGGTCTCAGCAGCAGGAACTGGATTCTTCTACGTGAAGCGAAAGAACCCACGCAAGTTGCAAGAAAAGCTCGAGTTCCGGAAATATGATCCTCGTGTTAATAAGCACGTATTGTTTACTGAGGCAAAGATGAAATGAGCTAACTTTTTTCATTCAACTTAGAAAACAGCCTCCCGTTGCTTCCCTGTTGTGACTTGTGCTTCCCATTTCATCCTTCTTGCCATCTTTTCCGATCATAGATAGCAGTTTGAGCATATGAGCATCACAACCTGCAATGTCTCTGTTAAATTGAATGCCAGTTAATATGAAGGCTGTTGTTATCCTCAGCATTGTTCTATTTTCCTCCAGCGAATATCAATCACTTAGTTTTATGATTTTTTGATGCGTATCTATGAAAAGTTATATGATTAAAAGTTATATGGCAGTGTGAGGGGAGATTTGTCTTCAGAAAGTTTCGGCCATGAACTTGGCTGCAGCAAGCTTGTCAATGGTTGGACGAGCAACACTATACTAATGCTCGATCTCCAGTGCATTCTTTTTAATATTGGCAATTCTGATAGTAGGATAATCTTGAAGATTCAGCTGAATTTCACTGAAGTAAGATGAAACCAGAGCACTCCAGGGTGCTGGGGAATGCCAATGTTTTTTCCTTAGAAAAATTCCAGCCACTACTGTTCTGGAGAAATCTTAAAAAAAAAGGGCCAAGATCCACAGCTAGCGACACATCTGCAACTCCGAGAGTGCACTCTTTTCAGCCAATAAGCATTGGAAGTATGATCACTCGCCCATTGGATTTGCGTGTACAACCAACTAACGTACATCCATTGGCAAGCATTAAGTTGTCCATCTTAAACAAAAGAACTCAACAAAATTTTCAGTCTTCCTGTCAATGCTCCATTCAACAACACTTAGTGAAAATCATCATTCCTGGAGTTCTTGTCTGGAGAAATCATCCATGGCTAGAGTGGTGCCAGATTCCTAGTCCAGCCTTTCAAGCATCTGGGATCAGAGAATGCCTTCATGTAGGGATCTGAACTGAAGTGTGTTCTTCAGGATGTACAATTGCCATTTAAACTTGAGTTCTTGCCTTTCACAGGAAATTGTTCTGTAGTACTTTCTTTAGCTCTTCTAGTCTCTGGATGACCTTTGGATTCATAAGGTCTCTGGCCTCCCTTATAAGAGTTCCTTCTCTACTGAAATTGTATGCATCCAACACACTTGTAATCCATGTGAACAGCTTCTCAGGAGTCCTGTAAGAAGATGATTTTTATCAGAACGCATATAGAGAACTAATTCCCTCATCAGGTGGTGGGGATCAATGGCAGGAGCCATGGAACACAAACCTACTCCTAATATATTTTGCAATGCTCAGGTCTCCCCTCTAAATAAATTTAAAATAAAATAAAATAATCTAGGGCAGATCCCCTTGAAGAAAATGAAAATTGGACGGAACCAGCTAGAACTGCACTCAGAGTCAAACCCAGTCCTAACAAATTTTGTCATGCTCAGGGCCAAAAACGAAAAATAAAATAAATCTGGGGTAGAGCCCACTTGAAGAAAATGAAAATTAGGCGGAACCAGCTATAAATGCTCTCTGAGCCGAACACAGTCCTAACATATTTTATCATGCTCAGGGTAAAATTAAAAAAAGAAAAACAAAGAAAAAAAAAGAAAAAAAAGAAACTGGAGCAGGAGCTCCTTGAAGAATATGAAAATTGAGTAGAATCAGCTATAAATGCAGTGAGAGCCAACCGGGAGTGGGTGAGGATGCTAGGGCCTGGGCCTGTGTGGCTCATTTTGTTTATCAATGCCTGGTTTTCAGGCCAAGCCCAGGGTTACCTGGTCAGTTGACACCCTAAGTTCTTTAAGGATTAATCTAAACCAGGACGGATTTCAAGATGGGCTGAAATGCTTACGTGTAGAGGGCATCCATGTCCTTCCCTTCCAGTTCATCTCCCGGTGTAAATGCATCCCTTAGAGCAGAATTCTGCTCCTCAGGATCTTCAATTGTGAGGAGATATTTGAGTATTCTGATCTCTTTTGGCACGAGTCTCTGAAGATTACCTCTTGCAGTCATATACAGATGGTATAGGATGTCCTTTACCTGCCCAAAGGAAGACACTATTTATAGACATTCACTAAACTTTGTCAACAAAATCACTAAAAGTATGGAGCTAAAGCCATCATACCTCATCTTTCATCATATTTGATTCTTTTGCAGAAGACCAAGCTTTGGTGAGCATTAACATCAAAGCAGAGTCAAGTTCCTTCTTCTCAGCCAGACTGTCAATCTTTCTGCATGCAACATCGAGAGAAGGAGAGTTTATGATATCTTGAAACTTCAGTTCTGCGGCATTCAAGGCCTCAATGCTCTCAGATGCGCTGTCATATGCTTGCACAGCAGCCAAGCATGCATTTCCCAGGGCCGCAAGAGCTAACAGAACAAAGCAAGCATGCATCATACCAAGTCAGATCAGTTCAGTGAGTTGAACACAATAGTTTATAAAATCATTAATCTATGGGGGAACATAATCATATGGAAAATGATTGAATAGTTATACCATTTTGCTTTGCAGGGTCTTCATGGTAAGACTCTGCTACAACATGAAAATGCTCAAAGAACTCCCTGGTGAAATCTTTCCGTCGTCGGGTGACAATTTCGCCAATGTCCGCAGGTGCTTCACTAATCACTTCAAGAAGCTTGTTATGCCTTTGCACGTCATCATCAACCTGAGAAATTCGATTAAAGCATGAAGCTGGAGCGCAAGTGATAGAAGAAAATGTCACCCATGCAATTAGAAATCGTCTTACCTCCTTTAGTTTCCTTCCCAGACGAAGGAGTCTGTGTTTCATTCCAGGATCTTCCTCAGCATCTGCTTTCTCTTGGCAGCGGCTAAAGAAACGAGGTCGTATGTTATCCCACTCCCTGCTGAATGCTAGTAACCTCCTCCAATCGGTTGCCCTCGGTTTGTCAACCATGAAAACCTCAATTAATTTGTCACATACTTTGACCATTTTTTCGTCATCTAACTGGTCCATGTCAACTCTTCTGCCTTCAACCCTTCCGCCTTCTTCATTGCATTCTTGATGTTCTAGAGACGAGCTTAACTCTCCAGCAGAATCACTTGGGACTTTTAAGTCGCCTACTGCAGCAAGGCACCTTGACAATGCACCTCGATCTAGAATGACATAAAAGGTCAGTCATATGATGAGACCCACTATGTCAGCAAGCTTTTGTAAATGACTAATTGGGAAATTATGCCATTTTTTATTAACAAAATAATGGACAAAGCGAATCCTTCACCGCACTGTAAGAATTCCTTTCCAAAAACAAGGTATTTACATGGAATATATTGGTAGGCTTTCAAGTAATGATGCTTTGAATAAAACAACTACCCATCTACTAACAGAACATATAAAATACATCCATAAAATCATGTAGATTGGCCCTTTAATTTTTAATATGAATATATAAATCGACACAAACGGTTTTTTGTACAAACATTGGCCTTTGCCTTCTTGTCATCATCAAATATCCAAAACCAATTAATAAGGTTCAAGGGATATATATGTACTAATCCTACGTTCTAGTCCATATCTGATTACATTCATGCTCAATTCGACTAGTTCAGGTCTAAAAATCGCATGTTGGGTAAAATAGGACTAGTGATAAGAGTGCATCTCATACTGTTTTTTTTGACACAGATGATCACACGAATCCAAGACAGCCCTTCCTTTATCTGATAATAATACATTTTGACCTCAAAGCATCTCTTTTCCTCGCATAACAGCTCATTATGCCTTCATTCTAGACTGGTTATTAAAGAGAAAATCCTAACAACCATACTTGTCTATTTTAAAGACCAAACATCAAGAAGATTGAGGTATACACCATATCAGAGTCATCACAGAAAGTAGCACTGCTCGGACTTCTGGCAGCCTAGGTCGGTGTTCAGGGATAATCAGATGGCACAGTTCTCTTCCACTTCTGCCTGAAAATAGTTCGACTTAATAGTCATAGTTAGCTGGGAGCAGCCAGTTTCCAGGACAAATATAGCTGCCACCTCCAGTTTTGATTTCATCTTTTATCACTCACCAGGGCCATACAAAAGAAAATCTTTCTTGTACCAAACCATGAAAACTTTTGATTATAATCATGAAATATTCTTAGTGGCAATCTTATCATTTCACATTATGCAGCAAATTTATTTCCCAGAAAGCGTTTCCAAACTTCTTTCTACCTCGTTCATCAGCAGTAACATCCTGCCAGAAAACCCTGCTTCCCCAATAAACCCTGGTTTCTTACAAGTTGACTATAAAGATATAAAGCTTTATACCGCATACTGTAGGAGATTTTAAGGTTTTCTTTAGAAACCTTGCTTCAATCGGCATTCTGAGACAGAAAGAATACCTCGCTAGAGGATTGGGAACTCTCTGGGCATGCATTGATGATCAGATAATGTCATTTTTATGGGTACAAAACACGTAAGATACTCAAACAACTAAGCGCAGGGGTGCACATATAGCAGAGTCTTAAGATCCACCCTTCTCTTGATCTTCAACTAAGCGTGTTTCATAGGCAGAGTAATGAGTAATATCTAATCGTTGTTTATTACTTATTTCCTGCCATGAAATTGCAGTTGGATGGTCTTTGACTGGTTAAGGGACTCAAAATATTCGAATAATCTCCCTAACTCTCCATGATAATCTGCAAGAAAGTTTTCATGGCAGCGGTTTTTATACAGGACACGTCTTTCTCTCAGTTCAAAGATTCTTGAGCTTTGCATCGGCATTATGGGAAATTTGCAGGGAGAAAACAAAAACCCTAATCATCCAGAAGCTCAGTCGAATGAAGTGCCAATAAAGAGCCATAATCCTTTACCTCGAAGTTGGTGGAGAGAAGACGGCCAACCAGCAGAGGAATTTCCACAGCCACAGGTGACTCCGCTCCGGAATCTCAAGCGCAAGGCAGTGGATAGAAAACCTGGAACGTGAGGCAAACTCTGGGCGACCCGGAGAGAAGGCACCGTCGGACAGGAGGGGCGCAGGGCAGATGTCAGCTCCATGCCACAGGGAAGAGAGCCACCCTCTTTCAGTACTGCGACCCTGGCGCGACACTTACACAGACACCAGATGCCCCTCTTCCCACGAACCTGCCCCTCGATGATTTCAACAGAAGCGCTCGCGACGAGGTGAATGGCTCGCGAGTGTCGGCGAGGAGATGTTTCAGATGGGTGATAGGGATTCAGATTTTTAATGGCACGGGGAGGGGTGAGATTGACGGTAGCTGCCCGCCCGAGTGCTTCGCCGGTGGCCGGCAGAGGGCGACGAGGGCTGGGCGATTATCGCCAAGCTTTTCCAACTACAGAAGCTCGAACCCAGAATAAAATCAACTGAGACGATACCATAATGTCCATATCTATTGAGAGAGAGAGAGAGAGAGAGAGAGAAATAGAGAGAGAGAGAGCCTGGTGGTTCTACCGTCTTCTCTTATTAATCATGCAATCTTATGCTCTAGGAGTTAGAAGCGAGGAGACTGAGGAGACTAGGGAAAGGCTTCTTTCCTTGGTGTTTTATCATTAACTTGTGGATGTACACAATTACGGGTCATTGGAGGTTCCAATTTATTTGGAGATATACATCACATTATGGTAAAAAAAAACCATTATTTTTTATTTTTACTTCTTTTTTGAGCTCCACACTCATTTCCCCAAAAATTTTAAATCCGTCCCTTTGAAAAATTTTATCATTCATTCTTACGATAATGGATCAAATTTTATTCATGTTTCAATTGGACTTCCCACCAAATGAAATTTTGTTATTAGCAAAAATTTTAGCTCAATATTTTTATAACCCTATGAAAAGTCACATGCTATTTTAGGCCAATTTTTTGAAAAATAGTATCTATTTCCGTTTTCAAAAATAGAGTCAATTCACTTAGTAATCTCAGATTTATGAGATTACATTATAAACATATGATAAAATTCCTTAGATATTTGGGCTTTCAAGTTTTTAGTAGCCATTTCTTCAAAAAAATATGAATAAAATCATTTATTATGATAAATGACAAGGTGGTTACTAAGGTAGCCTATGGTGTTTTGATGATGACCAGATGTATAGAGGGGTACTTTAGTAGCTTCACTAGTGGTAGAATAGTTGATAAATAATTTTGATTGCTAACCATTAGAAAGATTCACCTACGTAACATAAAATTTCCTTAGGGCAGAAAAAGTCACTACCTATGACTTTGAATTAATTAAGGATTTTTCATAATGGTAGAACAGTCATCATTTACATATGACATTGAAATAATTAATTTTCTATAATAATTGGTGTCATTAATTTAGACACTTGAAAATTTTCTAACAATGAAACTCAATGCATCAAACCAAACAACAGAATACAAAGGTGTTGGATCACTATGGATGTTATAATATTAATGTATTTATATAGTTTAAAATATATATGTAGGATGTGACATTTTTTATATTGTTAGGTGACCATTAAGGTGGCTCATTACTCTAGATACCATGCATGGCCCTGTAAATTCTCTCTATATATAGGCCTCAACTCACATTCAGTTAGAGAGAAATTGGAAGAATGAGAGTGATACTCAGAAAATCTAGAGCAAACTTTAGTGTCCACCTAATAGTTATTGGAATGAATTAACTCATGAATGTCCTTTTTTTTTCAATGACTTAGGGAGTGAGTTGATTCCTTAATAGGAAAAAGACAGTCCAATTTATTGCTCAAGTAAATGAGTCAACTCAGTTGGGAAGAGCAAGTCTTAATTTTGAAGAAAGTATACATAGGAGTAAAATGATAGTTTTACATTATAAATCTTTTTGAAAATTTTCTTGACTCTTGATTACATTGAAAATGCCTAATTTATTTATGAAAAAATAAAAAATAAAAAGATTTTCTATTTTCTTGCAAGTTTGAAAATTTTACTTTGTAAAATAGTAATTTATTTGACTCAAAGTCTTAACACTACATGAAAAAATAGAATTTAATACAAGTCGATATAAATCTTAAGACTAATTGGTAGAGTGTATGTATTTGGGTGACCTTTTAACTGTTTTTTACCACTAAAAAAATATGGAAATCAAGAGAAAAACCATCCGTGTATAGCAATGAAATACCCCAAGCCTATAAGATGAAAAATCACTCCATGAACTCTCATGTACATTCTCTATTGACCATTTCACTACTCTCCAAAAGATGCCACAATAAATTGTATATTAAATTTGCACAAACATTTCTTTTTTCTCTTATTTTGGATTTGATACTTCTAACACTTGGTACAACCTAAAGCTTTAATCTAGAAGAGATTAATTGGGTTATAATCTAGATGGCCTCTATAGTCGTGAATCTAGGAGCGTTTTGAGAAACATGAATGGCTAAAGTTGTAAATTTAGTGTGGTGTTAACTAAAGCATTTTTGTTCAACTTAGGTACAAATGAAGTTAATAGAACCTAAGGATGAAATCCTTACAAAACTAACCAGGGCAAATGTGCAAAAACACAATAATTTTTCATTTCACTTATTGTTCAAATTAGAACTAAGAAGAGAATATAAAAATACCAATTCACTCCTTATTTGTTCTTATTTATCCGTTTCTGTTCGATTATTCGTTTATCTATCTATCTACCTTTCCATCGAAGGCGTCGCATACATACGAATTATACAATATTAGAGAAAATTAATATTTTGTGTTTATGCGTGATGCCTATAGAGGCTGTTCTTTTGTCTTTCCTTCCCCTAGAAATGCATCCGACGTTGACCATGATTTGCTTTCCATTTTTCCGTCGAGCGAGTAGCATGCCGTCTTGTTCGAAAAGGAATAGAAGAAGAATATACAAAGTCGACGCCATACCAGATGCTTTCGGTGAACAGAGGTAATATAATAATTGCACCATTCACGCCATGCCGAGAGGTGGCACGGCACCGCTATGGTCGGGGAGAACGTGAGCGATTCTCTGCCGAGGTGGTGGAGCAGGTGGTGAATTTGAGCGATCCTCTAGTCTCCTTTTCACGTAAAATTAACGCCTAGGGTTTTCAGTCTACGCTTGTTTCCGAACTTTTAAACGGCACATTAGATAAAAATGGTCTTGTGAGGGCAGCAGATCGGGAAATTAGCATAATCGTATTCTTTATCGGGCAGAACAACAGTGACCCAGGAAGGAAATATAGCTAGAATCAGCGCAGCCATGACCATGGCGATGACAGGAGAGAGCTTAGATGAGAACGAACGCCATTTATTAAGTGATGAGGTCGATTCCCTGCGTTATGAGGGCGTCGGCCAGGACCCTGTTGGTGGCCTCGGAGGGGTGAACGCTGTCCCAGAATACGTAGCCTGTGGCATTCCTGCACGTCCCAGGAGACCTGGAGTTGCAGAGAAGGGATGTCTCTACGGTGCCTGTCCCACAGCATCCTCTCCTTGACTCGTAAAACCCTGCAGAAAACAACACCGCACGTCGATGATCAGTTCTCCTCCTTATCCCGTGCTTGTTCACGGTTTCTTCCACTCACAAACACGGGAAGACCATCTATCTTCCGTAAAAATAGAAGGGTTTCTCTCCTTTCGTCCCTCTTGCTTAGATGATCTTTTTATAGATTTCCAAGACAGCGGGAAAACATGAAATGAATCCCTTTACGTCGTGGACTCACGTACCATTTCCGGAAGGGTTTCTGATGAGGTCCAATACAGGCTTGTAGATGTCGAAGACCACAAGCTTAAGTCCAGAAAGCTTCCTCCTCAGTGTCCTGGCGGCCGTTTCCAGCTTCTTGTTGAAGAGGATGGCGTCGTGATTGAAGCGTTCCACGCAGTCGCTGCTTCCGCTGGGAGCATACAGCGTGATGGAAGCCGGAAGGCAACCCAAGGGTGGAAGCGAGGCGACCCCGATTCTCCGCGCTCCCAAACTGTGGAGTTCCTGTTGAAGAATCGGAGCAAACTGAAAGGGAAATCTAACACAAAACTAATGGACGACGACCAACAAAATATATTGAAACGGTTTTTCTTCAAGGGGAGAAAAGAGGAGAGACTTGCACGTTTGACGATATTTGGGAGTGGACAAAGGGAGAAGAGAGAACCTGAACGAAGGAGGTGAAGGAATCGACGAGGGAGTCGGCAAACTGAGCGGGTGTGTGAAGAACTTTGTAAAGGGGATTGATGTAATAGTTCTGGAGGAAGTCGCTGCTGCCAGTGCTCAATAGGTGGATGCCCTCTGAGAAAATAGCGTCGGATCTGGTCTTGTTCCTGGTTATCCTCCTCACCTTCTGCTGGTATTCCTTGTAGTATGACAACTGCTGATTCAGGGAGACCGTATGCTGCAAGCAAAGCCATACAGTCAACAACATAAATTCAATCTTTCTCACATCAGTGAAGAAGAACATCTCCGTGCAATTCACTGCGTATTTGTGGCGTTGTTTTGCACTCTAACATCTGAAAAATTAGGTAATACGACGTACTAGTGTAGAACTACTAACTCTTTCCACAAGATAACGAACATTCTCCCTGACAGTTATCCCCCTTATCTTCTATATGATTCGACAAAGGAAAATATAATGGATTCTCTTCTACGACTTATTTAGTATACAAGAAAATGAAGCGGTGCTAGTTGTTCCTTGCTGCCGAGAAAGGAAGTAGACGTCTGAATGTACTGCTCACAAGTAGAAACTATACTCCACGGTGGTGTTTACGAATGAAATAACCGCGGGGCCCCCAGCAGGGAGGCCCACTTTGTCTCTCATCTCAGGAGGTCAGAAAGTAGCCAAACATTGTCCCGCGTCACGGGTTGCCATGGTAGGTCGGAAATCTAAGACAGACAACGATACTCCGGTCAGTGAAACGGTGACTCAAGAACCATATACTTTCTAAAAACCTGACTGAACAGTGAGTAAACGGAGACTGATCATCCGATTCGTTCGTTTATGAATAATCGTCTCGTAGATTTAGAGTCAGTGCGGCGTGACTGCTCCTTGCCTGTTACTTTCGGCTCCTATGTCACCGTCGATTGGCAGTAAATGATGGAAGAAGCGAGATGAACCAGTAGAGGCTGACCACATGAAGCCTGCCGCGAGTGGGCCATTGCAACAGCGGGGTTTCTGCTGCGGGGAATATACTGTAGACTATATTCATCAATCGCATACTGACAAGGTGGGGGAATGAAGGCGTACGTACTTGTGTAATTAGTTTAGAGCAGAGAAGAAGATGAAGGCAGGGAGGAAGATGGCCACGCCAGTGAGAAAGCAGAGAGTAAATGACGAAAACGTACGTAGAGAAGTGCGGTGCTCTCAAGGTACCCGGACGAGGCGGAGGCGAAGTTTGCTCCAATCAGGAGGTTCTTTCCTCTGGCGTTTTCCCCCAGGTAGGCAGGTGGGTAGACCTCGAATCCTAGCGTCTCAGCTGGACGGGAATGATTCATAGATAATGTATCTGCAATAGGGTAGAGAGAGAAAGAGATGGAATGTGGTCGAGAAGGGAGTGACGTTGCAGAAGCCTAGCGTCTCACCGGTGAAGTCCACGGCGAGCTTGCCGTTGCAGAAGCGCCCGGTGGGGATACGGCGGGGGAAGTCGCGTCCGTAAGGGGGGAAATTGGACTTGACAAGAGTGAGGATGTGGTTGTTGTTCCCCACGTCTACCGCCGAGTCCCCGAAGACGACCAACGCCGGCACCAGAGCTTGCCCATTCACCATTGATGCCACAGCTACCAGCAGCGAAGCTGCCATCGCCAGGAACTCTGCTACGGAGCTCCGTTTTTGCCTCCTTTCCCATATTCTGCCGGGGCACAAAGCCATCCCTCCCTCCTCCCTCTGTTCGTCCTCTTCTCTTCCCGCTCTCCTCACCTGCTCTTCACCCGTATAAATGAAGCTGTGCTTCCGTCGGTTCCCCTCTGGGAGGTCCTACGAGCTTGCTGTCGCTGAGTAATCCCTCTTTGTCCGGATCACCCACCTTCCGTTCTCACTCTCTCACTCCTTTTCTACAACTGCTCGAGAGAGTGCAAGTCTGGGAGTCACGGGAGAAACCACATCACAGTTATGTGGACTCAAGCCCAGGGGTGGGGGTCGGGGTAGCGTAGAAGGGTTGGCCAGTGTAGAGGGAACGTTGGAGGTCCACCTAATCTGGGAGAAGCCAATCTCATTTCCTTCTTATCATGCAACTCAAGAAGAAGAAAACTGAAGGGAGTTGTGCTTAACTCCGCCTCAGTAGGGAATTCACAAGATTATAACTCACTCAGAAACGCAAGCTTTAATAGAAAAATATGCACCGAAAATCAAGCACGTGACATATTTCTGTTGAAAAAATATGCACCAGTAATGTTTGTGGTGGATATATTTCAAGGTAATTGGAGCAGACGCGTGCAATCGAAAAAATATCAAGAAACAACTCGAAGTAAACGCTTAAGCTTTTGTTCCACATATTTCTCCGTGCAATGCTGGTCTTGCAGTAGTCTGTATATATGGAGTTAGATGAAATAAGATCTTCTTCTCAGCAGTGTTTGAGTCTATAATTCTGAAAAGTTCATTGGACTAGGCTGCCAGATGAATAGATTCCCTAGGTTATAGTCTTGACATGATATTGATTGGAAGCGAATAACAGATTAGCCTACTTTTGTTACTTCATTAGAACGTTAGACTTTCTGTAGAAATTTAGCGTGTAAAAGTTTTATTTTCGGAATGCATCTCAGGTTGACTATTGCCAAAATCTTGTCATCATTTTGGTATTGACTTCCATTTTCATTGAAATCCAGGTAGTGCAAACAAATAGTGTGCATTTAGGTATTTAACAAAGGCCTTTTAATTATTTTCTTGCGCTGGTTGCTATATTTAGACTCAGTCCACCAACAACATATGACCAGTTTGGTGATTGTGTTATTCCATCTAGTTCCTTAAATGCATAAAGAACGTGATCTACAATATTTGAGTCCACTGGACTGGATATGGTTGACCCTTGAATCCACAAAAAAAAGATGGGCGTCCCTTGAATCTATAGGTAGAGAGAAACATCTATTGAATTTATTATTATTATTGTTATTATTGTAAAAAATATTTTACTACCATTGCAGGCCTTTAATATGCTGAAATTAATAGGATACAAAACTAACACCCTATCAAGTATTTTGGGCCTTATAAATTCGATTTGGGTATTCAAAATTGTGTGCTCTTTTCTTTCACTTTTTTGTGCCATAATTTATGACATTTTCTTGTTTCTTAGAATTGCTTCTACATCATATCATATGGATCTAGCAATCAAGCTTTTTAGTTTCTTAGATTGGATCCCCGATAATTATTTATCTTTGCTTCCACCAACTTTCATGGCTCTTGCCCATTACATACTCAATAGTTGATAATGGATGATCTCTATTTCTCTCTAATAGTCACTAATACTCAAAATCATTATTTGTCTTCTATCTATCATCCACTTACACTAAGTATGCATCAATCCTAAAAATGATAAAATAAGATTTAAAACTTTGAATTTCTTGGCAGTTTTGTTGATTATTTTAATTATTTAGATATCTTTCAAATGAATATTTGCATGCTTGAGAGAGACATAAAAGCATAAATATTAATTAAAATTTCATGTGAATTTTGACATCACTAGCAATGCTTAAACCTCTAAATAGATCCAAAACATTCTTTAAGGTATAGTAAGTCGATAATTACAAGTTAATGTGAACGCTCTTGAGAATTTGTTGGTTTAAAATCAAGTCCACAAATACATGCACTCACACTTAAACCTTGACAGCATATATGATGGATTAAACATTTTAAATCATAGAGTGAAATATTAATCTCCCTATTTAATTAAAATATGTGATATCTAAATTATTAAAAATCATTACATTTTTACGTATGACATTTTTTTACTTTTAAAATTGTTACCATCAAAATCAAGAGTTCAATATTACAAGCTACCTAATCAAAACTTATTCTTACACTATTACTCTTTTAAGCCTTATGGGCTAGACATGTACTTTTTGCATTACTTGCAAATCTATTATATTGCATGCCAAAATATTATTATCTCCACAATCAGTCCAATAATTACTCTAATATCTTATATCTTATCAAGAACTACAACCTTGATTTTTATTTTTCAAGACAAAATTGTGAGTTTTTTCTGATTATACATATTCCTTCTGATGATTACATGAAATTGTGAGTTTCTTCGAATTATATATAAATCTTAAAAGAGTTAGCTATGTAGATAAGTTGATATCGACAACTAGATTTGATGATGCCTCTCATCATATTACTCATCATTTACCTTCTCATAAACTATTTACAAATTAGTAGTTTGTCTCTTTATTAAAAAATCATTCACTATAGACTTTCAGAACTAAAGGGAGGGTGAATTAGTTCTTTTGTCAACATTTTGAGTTATTTATTATTTCCTACTCTGTTGCCACCAATCAAATGGGATGATTTTCTATGTCAACTTAGAACAAGAAAAGTCAGAACCAAAGGTTTGCACTACTTAGGGGCCACATCCTTAGATTGCACTAGCACTTGTTAATATGGTTTACTAAACATCAAGGCTTTAACTTGTCTACACTTAAACAGCTCTAGCCAACACAAGTACTCAGCCAAAAATAATCATGCTAGATTGACAATGCTAGAAGTCCAAATTCTATTTTAAAATTTTCACACATATACCAAAAAGTACAAAAGATTCTTTTATCATGCAACTACTTTAAATGTTTAAGATTAATGACAAATTACAATTTGAAAAGTATGAAAAAATTTCCTAGATCTTATGGAGGTTAATCCTTTCATAAGGTATATTTCTCCTTGGTTCTATATTTGGAACAATCATAAAATACTTTTTAGTAATTATTCATATGGCTATTTGCAAATTGCCCATTGACTAGATCATGATATTGTCATACTCTTGGCTTTTCTGTATTTTTCTTATAATACTAAAGTTTAACTATTACCCATTACAACAAGAGAGTTGACTCACAATATAGAAGTGAAATATATAAATTTTCAAAAGAAAAAGTCTCAAATACTTATTGGACTTTGGCAAGAGTTAAAATCGAATATTGGAAAAAAATAGAGCCTCTACAAACAAGTTTATCATTTAAAATTACTATTATACCATTTTATTTTGATTTGGTCATTACAAATGTTAAGACTTTTTTGTGTCAAGTTGATTCACTTCCTTTATAGAGTAAGTATCACATTCATAGTGAACAGTGTGACTTCTTACCAAGTGACTCAATTCAAGTCTCTGTGTGTGGCCATAGACACTTAGTATATTTTGGTTGAGTGCTCATTTGATCAAACCATAGGTGTCACTACATTGAAAGGGGTTGTTCTCATCATATATTAATACTTCATATCAAATGAGTCAATTCTCTTTCTTTATGTGGTATCTTGGTGAGTACAAGTCTTAAGACTTCTTTTTACTAAAGTGAGTTGACTTAATACCATTATAGTTTTGATGATTTTGTTATCAAGTGAGGTTGACTAAACACAAGTGAAAATGCAAACTTTGTAAGAATAAACTCTTAGATATGTGATTTCTTTAGAAATTCTTCTTACTAAATGAACCTACTTATGAGTTAACGCCATTCTTGAAAATAGGAAAAGAGATGGGGTTTTAGAGACGTTTATGAAATCACACCAATATTTTTATAAATAGTTTAGTAGTGCGTAGTTAATAATTTTTATATATCTAGGATTAATTGCATATGATCTTACCATAAACTAATTTGCCAAAACCCTTAATGCACACCTCCCTTCCTTCTCACCCCTTGCTTCCCATTTTCTCTCTCATCCAAGAGCACCCATGTGGTCTCTCTCTCTGCCTCTACCTCTACCTCTATCTCTATCTCTCTATCTATCTATCTTCTATCTTCTATCTATATATCTATCTATATATCTCTCCCTCCTTCCATTCCTCTCTCTCTCCCGTCAGGCTAATTAAGTGGTACCACCCTTCTCTCTATCTCTATCCCTCTCTCTATCTACTTATCTATATATCTACCCTTAAGTGGTACAACCCTTCTCTCTCTCTCTCTCTCTCTCTCCTTCCATTCCTCTCTCTCTCCCGTCAGGCTAATTAATTTTTTGTCCAGTGTTCTTCACATGGATTCAAGATCTATCTCCTCTTTTGACCTCTTCCCATGCCAATCTTCAAGAACAAAATTTCCTCTAGAAGCACTATTTTCACGAGGTGTAAGAGATGCATCCATATGGGTAGTTCCATTTAGAAAGTTGGTGAGAGTGGGAAGCTCCCTCTCTCTGTCTCCCTGTCTCTCTATATACGGTATACTAAATTATTGTTTTATTATATTTTCTCATGTTTTCAAAATAAGCGACCAAGAAATTGTAATGTTCTTCCAACTACGTTGAAAATTATCTGATTGATTGTGCATGATCTTGATCTAAGTAGGATTCGGCAAGCCTGTTCCTATATAGAACGATTCAGACGAAGTTTTTCTCGGCAAAAATGTCGTGTTGCCTTTTGAGCTATAAATGTTGATTCTCGTCCGCTGGTCGAATGCGTAACTAAGCTTATGATGCGGTACAGTCCAGCGGCTGCCGGTGTCATCTACGGTCTTCGGTTGAGGGAAGCGCTCCTGTTGAAGTGGCGTCGTAGGGAAGGCTAGACATCATCTGTAGAGAACAGGACTGAAGAGGGATGGACGAAGATTCCGGGGCCATCCTTCGCCAGATATCCTCATTCAAGAACATGATCGATCAGGTCTGGATCATCTATCTGCCGTTCTCTTCTGCGTGAACTACCTGTCAACCGACCACCGATTTTGATGATGACGCAATTTTTTGAAGAAAAAGAATGGTAGCACAGTTGGTTTTGGGAAGTCTTTCGATATTCTGGATCATGCGCGCAATCCTTCGAATATTTCCACGCAATGCTCGTCGGTTTTGGGAAGTCTTTCGAGATGCGACTCTCACTTGAATATTTGTACATTTTTTGACCTATTGTGCCGTCTCGATGTGGAAACGGTCATAGGTTGCCTCTGTGTCCTGCATAATGCTTTCCATGATTATTGCAAGGAGAGTATTTGGAATCGTGATTTGCCGGAATTACTTAGGAACCTGATGTTTTTGGTGGTTTCTTGCACACGAGTGCTGCAAAACAAAGCTCAAGCTTGAGGGCATTGAATTACTTGAATATATTGTTCATATAAATTACACAAAAACGAAGGCACTCAGAACAATACTGAAAACTAAAGAGAATAGGGTAAAACAATTCTTTTCTCAATTCAGCAAAGAATCAGAGAGCCTGTAACTGAAATGGGAGATGTGCAAACTATAAAACGATGGTAGAAATTTCAAGGACGAAACTCTAAATGACTCTTGCTCCTGAAATACAATTCTGCTATGAAAGGATGAATAAGAGATGTTGAAGAATTGACTGAATTTTTGTTCTAGTTTGTTCAATGTGACTTGCTGTTAGTGAATGGATTGATTTTATCCCTTTCTTAGGCTTTTCCTCTTCTTCTTCTTCTCTTTTCCCTTTTGCCCCTCGATCAGGGGTACGCAATTGGTCACCCAACTAATCACTGATTATTATGCATCAGACGCCTCATGTGTACCATAGAATGCTCAAAGATGCAATTCTGTCGTGTTTTGACATTCGAAAATGCTACATTAGCATAACATGAACTGATTGAGTTTGTTTTATTCTCACATTTATGTCAGGGAATGCATAAAATAGCATAACATCTGTGTTCTCAGATGCATAAGGAAACTTAAATATTAATGGTGTGGACGTCCTATAGACATCGAATAATACAACTTTCCTAGGAATTGAAGTTGAAGACTAGGGTATTACATTAAATCCCCACGTGACAACTTTTTAATTGAAAATCACAAACACTTTTCGTAGATAGCTCAGTTAATGACAAGAATTCAAATACTGTAGAAGGATTTGTAACCATACGTATTGCAGCCATAATTTCCAATGTTCTGCATTGGTTTGAGGCTATTTATTATGTCTCCAGTGGCTACTGTAGTTAGCATTAACTACATTTGGAAAGGTTGCTGAAGTCCAGTGACTAGTTTGCTCTCATACTATTGGCTTTAGAGGGCCCAGGCTAATGAAAGTGTTGCAAACTTTGGCAGCAGATGATACTGGGGGTTATGAGAGCAAAGGTACTTGTAACTTCAGCAAAACAAATACTGGGGGTTATGAGAGTACTGGCAGAAATAAAAATACTTGTAACTTCATTTGTTTGCTACTACTCTGAGATAGTCCTTTCCACTACTGTTGCATTTCCTTCACAAAACAAATACTGGGGGTTATGAGAGCAAAGGTAGAAGAATCAAATAAAGCTATTGAATTTTCGAGCTATTCACTTGAATACCGTATTGATATTGTATTTTTTTTTTGCCGGTAACTCATGGGTGGGTGGCAGAATGACCTTGTAGTTGACGTTGAAATTCATGCATTATGTGCCAGGGTACTTTCTAGTTCTGCAATGTACAGGAGCTTAAATGCTCCCAAGGTAAGCTCCAGTGGTTAGTAATCTAATGTCTAGACAAATTATTGGTGAGTATAAACATTAAATTTTAGAAACTACCATTTCATGGCACTAATAAAGCACCAGAAATTGATTAAATAGGATGTCTCCAAGGTAGACCTAAAAGTACCAAGGTGGGCCAGATTCCTGTGCTGCAGGTTGCTCATCTGGGCCATTTGAGTTGTTTTATTACTTAGGTGGGTCGTGCAGCGTATGATTTATCTTTTAATTTCCCGAGTTTCCAGCTGAAAACATGGTTTTAACAGACGTTTGTGGGATGGACAACGTGGCTCATGTGTGGACAGCGATGACAAGAAAACAGCTAGACGCTTTATTAGGATCCTATTGTTTATTCAGTTTAGATAGTGAAAATAGCTTGCAGCTTACTCAGAAAGGCTTGAATCATTTGCTCAGCTTTTGAAGTGTGAACGATACAAAACCTATCAACGTTCCTCCATGCTGAATTCATGAAAATACTAATTAGAAATGGTTATGTGAGAGAATTGATTTAATCTTGACATAATCTTAAGGGTTATTTGATTTAAGATTTAAGAAAAAACCCCATAAACCTTTGGAGGAAATAAAGCCCCGGGAAGTGCTAAGTACGAAACTACTGGATCTCTACAGATTATCCTCTTTTTCGTCAATGCATGCTGCCTAAATATTTCTTCAAAGATGAGAATACTCTTCATAGCATTGATTGGGGTCAAAAATGAAAAGCCTCACACGTCGATTCCAACCAAGCTCCTCAGGAGTTTTAATTGGGTTCAACCAATCTCCTTGGGAATGAAGCTAGAATCTAGAGCAACCACTTCGAAAAGACGCTGGGTCATCTGTGACACCCCTGGCATGAAGGAACGAGGTTCTGCCCACAGAACCATGGATGCTGGCATGAGGCCATGTGGTTCAGCATGCACGGAGCACAGCTGGTTTGCATGTGTGCACTGGCGGCCAAGGCAGACGGAACAGAGGGCCCAAAGAAGAAAACAGAAAGATGAAAAACACGAGTGAGAGGGAAAGGAGTTTTCTCAAAGATAAAAGTTTCGTTTGCATAGTCTAACTACTGTTAATCTAAAATTACTCTTGTTTAAATGGCAGTTGAGCAGGAGATATATTTCTCGATGCTTTTGCCTTAATCTGCTTTTTCCTCAGTAGTCACATGTTAGGGGCGTAAAACCGAATAACACAAAATTGATTGATTTTCTTTTCATGTTATTCTAGGTCAATGAAGAAATTGAGGCAAATATTCAGACGACAAGACATATTGAATCTGAGATTATAAGATGTTCTGAACTTGAGAAGGGCTATCTGATAAGAGAGTCAAAGCTGTCCGAAATGGTCTTTAATGATGAGTTTGAGCTGAATGGTGTTTTAGTAGCGACCAGTAAGAGTCTTACTTTTTCATCTTTAAATAATCAATCATTTTATATATGTTTCACATCATCAATCAAATACTATGCTTGTATTATGGCACCGTCTTATTTCAAACCATGGATGTTGAACATTAGATCAGTGTCCTATCATCGGGCTATTTGGCTGAATACATTGAATGGGTTCCACTGACCTCTTAATATGATTACTTGATGGTTGAAAGGTAGTACAATTCTTTTCTTTTCTTTAGAAGATTCAATTATTCTTCTCTTTATTAGATGGGTTTCAATTAATGATCTTAAAATTTGTACCGTTCCATCATTTTTACCTGTTTTCGAATTATAATGAAGGTAAAAAAGGTTCTACTTTGAGACACTCTCCTAGTAGTCTTACAGAATTGCTGCATTTTCGTTTTCCTGCCTTTAAAATGAAGTGGTCTTACAGAATCACAAAGTGAGAGAAGGTGTGTGTTCCACGAATCTTGAAAATCTCGTGTATCAACTGTATAGTGTAGTGTAGTGTAGTATACAATGGGGAAAATGTCACGTGAATTAACTGTAGCGTAGTGTAATCTTAAAATAGTGTAGTGTATAATGGTGAATAAAACTATCAAAACCCACCCAATATCCTCTGGTAGTTATTCTAAAACATGGACACTCTCCTCTTCTTTCTGGCCTCTAATGAAAACCAATCTCATTAAAAGTAGAGATTCGTCACTGTTTTATCTTCAACAAAGGCTTCTCCAAGTAGCAGTATATAGAGGTGGTCTTGCATAGTATTATCTCATAATGGTTTGCAATGCTTTCACCCGTCCTCAGTATCTAATTCTTATGGCGTTTTCCAATGCTATGTTTAGATATCAAATGTTTATGATTCTAAATCTACCTTGTTTTTCCGTCTATATTTTCATAAGTAGAATTAATGTCTACTCATTCTCAGCATATTTCACTAATTCTATTCTAGAAGAACTGTCTTCAATAATCTCTTTCTTGGTCATCAACGTCTTGAGCAGTTTAAACTTCGATAGGTTTGAAAACGAAACGTTCATAGAGGAATCTTTCTTTGTCATCTTGACGTTTTACTTTAGAATTTCTATTCAGTTTCAACCAACTATTTTCTGTGAAGTTTTGACAGTCTCATCTCTCTCTCTCTCTCTCTCTCTCTAGAGAAGTTTTAACACTGGAAAACTAAAAAAGAAATGGTTACTACTTTTTCCAATAGATCAGATGTCTTGACGTGGAGATGAAATAGGTGCAACAATATTTAACACTGACCATCTCAGTTGGGTTATAGGGGCATATACGTAGAGACGTCTGGCACAAAGAGCATATACACTTCATACCTTTTGAGAACAATCATATCCTCTGTTGTAATAGGGATTTTTTTTGCTGATTTTTTTAATAGGGATTTTTGAGTGTTTAAGATCTATTAAAAACCATAGGTGTCAACCGTTTTCACTAACTTTTAGGAGCATTTTGGTTAGATCTTATGGCAGCTGCTGGGATTTATATGCCAGATCTAAGAGCACCCTTTCAAAGGCCTCATTTTGCTCATATTAGTGGGAGGCTGAACACCTGGTCCAGACATGTAGACCTTGATCGGTGCATTTTTGTGCTGATGCCCTCATCATCATATCTCTTTTTTTCCTAAGTTTCTTGAAACAAAGAATATCAGCCTTAAAGTTTCTTGCTAATTTCTTCGTGCCTCCTCTTCCTGTGTTGCACACTCTCCTGACATTATACGTGAAATCTTCCTGTGACCACTTCAATGTAACCCCCCTTGGTCTGTATGTGTGATGACTTTAGTTGAAAGTATTTAGTTCTCTTTACCACTCTTGATTTTTGACGCCTAGTTTGTAACATTGTGAATACACTTTTCTCTATCCATTATCACGTAGCACACTTGTTAATTGATATCGATGGAGAGATCAAAATGTCTTGTTTTCAAACAGGTACATGTGGTTCTCTGTACCACTCTTGATTTTTGATGCTTAGGTTGTGAAGACAATACCTTCTCTGACATTATTGCACGGACCTGTTAATTGATATCGTGGGAGAGAAGTGAAAATGCCTTGTTTTCAAACCGCTAAGGTTGTGGTGTTTCTTTCAGAATTTGGAAGGATAAAACCTGATATTTAAATGCAATTCATATTGTCAAAGAACCACCACTTCCACGGGAAAGAATGCTAATGCTAGGCAACAGGACATAGTTGATGTATAGGAAGAAATTGTACCCTGAATGCACAGGGAGTGAAATCGGAATTCCTTGAACACACAAGGACTGAGGGTTAATCATTGAGTTCGCAAGGATCGAAAAATGAGGCCTTGCATCCACAAGAGTTGGTAGAGTTAATCTATTGAGTCCATAATGATCGAAAAAAGAGGGTCACTTGAATCCACCGACAGTTGGAGAAAAATAATTTTTCTGAATTGAAAAAGTCACATTGCATTAAAGTTTGCGGCTCCTTAAAATATGTCAAAAGTAGTTGTATATCTCCTAAAGATTAGGATTTGAGAAGTAGCTCTCTAATAGTTGCAGATTTCCTAGATAAAAGGAGTAGCTACTAGGATGACAAGAAAATAACGTATTTTGGGCTTCATGAGCCTACTAAAGCAATATTATTAGACTCTTAGTTTAAACTGTTTGAGCCTTCTAGGCTGCACTTTATGTTCCTCCTCTGTTTCCATCAAATCTGGTCTACATTACAATCATAAAGATAAATATTAACAATCATTAAGGCTATGAGGTGGACAGTTAAGTCATCAGGTTCATTCAGATACTGGTGTTCCATTTTCCTGTACGTTATGAAAGTCAAAAAAAAGATGATTAATTTTGAACTTAACCTATAATATGATGTTTTCAGACATCAATGCTATGTTGTGCTTCTATAAATATAACATATTTGCTTTAAAGAAAAGTCAGCAGATTTTTCCATTCTTCATCTCTCTTAAAATATAATAGATTAAAGGATACGATGCACCGGTGATCATCATTATTTCCTTATTCGTGCAAGTTTTTATTCTAGTTATTCTGGATATTCATATTACAATCTTCATGGAAACTAAATAATCAGTGTTGTGTGATACTCATTCTAACAGCTGTTGCAAGAAATTCGTTAGAATCAACAGAGGAGGAGTTGAATGCAATGAACTCGTATATAGAAAACATGCTGAGAAGAATACAGGAAAAGAGGTACCGGAAGTAATGTCCAAATAATTCATTAACTGGCATGACTCTGCACAGCCATGATTCAGCATTGTTGTATTAGATATCTTGCTTTGTCTTCAGTTATACAAAATACAAACAGTCCCAGATATGCCTAAATGTGGTTCCCACATTCAAATACGAATACTACGAGGAAATGACGTGTTTTTTTACATTGGAAAACTCATCTGAATTCACAGTTTCCGTGCCTTTCTTTGTATACTCTCTGAGTAGCATGCCTTTCCTAAGAGCTGCTGCAAATTTACAATGCTCCTAAGATCATTGGCAGCTTACTCCCTGAAACTAATGCTACTCCTTTACTTGATCTATAACCTTTCTGGTGACATTACAGCACTTATCTTTCTCAGGATGTTTATTTTATCTAGAATCCTTGACTTACATGCCATTCATATGACTCTAGTGTCAAACATTCTTTCTCAGGGAGAAATTCATAACACAATGCGAGCAATTCCAGGAAGACATTGTGTCAGCAGAAACGGAGGAATTGCATGAACTACTATCTAAGAAGGATGCCCTTGATAATGAGAGGCAAAGTTTGATTTCAAAAATTGACGTCCTCAAACATTCCACAGCAGACTTCATTGAAGAAGCACTTGGAGAAATTATTAGTCTTACCACTGGTGAGATGAGATCCTCTCTTGTGTTTAACTAAGGCTTATTGGTTGAGGATATTTTGAGTTTATTATTAAAATTACATGTTAATTTTCTCGATACTATGCCGTGGAAGAGAAGATAGAAATCAGTTATTTTCTAGAGGGCTTCCTTTTACTCTGGTGATGAGAAAAAAGCCACACCAGATGGGGGTACCGAACTGATCACTGAATGAATACATTACGCTTCAATAATTTCTCAGCTAATTCTTCTCTATTCGGAATCTTTAGTTGTTTTCACTGGCATCCTGAGAATACAACCCTAAATGACAGACTTTTGTGGTTGTCATTTGTATTCTAACTATTGTGCTGTCAGGCATAATTCGAATCTTTCAAAGCAGACCAAATCATTATGATTCCGGAATGGTTTTCGTGTACCGTCAGACGGAACAAATTTACTCAATTCATGAACATTGCTCAGGCCTACTATGGCATATGTTATTTTGAATTCGGGCTATGGCTTGGGAATCTAATCATGTTATATGCACTCACAAAACTCAAATCTGCCGTCAGAACTACACTAGGAAACAAAGAGTATAATATTAAAAAGTAAAGTCATCAAAATTTTCCATTATTTAATTCCCAGTAGATGACACCAAACTGGATCTATCTATTGCATAGTTTACCTTTCTATCAGTTTTGCAAATGATTAGCATACACACACAAATTTGTTGATGACACCTCTATATTTAGACAAAAAGGTAATCTTATATGCATCTAACTAATTTTAAATACAGACAAATTATTCCTTGTTTTTTTTCAGTTTTGTCGTTCGGTTTCATTTCTTTATTGGTGGTCGAATATTATTTTAGCATCCACAGCAGGAGAAGCATTTCTTGATTGTTGTACTTTACCTCGTTTCACTTTTGAGATTTAAGATTCAAATAACTGCAGCATTGCAAGTCAAGGTTCAGCATGCTTCTTTGGAATGCAAGAAAGTTCTCACAGACATTGATGACCTGAAGAATTTAATTTGTAACCTTATTTGAAGAGAATTTTTGGCAGGTGAGTAACCTTTTGGCATATACTTTGTGTCTTGCGTCATTGAAAGTTAACAGGGATGATGAAGTTATCTGAATGAAAAATTAACATTTAATTTTCCTCTTATAAGCTTTCCATGTTGTTAAAGGTCATGCATGCTATTCTTTTTTCAAGTGGTCACATCTATTATCACCACCAAAATGCATTCTAGGTTTCGTGATTAAATACATGCTACATTAACTTACAAATCTTAGTTAAAGTGTCGAGAAGGATAAATGCCAGTTCTATAGCCATACAAGATTACTTACGTCTATTTTTCATGATAGTTTTTCTAACGCTCCTATTTAATAGATCACGTGCTCTTATCATAAATGGAACTTCCATAAATAGGTAATTTATACTAAGAATGTAGAAACTCAAGACATGTAGTGGCATTGCATGAATGTCTGCTTCCAAGATTTATTATTGAATTATAGATGTAGATCAGTGATGCATAAAATAAATCTGAACTAAGTTCATTGCAAGGTTTTGTTCGTGGAGTACGCTTGAATTTTTTCTGCTCTGTGGGACTTGATCAGGTTTTTTTGGAATCTGGGTACTTTGATAGAGTTGATTCGATGTTCGTGTGATCCGACTCGGCATTGAGTGCTTGGATACTTTGAAATATCTTCAATTTTCTTCCAATCAAGATTATAACAATTTCACGTAATTTCAGAAAAAAATTGTACGGTATCTCAGGGATTTTCGTATGTTTGAACGAAACCTGGTAATGGAAAAGTGTGAGCTCTAATCAGAATATTGTGTGATTTGACAGAGAGCGTTAAAAGCTATTTTGTTCGGTTGAGTTTCTGCGCTTTGATTGAATCACAGCGAACTCATGTTTTTTTTTTTTACAAAGTCGTATATTAAAATGTTTTCCACTGTGTAGTTGTAGTTGCAAAGTCACACATGATCAGTTTCATGAAATATCCGTGGAAGTTCCCATTGTTTGTACAAAGTTCTGTGCAGTCTCATTAAATTAATGTCAAGTTTGTGTTGTTTAGAGTTTGAAAGGGCATGTGCCGTCTGACTTTGCTTGCACCTACCTAGCTCATGCTACTTATTCAGTTCGTACAAAGTTTGTGATTCGAAGTTCATCTTGCAATTTAGGACTTCTCTAATTTCTGTAATTTTAATGATCCTTTTATAGATCACATGCTATTTGGCATAATTCCTACAAAACTTTGTGGGCTGACAGAGTTTGCAAGAAGATTGTGCAATTTCAAATTGTCGATAAGAAGCTTATGCTACTTTACTGATTCAATAATTTTCTGATTTTGTTCAAAGCCGTGATATTCGATCCCATGCTTGCGCAAAGCTCATTTGATACGTCCATTTTATTGCCACCTTCTTGTCATTAACCGATGAACAGTTCTCATCAGGCGGTTTGACTGCGTTTTACACAAAGATATGCAATTCAAGCAAAAGTATGTGCGATTGTGCATAAAGTTTGTGAGCTCTCAGTCTGTGCGATTTTGACAAATTTGTATGAATTTCATCTCATTGGACTATTCTTTTGCATTCTTAGTTGATTTGACTCCATTATAATGAGGTTTGTGGAGTTAACTGAGCTCAACTAACGTTCACATCATCTGACCAATTTCGTTCCCAGCTAGGTTGAAGCCCTTGTCATCAATCATATGAAGTCTAAGGCTTTGACCAAATCCAAAGTATGTGCAGCTCAAAAATTTTAGATTTGACAAGTTCCCCATATATGTTCATGAGAGTTTGACTGACATCAAACAAAGTCAGAAGTTACTAAGTTGGTTGTACGCAATGGTAAACTTAAGATTAATGTCAAATTGATAAAATTAGCTATGAATGATGCGATCTAATTAAAAAGCAATGATCCAAGAACCAGCTTCTATCTGACCGAAATTGTCTAAACTTGGGGTAAATGCAGCAAAATCAGTAGAAGGTGGCACATTGAGGATCCCCGGACACATTAATCGTTGTTCATGATATCCACCTGAAGCCCAATCTTAATGAAGGATGTTTCATCAAAGACGAGTGTTTATCTCAATGCTTGTAGCAGCCTCTTAGAAACGGCAGCTGTCACCAGCCGTTTCAGACAATTCATGTCACCAGCTTGTACACTGGGTCGTAAGCAAAGGAACAACAAGCCCGCCCTTTGGTGGGTACACGGACCTGTGGAGAAAAGGCTTGGGAGAATCCCTGTTGTTCGAGTGGGACAGCTGAACTGTAAGTTATTTCTCAATGACCAGAAAGCTCTTGAAAACCTGGCACTTATATAGTTTATCTATGAAACCCAAAGTTGTTGATGAACTGAAATAGTAAATTGGCAAACTCATGGTCCCACATGAAAGGCTTGGTAGGGATTCAACAAGCTTGTTTTAGTCTACATCTTGGGGTGAGCCATTAGAGTCCAGATTTTCTAAGGGGCAAGTTGAGTAGTTCCACAGAAGTCTAACTAGCAAGTCATCTGGCTACCCATCTGACTATAACAGGGTTGGTCAGCTGTCTGGTTATCCACTTAATCTCACCTCATTTGACTGACGCAAAGGAAACGTTGCATCTGAAAAAGAGTGACGGCACTACACAATTTTTACATGATCCGTATATGACACCCTACTAAAAGCAGGGTTCTTTTTCCCAAAGATAAGGAGGTCAGATTCTCTGGGAGCAATGTCGGTGGCTCTTGCTCTGATCCCCGATATTTCAGATGATGTGAGACATCTTGTGCTACTTCTGGCTTGCAAATGATGTTCAAACAAGAAGAAGACCTGAAACCAGTCTCAGCAAGATTATAAATCCATGATAGAAAATATTTGCAAGAGTATGATGTCGGATAATGAAGAATCTCAAAGAAGTGCGACAGATGTAAAAATCAGTAGATTACCTGAAGAATCAGTATATGATGTCTTAGTCTTAACTCTGGGCACACTCAAAAGGGTGGAAATTTCCTTCAGAAATATCATTCATTCCTAAACGCTCCAAGAACTCAAACGGCCTATGCAATGCAAATGTTGCGCTTAGAGCATGGAGTGCAAGACTCAAAAAGACATGGCATTGAATCAAGAAATGAACGACTAAAAAAATGGCATTTTTCAGGTTGAAGAGAACAAAAGCTGTATATGATTCTACACCAGTCGGCACAGCAGCCCTCTGTCTAAGGGCAACAAAATTGCAATATAAAAAAAATACATACTTACAGCGTTTCACGATTTAGCAATAATTTCTGCTGATTACGAGATATAACACTCAGAACCTCTGCAGTCTCTGGACAGGAAGTTCCTCCGATGATTGCCGGCGTTTGAGCGTGCGGCGTCCACAACTGCAAGAGGGTATTATTTTTATCTCCATTTTTTAAAAAAAATTACTGCCATTTGTATCTTAATACAGCAATAGAAAAGTATTTCATAATCTTACTTTGATTGTGTTGTCAATCCCACTGGTGGCGACTGTACAATCGAAAGGATGGCACTGCACACAGTTCACAACTGAAGAAGATATCCACCTTAGCATAGGTCAGAAAAAGATAATGGCCCAATAAAACCCTCTCTTGTCATTAGAATATAATAAGTGACAGTACCAGCCTCATCTCCAAGAAGCACTTTTATCAGCCTTCCGGTTCTTTTCTCCCAAATAAAACATCTTCCATCATCACTTCCACTAGCAATGAATTCACCTGATCAAAGTGTACGCTATATAAGCAAAGTTAGGCATAACCTAAACACCCTTTGCAAGAGTAATTAATTGAAGAGCCGGCACTCCAAGTTATATGTATTGAAAGCATTCCCATTAGGATCACATCTGAAGGTGAATAAATATTAATAATTTATAGATTAAAGATTTTATCTTGGCTTCTTTATATCTAAATGACTGAAACTTGGTGTTGAAGCAAGTACAACTGAAGAGAAAATTCATTGAAAACAATTAATATGCAAACAGATGGAACGGAGAAGCAGAAGGTTTAATAAAAAACACAGAAAAAAGGATCACCGCAGCAGTAGACTGTTCCCCTTTTACCTCATCCACAATATTGATGATGCGTAAGCATTTGATGTGATCCAAGGGTAAGTAAAAGGTTGGATTATCTACAAGATATATCCTGTTCAACGCATTGTGAAAATATGCGTCCTGAAACCTAAAACCTATCCAGTTACTTACTAGGCCTGCATGAAGGCTTTGAGTCCAAAATCTGTAGCTTTGATGGGTGGGTTAGAGCGGTTTCCGCCATTCCTTCCCTCTGTCTTCCATTGTCTGTGTTCTCAATGAATCTATATTTCTCAACAGATCTCAAATTAAAAAGTTCATGCCCTTCTCCATGTTATGCATAGCTACGTAAGTAAGAGAATTCCAGGCTTTAAGCCCAGTAACCTATGCGAAGGCAGTAACATGGTGCCCCCCACCCAAGAAGGTCAAGCCAACGACTATACACATCTGCACAGCTACATAAGTGACCTTAATCCACACTGGAGCCTCAAACCACAAGTCGGCCCAAATCTAGAAGTCAAATCCCGCAATCATAGGAACATGCAGTTACGTGATTGCAGGCTCAATAACATACGTGCACAAACTGTGGAAGATAAACAAAGCCACTGCATGCATAAGTAGGATCAGGACAATCAGCTGTGGTAGCATAAGAATAAGTTTACTGACCTTGGAAAGCTACACTCTAGAGATGGAATGAAAATAATACGACTATGATCATCCAGGAGGCCTTATATATGAACAAACATAGTAAAAGCCCATAAGTGGGCCTGATAAGAATATCTTTTCTCAGAGCGGCAGAAGACTGTAAGTCCAAAAATGTCAAAATACACAAATAAATAAAACTCACATCGTAACAAACTATGCATGGTATACTGAAGACCTGAATGCCCACGTCATATGAGCTTCAATGTGACCAAAGTCATGACGGTGATCACCCGACGTTCTATGTTTTGATTAACATTATGGTTTAATCAGAGAAAGAAGTGAGTGAGCTAAAGACAAGGCCTATGTTATGATAGAGCAATGAATAAAGTTAAGCATGATTTAAAACTTGTAGTGACAGCAGTCTTATCGCTATGATCGTTTTTGGTGCATTAAATATTCTCTGCATGCATATTTTTGTGAATCGAATGTCAAGGAAAATATGGTATTCATCTACTTACCTCGTTGACCAAGGAAATTCGCTTGCTTGATATCTGTCCCCAAATTGCAGTGGCCAACATATCTCTGCTTCATGTCAATTCCAAATTCACACTGGAGATCAAAGAATCACACTCAGCGAGGAAACAGAAAAAACTTCAGGCATTCAACTTACCAACTGTAGTTTTCCAAAAGAAATCAGCCCACAAGCCTATATTTATAGCCCATTGTCTTGTATTCTAGGGTCAAAGTATAGAAAAAGCAGAAAAAGAAACATGGTAGCCAATAAAAGCTTAACTAACGATAAGGACCGAAAAACAATCTCTGAAGGGAGATCTTTCGAATGTTAAAACTTTTATAAGACAGCCAACACAAGGATCACATTTCAGCTCATCTACGTAAGTGTGATTAAGTCTTCTTGTAGGTTTCTGGATACAAAGCTGGTAGCCAATAGAAGAAGATGATCAAGAGATCACAATCACAGAAACTGAGAACTCTGCAGGTTCAAGCCAAGAGAGAAATTTGAGTTTTAAGAATCCCTAGTGCATTAGAAGAGAGTGATTATTTGGAGGGCTTTACATAGAATATCACTAATTGGAAAAGGATTAGAACAGGATACTGAGATATTGAAGACCAGTTGATGTGGACCTCTGTCCTCAGATATGAATCTGCTCTCTCAAGTGAGGAGAGAGTTCTAAAAACATGAGAACAGCTGATCCGCATATCACGAAAATCTATCATAATATGATCTAAGCATCCTTTCAGTTAGAAAATACAACACAGGAACTCATGGTCAATATTAGGCATCAGGGTTGAACACGTTGTTTTGAGGCTTTGTTGTGAATTACCACTAGTACTGTTGTGCATAAGAACAGTCCTTATATATTCACATTCTACGATTAATTTGAGAATAATAAAACAAAGAAAGCAAGAAAACATGATAGACTGCAGATGCTCGAAACACTGTGGCACCATAAGCTGCCTAGATTGGAAATATGTCAGTGTTCTGAAAAGAACGAGCTAGAAGTGCTATACATATTTATTAGGAATCATTTACAAAAATCAGTAACTCACAACAAAGAAATGCAGCAACAACATGCAGAATGCGTAAAATTTTAAAACATGTAAGAAATAAACACCGCTCAGGAACAGGGCGCTAATTTCTATCAAACATTTGAATCTATTTGACAAGAAGAGACAACAAAGATTTTTCTGGGAAGAATCTTGCTAGTAAGATTCTGACCCAGATGATGCTATATTTGAAATCTGTTTGACTAGGGAAGATCCTCACAAAATTTCTATCAGTGATGCTGTATTTGAAATCACGACAAAGAAGATAGAAAATTATTTGTAACAGAAAGATTGGAAAACTGACCAGATGACAATCTTATATTAGCCGAATCAGGTTAAAAGATCTACGATTCCGAGGCCAGATAGAGGAAAATGTGCCACTGAATGAGGATCGAAGTAAAGGAGATCACTGCATGTCTTGTATTTCCGTTCAGCCAAGTGGGATGTCGTTTAGTGTCCAGAAGATTTGAAATTATTTATTTTATTAAGATTTTCCTTCTGCATTTCATTGATTTTAAAGAGCCAATTAAATACTGTCACTAGGCCTTTTGACTTAAAAGTAGAAATTTTGATTTGCAAGGTTTCTTTATCGGGAAGATCTCCCTCTCTTGTTTAACAGAGACCTGGAGCACATTGATGACACTTTTCCTAGATTAAGAATCATTGTAATGTTGTCTCTTGGTCATTCAGTTCACTGGTAATCGTTATTGTAGCAGCTGTAATAATGTTCCGGCACTAAAAAAATTGGCATTGGAATTAATATGTTCATTCCTGAAATTAGTCGAAAAACCATATTATTCAACAGGAATTTCATGGATGCTGGAAAATAAATGGGAGCCAGAGAAGAATTAAGCCCACCTACAGTTATTCTGAATTTTACTATGGGAGAATAATCAAAATTATCGCAGTGCCCAAAAAAAAAACTGTCACATTTGTGAGAATACGCCTTGCAGATTTTCTTGGAATGCCCACGTTGGCTCCATTGCGTTTAGATACTCCCCATGGTAGAGTGATTCTTCATTCCATGAGTTTTGTGCACAATGATTTTGCAGAAAACTATTTGAAGTGAAATACTGCAATATTCACAGGTTGAGGACCACCCACCCCATAAATGGAAACCATGCAATGATTAGTAGAAGGTTCCTAGAATAATATTAGATAGAATTAGGTTTGATGCCTCAAAAAACTATCGCACCTTGTTACATATAGGTGTTAATAAAAAATGGAGAGGAGAAATTTAATAAAACAAACTCTATCCAAACGAAGCCTTTTTCCCGAATGCAAAGGATAATTGGTGACGTGGATCATCACCACAAAAATATATATTTCAGTGGTATCCTCATCTCGACAGTCGTCTCGTTCATTTTGTCAAATATATCTTGAGTTACTTTAAAATCATGTGTATTAGACGGCTAAGCATGGTAGAACATCATTACCAATATGAGGCACTGTCCACTATGTTCAGCCTAGATTCAAAGCGGTTCCACCTAATCTTTTCTCACTTCCCTTTTTATTGCCATGAAGGATCCAAGGCGGTCATATACAATAAATGAAAAAAATGAAAGTAATCAAGACAAATGAAACATCAAACCCTGTGAATCCTCTAAAGGAAAGAAGCTAGTTGGTGTCTAGTGGATATCCACTATTGATTGTCAAACATATGGTACCATCAATAGATTAAATGCAAGATTGGCTGAGAAAAGATTAACATACAAATGGAATAGTTTACCTAGAAACTTTTCCATTCGAGGCAAAATTATAGTTTGTAAGAGTTTTTATTTCATTTGCCACACAATATTCATAGAATGTACATCAACTAGATGTGAAAAATGCACCTTTAAACTGTGATTTTCAGAAAGAAGTTTACATGCAATACCCCCTAGATACACAACTCAAGGCAAGTTTATATGAAAGAAGTTTACACACAAGAAAGGATGCCTAGAATAGCTTAAAAAGTCTCATCGTATATGTACGAAAATTAAAAAGAAGAAGAATGTGAAATCTAAAACTTGGGCGACTGAAATACTTGCTCAAAATTTTGTGCAAACCTAATGCAGAAATATTCATCTACCAAGGGAAATACGTCTTGAATCTGTTGAAAGAGACATGTAAATTACGTGCAAATCTACAATAATCCCTGTTGAAGTGAATCGAAGTTTGCACAAGTTAAAACAAGATTTTCTCTAATGTTGTCAAGGAAAAAAATTAAGAGCTGGTGGGTAAGCTTTTATAATTAACCCTGACTAGACCTAGCATGGCTTAAATTGTAAATGTTGTTAGTTCGTTCGTTCATTCACCAATAAATTCATACACCAAGGTAGTCAAGGGAATTCGTTTATATATCAGATCCAGGGCAAGGTATACTATATTTTGCCGGTCAGAATATGTCAGTTAAGAGATGTTTGCATTGGATGACATAATGATCAAAAGGCAACTACAAGATATTGCACCTACTTCGGTGAAAAATCTAGTAACGTGGAACATAGCACAGTACACTGCATGATAGAGATATTGTGGTTAAGGAACTCCTCTTAATGATCTTCAGACCTAGATTCATTCTTCATTAAGGTTATATTGACATAAAAGGCAACCGTAAATATTTCTAGTAGTCCAATACAACATGATCAAACAAAACATTTTAAGATTGGTTCTTAATTCATCAGAGAGAAGTAGCCTCTAGAGAACCATATGTTCCTTACATTTGCTCTACAGATCTAACTCCTGATATCATGATTAAGGGGATCTCTTGGGATCAATTTAAGCATGTCTTATACAATCTATAGCACATGATATAAATGCCCATCTTGAGGAACGCTGAGAAGAGTCTTGCCTTATCTCCTATCTATCTTTTCTTAATTTAGACTCATCTATGTTGTTCAGCCCAACAGTTGGATTTAGCTTGGAGACAAGCTTGGAAACCATGGGTTTCTAAGTTGCTGCTTCTTCTTCAGTCTATCAGAATTCTTCAACAAAAACATTACGCCATCTAATTGAAAACGATTTGACAATGAGAGTAGGAGCCCCACGAAATATAAAGAACACATGGAAGACAATGTTGCGAAAAAGGTATTCACTCTCTTAAACATGTTTAGAGCCACCAATGTTTTCTATAAATCAATCAATCAATCTGGAGGAAAGTTTAATATGGAGATCAGGCCTATGCATACTGGAATGATTATTCCAAAGTTGTGTCTGGTTAACTAACCAAAACAAACAGAAAATTTCAAAGCAACAAAAACTCCAGAAAGCAAATATAACCTCTTTTTTTTTTTTTCTATGACATCGTTGGTAGAACTGCATATACAGTATTAGTACTGCGAACCCCAAAGAGCCATTTTCAATTGTTCCATACACCTATCTATATTAACTCGAGAAATTCTCACCCAATTCATTGCAAATAATCAGCCACATTCTATTCCATATCCTCAGGAAACGTCTACAGCAAAGACAACCAAACATATCGGAGTTACTATTTTCCTTCCAAGTATAATCTAAAGGAAACTATTCATTATAGGGAATAAACCAATGCATTTCTCATTACAGGGAAGGTAAAGAAACGCTTATCACATTACAAGAAAGGCTAAAAATGAAGACAACCAATCATCATAGCAGTGGCTAGAATTACATGTGATCAATTCGTTCAAAACAAACCTCATAATTCGTATCCTTTTCACTAGATGCTGAAGGAGATCCATTTGAGCAGTCAATTTGGCCATTATCTCTGCAGGATTCAGTTTCCCTCTGAAATATTAAATTCAAGCTTTGACGAAAAGTTCTTGACTCTACGTCAATACTGTCATCTCCTGATGTTGATGCTACAATGTCCAACTCCATTTCATCATAATCAGAGTCCTCTCTTTCAGACTGAAGATTAGCTTGAGAAGAATCATCAGCAACATCTGACAGGAAGAGGACATCACTTAACTTCTTCCTTCTTCCAGAAACCGCTGTAGACTTCGAGACCTCATCATTTTCTTTACTACTTTGAGCTACAGAATCATCAAAAAACATATAAAGGCAAACGACCATTAGTGTGGAAATGCGTTCGATTTCAACAGATGAATTATTCATTGATGAAGCTTCAACAAAAGATAAGCCAGATGAATTAACATATGACGATTACATTTCCCACAAAATCGCACCAGAACCGAAATGTACGATTCTATATTGCAGAGAGTAATCATTGCTCAAAAACATCCATACATGCCCATGTCATCTTAAAACGAAATTCCAGACATTGCCATAAGTATTTTTCTGGAGGGTCACTGAGCTAGAATAAGCATCATCACATTCCTTCTCCAACAAATTTATTGTTGGGCTAAAGGCAAATGGTTGTACATCACTGCGCGTTAAACACTTTTCTGGCATTATATATGCCAATTCTGAACCATCCCAAAAACTAAGGGGAATGCATACAGGAAACAGTGGGAGATGAAGATTTATAAAGAAACAGCAGGATTTGAGATATGATAAAATACCAAAAACCACAGGAAAACAATTGCAGAATCTACAACTCTCTTGTGACACCTTAATCATAAATTTTGTAAGCAAAATCGCATACAATGAAAATACAATGCAGTACAAGGGATGTAGACAAGGTAACATTGTAACATTGTAGCCCGAAAGAATATAGAAAAAAGAAATCTGCCAATGTATACCTGCAGCTATTTTTTCTTTTATGGCCTTTACTTGCTCCGCAACCTCTGGATTTGAAGGAGATAAATACAGTGCTGCCATTGCGTAATCTAATGCATTTTGGTATTTGCCTAACTACATTTAGAATAATAATGAAAAGCCAGAAAAATTAGATTTGAAATAAAAAATAAAATAATGAAAATTTCAGAAGGCAGAAAGGGTACCTGTTTTAGTGCCTCTGCCAAGTAATAATATGGCCTGAATGACAAAACGTCTATACCTCTTGCTCCATGGCAATCTCTGATAGCCATAGAGACATCACTTTTCCAGCTTCTCTGAAAAAATAAAAGTCAATAGAGCATATGTCAGAGGTGTGAGGATGCCTACTTCGCTAAGAAGTGGTGGCACACCTTAAGGAACAATGCTGCTCGAATACACAAGCACTCATGCTTTAGGGTATCATCAATCTGTGGACCACTTCCATCAAGTACTTCATTACAAGCTTCAATGCCACGTAAGAAATTGTAATCCTTCGCCAGAGACTGAGCTGCAACTTTAAGTAATTTAGTGTGCATGTCAAGCTGCATTGAAATAAATGTCAGATATGAAATTGTGCCAAACGAAATGAAAAGAAATATGAGCAAAAACATAGCTTATTGAAATTTCTTACCCTTGTGGAAAAACTCTTCTTTATTGGAGTACCATCAGAAGACGCTGACCGATGGGGAAAAGCTTCTAGGTCACCAAGTACAGGAGGTAAATACGTCCTCTTTGGAACATCATCAGCACAATACCTCATACCACTGTCCTCAACTGAAAGCGTAAATAATTAAAAACATAAAACAGCAAATCATAAAAGAAAATGACCAAGGATCGAAACAGATAATCGCTGCACAATTAAATTTTGACAAGAACAGCGAACCAAAAGATTTGAAAAGATGATCATTATTCTTGTTGCTCTGAGAATATTCCAATACATGCAAATTTTATACGAACTCTGTTTTTTCTGCGTAAGGGTTACTTATTTATGAGAGCATCTCTAATAACATACTTGAGATGACGTATGCATTAATTAAATGGTTCCTCAATTAAGAACAGATGCATCCCCAGAAATGTGCATAAATGAAGTACCTCATAAGCTAAAGATCAAGCAGAAATAAGAGACTGATAACACCATGCACTTTTTCACACTACCTAGCATCTGAGCTAATTAATGCAAAAGACGATATAGTAGCCATCGACATCCGACATTTATGCACTCTACATTACAACCAGACAAATAAAAAGTCTAATTATGAAAATGGCATTTTCTTACTGTAAGGATGATGTTTAGAATACCCGAGTTAGAATCAATGCCTTTCTAGAACTTTTCTAATCATCTGCGATTGGGATAAAAAGATGAGCGTTCAATTGGACTGAAAGCTAAAAGAATTCATCAAAATGACAACTGTAAGACCACAATAATGCACCATGCATCCTATTGAACGCCTTTAAAAATCAACTACGCAATGTTCATCTGCCTTTTTCCAGGACGATATGGTGTTGAAAATACCAGTAAGATTACATAAAGTAACATTAGTTGCAAAAAATACCGTGATTCACATTCATTAAGTAGGCATGCTCCCCACTATAGCTCAAAAGCACTTCTTCGCCATTTGGACTGAAAGCAACATGAGTGAGATGCAAGCTGGAAGGTTTCTGAGAATGAAAGCAATTAGAAACAAAATCAAATTAATGTCTGTGTAAATGACAGGAATAGCCTTATGATAAAAAAGAACAGCAGCCTATCTTCACAAAATCGAACAATTAGAAAGGTTAGGTAAAATAACCAAAGTTATGCCAAACGATAACAAAAGATAGAAGCTTGCAACCCAAATAAAATCAATGACAGACGAGGATATTACAAGCATAATTCACAGGGACCAACGTTTGAAACTTACACGCTCTGAGAGATGGATTGGACAGAAATAATTAACACAAGATGGAGGTTTCATCTTAGTTCGACATGAACTCGAAGGGGGCAGCATCCTTCGGTCATAGAGACGGGCAAATGCATCACTGTAGAGGGATTACTCAAGTTAGTCATAACAGTCATAATTAGTAATTGAATCAAATGCTCAAGAAAGAAATCACCTGCCACCAACAAGAAGATGATGAGGCCGACTTGGACTAACGTCACAAGATTTTAGTGCCAAGCACTGCTTAGGATAATCAGCTAAAGATTTCTTAGCTCCAGAACGTAAATCAAGCTGCCATTAGATCCATTGAAAAAAAATTATGTCTAAACAATAGTAATGTAAGAAGTAGTTAACAAAACATTCACTGAGCTTTCATATGAAGAACATATTTGACCATCTTCATAGGACTATATCCTCTTTTTCTTAAATTTTCATATTTTTCAAAGATCTACAACTCATTTGTTCTATTTAAAAGGAAAAATTATAGAAGATCTCATTTTTACCCTGGTCCAATTTGGTTGTCAATAGGCCTTGAGTTTTGGGCCATCCTGTAAAGCTTAGGTCTCCATTTGGCCTTGAGTTTTGGGATTATCCATAGAACTATAGTTCTTAATAAGCCTATGGTTACGGTCAATTGTTATTAGACTTGATTATGGAACCTTGCTTATTAATACAATCTAGGGTGTTGGGTTGAGTGCTACTCCCCTAGCCATGTTAACTTTTTGATAAGATATAAGACTTGGGGCTTCTAAAATGGGGCATGAGATTACAGGTGATGTAGTGGAAGTCAAGGAGAAAATGAAGAGCGGCTTGAATCCATGGGAGAATGATACTCTGTTTAATGGTTGGGCCCAAAAATAATGCACATCCATAATCTTCAGGAAATTTGGAGAACCAAAAACAATGTTGGGAAAATAAATTACATGGTTACACCCAATAAAAATAGGCTCAAAATAGCTCGTGTTCCAAATAGGCTAAGAGGTGTGACCCTTCTTATCAACAAGCCCGGTTCCTAGAAGACCTGGAGGTTTAGCAGAAACCTATTGGATTCAAGATACCAAAAAAAATCAATGGTTTGGACCGTTTCTGTTGAGCCCAGTCATGAGCTCAGTTGGGTATTACGACAAAACTCACAATCCCACTGATTGTTGATATCTGGATCCAAAAAATGGCCCAAATAATGGCCTAGCAAGAACCCAAGTTTAATCGTCAAGCTTCATGGACCTAAAAACCAGATGTAGTCTTTACTCTAGTGGCAAAAACACCATGCTACTGAAGCCTAAATGCATTCCTGACCATGAATTCGTGGATAGAAAGTTTTACCAATTTTTAAATTAGTTCTGTTTTCAAAATTCTTAAATATTCTTCATCTCAAGAATTCGTAAATGCGCTTCATATCTAATTGGGGTTTCAATCCCAAAATGTCGAGCTGGGCTCATATTATAAGCTTGTCAAAAGACCACGTCTCAGAGTGTCACTTTTGGATTGACAAAGCTGTAACTATTGCAATAAAAAATTTGAATAGATAAACAATACCATAAACAATTGTATACCAATACACTGCGGCATTCCTGGCTTGGAGAACCTGAAGGGGGGCAACAAACGCCCTCTCGAAAGTCATGTTGTCTCAAAGTCCCATCTTCACTGGCGCTCCACACTACATTTGGATTTCCTTGCTCAACCTATGCAGACAAACTTCAAAATAACGTTGATGCAAAGCATGTAAGAAAAAACTAATGTTCAAATGAGGATAAGGCCTTACAGCTAACTTCTTGACTCTCCTTGAATGACATCGGAAAAGTGCTAATGGCTCTGGAGCACTCTGCACTCCTTGGTGAGATAAATTGAAAAGACGGACCTGATCCAAATCAGTAGGTCAGTAAGCAAACCACGAATCAAAGATCCAGATACAGAACAGAATTCCGAAGCTGATCAGAAAGTTACCTCTGCATCTCCAGCACCAGAAACGACAAGCTCATCACAAGTCTCTGGGATAAATTTTGTGCAGAAAATGTTAGCAGAGTGGCCAGTGTCAACACGGCAGCTTAGCTTCCTCTCTGCATAATTCCAAATATTGATCTGTGCAAAATGATTCAGTGGGAAAGTAAGCTAAGGAAATGATGAGAATGAAGATTCAGATATGTAAAAGATGTTAAATGGTTAACCAAAATATAGCTATCCAGGTTACGGTAAGCACTAACACAGAAAAGAATATATTCATATGACAAGCAGGAAAGAGGAAGTTACAGGCAGCATGTCTAACATCGCCATAAAAATGCACTGCAAAGAATTGGTTCATGAGGACGTCAGAGCCAATCATGCACCCAGTATATTGGTCTACATTCGAAGAAAGCACATTGATGTACCAATTTCACTATGACTACGAGAATGACATCTTATAGAACTTGCTGAACAATGAAATAGAGTTTTTTTCTGATTTTCGTCGCTCACTAAGTCCTAGTTTATCTTAAGGTCGATTTTAAGACCCTAAGTTACCCCAACCGCTTGCCCTACCTTTTAGGAACATTTATCGCCGAATTTAAGATTCTAGTCTATTGCAACTGATTTGTACATTTTTTAAGGCAAATGTAAGGCAGATGTTGTTTTGGCTATGGGAGACGTTGAGATTTACAGGCCAGATCTAACAGCGCCCCTTCAAATGTGTTATATTTCTCCCATAAATAGGCGATTGAACTTAATTACAAGTCATTTTTTGAACGAAATTTTTGCTCTTAACTCTTTCCCCAGGAAGGTCACGAAGATTCTTCTCTGGTGTGACCATTGGGGGGGCCAAAGCGTGAAGATGAGGGTTATTTTGTCCTTGCTCAATCCCTAGCATCTCTGGGACAGTGTGAGATCTCTACATTATCAAGAGCATAGTTGGTGGCCTGCTTTCTTTAAGAATGTTGGCTATAGGACTCCTCCCATGGATTCACGGTATAATCGTTTCCAACCTTCAATCTAACTTTCCATCAAAGATTTATTGTTGCTTGTTATACTTGTATCTAAGTTCCTACTAGCCCTACCGCCATGTCCCATATTTTCGCCCACCCTTAGACATCATAGCAACCACCCTGGAAAAAGGATTTTTGCCTGATTCGTATGATATAAATCTTTTTTTGAAAGCAAGGATCTCCACTAATGAGCCTAACTAAAAACATAACTCTTTTTGTGACTACTCAAGGCGGATGCTTCTTTGATCGGTCAACCAACATTTAAATTGGTGTCCCGATTTCTACTAAAATCAAGCACATGGTGTGTTCCACATCGATTGTCAAAAAGGAGAAATATTCTTTTCTAACAGGGTGAGTTAGGACTACGTGTTTTGCAAGCAGAATAAGCGGATATGCTATCATATATAGGGCTGTCTATTTTCTTGCACTATTTGTTCCTATCGTGATGGCGTGCAAAGGAACAGTGTTTTCATTCTGGATCGTACAAGATTTTTTGCTAACTAGAAACTAGAGTCTCCCGCAGCAAGAGATTCCTCAGATAAGGACATCATCTATCCCCTCTCCTTTTAGTTCTTGTCACCTATAAAGGATGTGTACTAGGGAGGATTAGAGGTTCCCACCTATCCACATAAGGAGGCCCTTCATCATTTCTCGTTCTTGTTCTTGGCATGGAGATACTGAATGTAATGCAGTAAAAGTTATAGAAGAATTGTGGTGGATTAGAGGAATCCAACCATTTGAATGAGTCCTGCCAGTAACAAATGTGCGCTTAACAATACCAACATGCGAAAAAGTATTTACTGTTATTTTTTACCTATCCTCTCTCGTTTTAATCTTATCAAATGACCCATATCCACCCGATATCCAAATAGAGTTAAGTGAACTCAAGGCTGAGTTATTATCTAGAAGTGACTAAACATGGACCTAGAGAACCAGCGTGTGGGACTTAAAGCTTACAACTACAAGCAATGCCTCCAGGGGATGGAAGCTACTAAGATTCGTCAAAGCAAGAGCTAAAGGAGCCTTATCTTAAAGCACAAGGATGTACTGATGCACTCTCTAAGTAGATTCAATTAGCCTGCAGGTTAGGGGAAGATAGGGCGTTATCATGGTAGAGATGTTTCATAGTAAGGTAGGAGAGTGGTATTCAATGTTTACAAAGAACTTTATGGAGGAAGAGACTAGGCAATATTACTAGTTGACCTTCTTCCAGAGAGCACTGACAATACCACAGGTAGATTCATGGAGGTAGAAAGACCATGTACATTTGCTATCCATATAATTTAATGTATGCACGTTGAGATATCAGAGACTAGGAGGCTGGTCAAGTAAAACTTTTTCTTAGTCAGTGAATATTAAGACAATGAAGAGGAGGATCTCACATAAGATACATCACATTATTGATCACCCAGCTATCATTATACACAACTGTGGGAGAAAACATTTAATTAAGAGTTAAGTTTTTTATCAGTTTCCTAAATTGGTTGAATATCCTATAAATCTTGGGATTCAACATATGTACTTTTCCTCTTTTTGAGGTCAGGGTAATTTTTATATGGATTGATATGACAATTTTTTCCCCACTGTTTATTCTTATTTAGCATGCGTCAACAACATCAAGCTTATCATCAAAAATAGTGGTCAAGGAGATTAACTGACCAAAATACCAATTGAAAGGATGCAAGTATACACTAGATGTAGGAGCTACAGAAAGTTTCTGGCAGGCACTAAATGGAATTAACTGGTGGCATGCACCTATGGAGCAATAATATGAGCTTTGAAGTTACGTACCATCAACACAATAAATTAAAATCAAGAGATTCTAATAAGAGGGAGGAATATGAGGGTTGACACCAAATATTTGAAACGACCAATTAATGACATCTCTTCACCCAAATAAACTACAATAAACATAATACATCGCAAATTTGATGCAAGAGTTGTGAAAGAGATGGAATATAAAACTTATGTAGAACCATTGGGCAACAAGTTCAATACTGTTATAGCGAAATATTAAGAAGAAATGACTTCAACATTGGCTATCAGCAAATAAAAAAGACAAAAGTTATCCATATGTGACCCTTCACTGAGAAATGTAAGAACATTACTAATCGACATGACAATACCTAAAATGGTCATGGACTCGGAAGGCAAATTTAGTAATGGACTTCAACCAACAACCTCAACTTTTGGTTTATTTATTTATGCCCCTTTACACCCTAAACCCTCTTTTCCCTCATTCATCCTTCTTGCCTTTATTTACTCTCTGCACTTTTCTCTTCTTTAGTGGAAGAGGATACAATAGAAGCAGCTTCTGCCCCACTGATAAAAACACTGACTTCGTCCTATTGAAAATCGATGCAAGTTATTATGATCTCAACACACTAATAAGATAAGATTGGTTAACCAAATTATGTTTGCTAGTAAAAGAAATGCGTGTATTAACCTATATTGATATCTGCTTATCCTTGCTTTAACTGTCTACAATAGGGTCTGAGTTAAGGTTTCATCTGAGCATCCTATCACAGGCCTAACATTATTTATCATTTTGATAGATAGCATGAATCATGTGTATAACTGACAACACTGCGGGAAAGAAGAATAGCAATGTACCTGCAGGTCATCAGACCCTGATATCAAAAATGAGCCCCTTGAATTCCATGCCAAAGCATTAACACATCCTTCATGACCCTGTGCGAGGCAATTGTAAAATGTCAATAGAGAGCTAAAGATATCCCGTCCAAACCCTTAAATCTCCTTCATAATCAAGAATATTTAGCGTCACGCCCAAGTGACTGAAGACATATAGAAATAAATTAGTACAGCTATCTATATCAGCTCATTGCCATCATTGTAAGCCTTAACCTGACCAGATTGAATGAAATGATCCCATCCTTTTGCCTTTTTTATTTTGGATGAATAGAAAGCATGCATAAAATCACTTGGCAGCAAATATTCACACAATCCTAGCCCAAGCAACAAAGGAACAATATTCAGAGCTTAAATGCATAAAAATACAGAACTAGCTTAGGAGGGAAGAGACAAGTTTGAGAAAAATTATATGAAGTTCTCCACTTAAAATAATCAAGTGGCCAAATTATGACTAAAAAGTAAAGCTCTTGAAAGCTGACCTTTGTTTATATGAGACCATTAATTTATTCTCCAAATCAAGAAAAGAAGTATGTCTTCCACCGTGGTAAAAAATCAATGCAATTGCAACAGAAACAAATGGCACAAAGTATTCCGAGACCAAATGAGGGAGAAACCAATGACCGATATCTCATTTAAACATTGAGGATTCCAAGATTCAAATTGGTTGCAATTATGAAAGATGAGCCTAGAGCTAAAATGGTTGAAATAAGATCGAAAAGTTGCCAGACTGTTAAATCCGAACCAGCATAACTACAGTGATTCCCCATCACGATGAAGAAAACTTCCACACAAAAATAACTTCTTTAAACTTTTCAGTATGTTTTTTCGAAATGTTTATAAAAAATGAAAACCAATTGATAAACCATGGTTCAGGAATAGGACCAGCTGATATCTGGTTCATTTTTATTTACTTCGTTTGGCATTCCATCCATGATTTCACCAAATGAAACACAAGAAGAGTAGGAAAATCGTTCTCCACCCATGCAAATCCTTCATCAAGTCCTCTCAACTATTTCAGTCAACTCTTGTAGGCTATCAGGAATCCATGGAAAAACAAGGATGCGATTCCATAACTCAGAATTAGCATATCTCTAGGTCAGCACAACCATATACCACCCTAAGTGCACCTTCCTTGAAGAAGACAAAATAACCACAAGAAACCAATAACTTCAAAATAGGTAAGGGGATACAAATGAAATTGTAAAGAATACGTCAACACAATTGTATTCAGGCTATCACGCAGATTTAATGATAGTGTAGGCTTTTCAACTCGATCCAGCTCATTTTGATGTACGCATGCAGCCATGAAAGAAAATAGAACCAATCTCTTTCAACAGCCCAACAAACCTCCAGTTCTCTCTCTAGGGCGAGTCTTTGTATCAAAGATGAATGGCTATGCAACCTGTAGTTAATATCCTGAATGATCATTAAGAAACGTTCCATCAGTCACAGTCAATCAATACTTAAAAAAGGTTGAACATAAGGTCAACAATATACAATTCATACATTAAAATTAGCAATACTGCTTCATGTGGTCAACAGATGCTGAGAGATTCACAAAAACCTTCCAAACATCATACAGTGAGGATGCAGTGGATCAACACTAGAATAAGATATTAAAGTCACAACAAGAAGAAAACAGTAGAAGGCAGGCACAGTGAATGATTGGTTCAGGTTCGCCAGAAATGGAGCCAACCAACCCCAAAATGTAACAGAGCTTTATTGGGAAAACAATCTACCGCAAAAGAATATAGGGGTGAGATGTATCAACAACATTGCCAGATTTCTAAGGCAACATTCAGAATTTTTTCCTAAACATCAATAGTATATACCAAAATTACTGACAATACACGTCAAATATATTCAAATACATAAATTTTCTACATTACGATGTGCCATCAATCTTCACAAATGTTGGAATAACCATTCATGACCATCAAGCTTCATCAGCATTGAAATAATGTTCTAACAGTACTCATGATGCTTCCCTTTCCCATCCCCACCAATATATACTGGAGCTTCATTAATTTTGTTAAACGGGCAGAAAAGTCTTCTAGCTCAGATGTTATTTAACGATAAAAATGGATTACCCACAGAAGAAAAATTAAAATACTTGACAAGTATATAGAACAAAAAGAAACAGTAAGCAAAGAAGACAATTATTCTTAACTAGAGAATTGTCGCATGGAAAATTGATTTCGTAGTTGTAGGTTGAAACCAGCTAAATTAGACCTTGGATAACAATGTGTCGACTATATGTTTGGTCTTGTTCCTCCTGGAAGCCGATTATGCTTTGAAATAGGTTTTTTTTTCCTTCCAAGACCATAAATTCTTAAAATGCCACAAGGTCACCGAACATCCAAGAGCCCATGGGAGACTAATCAAATGTCTTAAACCATGAATAGGCATATGTTAGTATTTCTCCTCTATCAAGTTCCAAAGGGTCCCACGGGATTATTTGTCGCACAAAAGGACCAAACCTCTCGTGAGAGAAAACCAGGGGAATCAAAAAAACGATCAAACGCCAAAAATAATCGTGAAAGGGATAACTGGTTATCATCCCGTCGTACACAGGACTACTTCAGAACCGACGAGCCCCACGCCGACGGTGTCACCTCTACCCTTTAATCCAGAAGATCTAAGTAGGAAGAGACACAAGCATAATCAACAAGAAATTGGCATACACTCCGGCTGATCACGAGGAAGAACAAAGAAATCCTAGAATAGCCTCGTCCCACACTCCATCAACGTCAAATACCTTGATAGAATCCGTCTTCCTCCTCTCGATCAAGTCGGTCACGTTTCCGTCTGGGAAATTCCATCCAGCTTCCGTCATCGTTAACAAACGAGAAAGAAGAAGACACCAGCCGTCGTCGCAGGAGGATGCCGCAAATTCTCGTCCCCCACTCCCCTTCCCTCGCTCTCTATTTAAAGACACCTGCACACAGAGCGATAGCTTCCAGTGACAACCGGCTGAAAGGCGCCACGCGCTGCCACGTTGTTCCGTAGTAAATAATTTACAGAAGTCTGTCATCATCTTCAAAAATGCCCAAGCAGCTTCAGGTGATAACATCCATTAGCGTCGTCAAAAATGGATTCTTTGTGGGCTGAAGATAATTTCTTGGAACGCGTACAGACGATAATCAGGCTAAGCTGCAGCCTTACCCAGCACAGACGGCGTCCGGACACGTCCCACGGGAACCCCCCTTCCCCCACCTCCTCTTAACCGACATGAGTTATTGAAGAAGCTCGAAGACTGGGTTTCGATTTTTCTCAAAGCCCAGACCAGGCGGAGGATCTGTGGGGATACGGAGTGCGGAAAGAGAGAGAGAGAGAGAGAGAAGTAGAGGGGGATGATGATTATAAAAAAGAATACCCATAATTTGTTTTATACTATTTCATTTTATTTTAGAATTATGAATCTAGATGAGTAGGAGAGCAACTGCCCATTTGAATTCCGAATGTATGATAGTATTTTTTTTCTTGATCAAGAATCATAGAGAATACCAAAGTGTTAGAAGAGATTCCAAGTCTAAAAATAGCTCAACAAATGATGGAGACAGTAATTTTTGAACAACAATGTCAAAAAAATAAGAACAATATAAAGAGCAATGGATTAAATTATACTAACAATTATGAATCTGTATTTTTATAGGATTCAAACTAGTCTAGCACAATTTAGACCTTGTAGATGGAATAAGTCAACCTTTCGACATGAGCACAATCAGAGATTTTTGTAGGACAACAAACTAGTTTGACACAATTTAGACCTTGTAGATGGAATAAGTCAACCTTTCGACATGAGCACAATCAGAGATTTTTGTAAGACAACAAACTAGTTTGACACAATTTAGACCCTTGTAGATAGGATAAGTCAACCTTTATACATGAGAACAATCTGAGATTTTTGTAGGACTCACAAACTAGTCTAACACAATTTTGACCCTCATAGATAGGACAAGTCAACCTTTCTACATGAGAACAATCTGAGATTTTTGTAAGACTCACACACTAGTATAACACAATTTAGACCCTTGTAGATAGGATAAGTCAACCTTTCTACATGGGAACAATCTGTTATTTTTATAATAACTTAATTTGATCCTACTCTATTTTTCTAATAATATATATTCCTCTTCTTCAATTCTACTAGTCCCCTATATAACATCAAATTCATAACTTTTATAAAATCATAGCATACATGATTTTATAGTGATGGATCTTCTACCACTTAGATCCCTTATAATAAGTAAATGTTATATATCTAGCAACATTTATGACAAAGTTTTGTTTGGGAATGAAATCAAAAGCCTAGAAATGAAAGAATTGCTCCTATTTTCATACTACTTTAAACCTCATTGACCAACAAACAACACCAATGTGATTATGAGGGTAGTTTATAGTCAAATAGTTATCATACTATAAATTTGAGTAAAATACTACAAATAGTAATATCATAATATTTAAATAAGAAACCCAACCAAAAAATAATTGAACTCTTAAAGAACTTTTGCAGATAGTGGGGAGGTAAACTAAACTACCTTCAAATGAGCACATGAGTGAGGATTGAGTGGTGAAGCATGATGTTTGACCACTTGGCTGTTGTGAAAAAATGAGGACCCTAAGAAGATCTCAAAGTCATGACTTCTCAATCAACAAGGTCATTTGACTACTTAGATATCTCTCTATCTTTAGGCTAATCTTCTTCTTCTTCTTCTTCTAGTATGCTGTTTTTGGTCACCTACTTTCTAGTTTAGATGGGAGGGTTATGTTTTTTGCCATAATGTGATTAGAGGGGTCTTCTTATGGCATTATTTTTTGTCTAAACAATTACTCTAGAAAGGTGTTGGTAGAATATATATTTTTTGATATAAATATATTTTTGCCAATAATGGGCTAAGATCTTAAGTGCTAGTATAAATTATTTTTTATTTTTTAAAAAATGAATAAAAAGTGAGCCCAATAGAATATCCATGAAAGTAGAAGGAAATATTTACTTGAAGTGGCAACACCATTAAAATTAATTTCTCCAGTTTTTAAATATGCCTAGTAGTAGTGTAACCAGAAAAGGTAACGTTACCGCATCGTTGCACTGCTCCGCGACGCTCATATATGAACACATACTTATTTATAAAGCGGACAATTTTCGCGATTATAATACGAATTCCTCTTTAAAAAAAGGGTGAGCACAGCCTCCAGCCCAAGCGGGCGTCTTCTCCCCCCTCCTACCCTTTCTCTCTCTCTTTCTCTCTCTAGCTTGCTCGCTCGCTCGCTCTCTGCGTCTCTGTAGGCGTCTCCCTCGTTCCGCCGCTGGGCGGCGTTGTGGGACTTGAAAATTCTGCAGAGAGGTGAGAAAGCGGGCCAACGGCGGCGGCGCCGGGAACACACGATGTATGGAGGGGTGGGTAAGCACGGGAGGGGAGGGAGTGGCGGGGGACGGGGAGGAGGGAAGCGCTCGCTGCCTCCTCCTGCTCCCTCGGGCCACCTCCAGCGGGTTGGGACCTCTAGCGGTGGCGGCGGCGGCGTCGGCGGCGTCGGCGGCCGGCTTTCTCTCGGGTCTACGGGTCCCTCTGCGACTCGGGAACGGCGCAGCGTCGGGGCGGGCCCCGGTGGCGGAATGGGCGGCGCCGGGGCACCGGAGGAGACCTTCAGGATGATTTCGGCCGATACGCTCGACTTTGCGGCGATCATTCGGCTGACTCCCGACTTGGTGGACGAGATCAAGCGCCTGGAGGTCCAAGGCGGCGCTGCCAAGATCAAGTTCGATTCTAATTCCAATAATTTGTCTGGAAATGTGAGTTCAATTACCCATCTTTTGCTCCTCCATTCCTTCCTTATTAATCCGTGTTTCATTCATATTTTCCAGTGGTTTATGGTGATAGGTCAGGTTTCTTTCGTGATATTGTGGTCCTATTTCCCCGTATCAATTGAAACAATTACTACTCCGATATGATCCATTTTTCATGTCTTTTAAGTCGGTAGAATGCGCTCCTACAATGGATCTTTTTCGTGAAACTGACTGTGCATCCAGTGCATGGAAATGTGTATCAGTCAGAAACGTTTGCTGTAGAATTCTTTTATGTTGATCGCTTCTGCTCCTGGATATCATGCACATTTAATTTATGTGGTATATGACCTAGGACTACCGCGTGACACTGCTGCTCTGTTGGAAGATCACAGTGTTTGCATATTTCCTGTGGTCTGTAAGAAAACCGAACATAAGCAGAACATGTCAATCATGTGCGGGTAGCGTCTTCTGCCAGGAAATTATTAATTTTAGAACAGATTGGGTTTTGCCTGCCCAAAGCTACCATCTTGCAATTACTGGTTTTGTCTACCATATTGCTGCAAGCTGGCTTGTATGATAATCTAGCAAATTTAAGAGTTCAAGGTGGTGGCGTGGGTTTGGTTGGTGCTTGGTTGTACGGTGCCTGAAGATTTAGGATAAGAGTTGATCATTGTCACTGGAAGTATTGCAAAAGAATTACTGGCCTTCCTCGAATATTACAGTTCGCTGATGACTTAGTGGAATTGGTTTCTTTTCTAGATCAGTAGATTTGGGGCACACTGGTTGCTAGTTGCTTTGAATGCTCTAGTCTATTGTTCGTCCATATGCCAGGGATTATTGGGTTTGTTAATCTACTAGGCGTTTCATTTTTTTCTAAAGATGATCAGTGCTGCTTGTCATAACTGGATGTCAAGAAATTGCATCTGACTGCAACGAAGCCCAATCTTAAATCTCAAATAATAAATTTGGAATGATTGTAACCGGTTTTTTATAAATTGGGTGGGAGAACCTCCACAATCAGCTGAAGTGTACAGAAGGAAGTTCCCACCTAAGCCCTTTCTTGATTACTGCGAGGTTACCTACAATACATCTGTATACTCTCTGGAAGCATACTTAGAAAGAACTCACAAGACAAGTTCCTTTGTGTCAACATGTAGGATTTTGATACTTCGTCCTTTGAAGGTTATGTGGGGCTTTTACAGGTGATCAATTGATTTTTGTAGTGGATATTACTGACATCCTTTCTAGTCTGTATGAGGTAGAAAGAGAAACTTTGGAACACTTGTTTGACAATTGCATACCTTAAACTAGGCTTACATCACATTGATAAACATTCACATATTAGACAGGCAAGGTGTAAAGCTGAATTTCGTGGCTTATTTGTATGCGATCTTGTAAGCAACTGAAACAGGAGGGGAAAACACACATTGTTGAAGAGAAAAAGTGCTACTGCATTGAATGTCTTTTATGTGGGTTTATGAAAAAGTAAGAGACAAGGTGAGAAAGGTGTTGAATGATGCCACAGGTGAGTCTATATTTCAAACTTATTGGGGTTGTACTTTCTGTCGATCACTATATTGATGTAACACTCTAGTCATGAATACGGTTTTCCTGAGAACTCCTAAATCAAACATCTGTACTTACTCTATGTTTTCTATAATTTTCAGTTTTTTTTTCCCTTTGTCTTTTCCCAAGACATTTTAAACATCATCTCTCAGTCAATCCTCTTGGATCTGTCTATTAAATTTTTTTGTTCTCATTTCCCAATGCTGTTCTCCATGATGTTGACAAGTTGGTGCAGTGCGCTATCTGTGTCCATAGAGTATTAACTGCTGACGTTTGAATTGAAATTCCCTCGAGTTTCCCTTTTCAGAGATATTTCTCCGGTTTTTTTTCCTGATTGCAACTAGTTGCAGACCATTCATTTACGATTACCTGAAACCTTGAATATTTTGAATCAAACTTGTGACAGTTTGTAGGTTTCGATGCAAATGAAGTTGTAAATAAGTTCAGACCGGATACACGACCTCTGGAATTGGGAACAGGCTGTGTGAAGCATCGGGGCAGCGTGGACTTTCCAGAAGGGAATTTTATCTGAGATTAGTGAAAATTGAACAATTTTCAGCGCATATTCCCAAGTTGAACGGGATGGTCTTCTTAGACTAGTGCAGAAGGACGTGACAAACCCTTGAGCATGAGATTCAGTATACAAAACACATAGACTTTGAAGTTATGAAGTTTCATTCCTTTTACGCAGTGAAGAAAATTAAATTTGTGCCTGTGTATCCTCTTGATCTGTGTACTAACCAATGGCTATGAAGACGGGAGGTGAAAATAAGAAGTAAAGAAGTAAGGAAAATGAGTAGGTTCCTTGTTTGATATGATGTGGAGTAACGGATTAGGCTGATGGAAATGACAGTTTAGATTATTTATTTTTTAAGAAAGGTGTCTGATTTCTAATTAGGATGGGAAAAATTAGAAAACCATTCTTGATGTGTGGTAGTCATAACTTTTAAGGGACTTCCCGAATGACCATACCGGGTAATTCTACCATACTCTGTGCAGCTATGGTTATTGATCCTGCAAATCCTACCCCAAGGTTCAGGCCAGATTGAGAGTTTAAATTATTTATTTTGGAAAATTGCATTGATCCTGGATCCACCTGTCTTAGATTTGCCAATAGAGAGAAAAAGCTGAATAAATCTTTATGTAGACTTCGGAGTGTATTCATGCAAAGTCTCATTTTGAATGGGGCAGGCACATATGTCTCATTTGCTTGTTCCGCACTGGTATTGCTATGTTATATTTACATGAAGATTTTCTTTCAGAAAACATTAAACTCATTAATGCAATAGTTCAGTATTGCAGAGTGATTTTAAGAACTTGCTAAGCCTTTGTGTACTCATTATCTATGTATCTTGCATGTTATCTCTACTTTCAGATTTTTTATGTTTTCTTCATGAACCAGGTCATAGACGTGGGTGGCAAGGAATTCAAATTTACATGGTCACGAGAACTTGGCGTATGTGATATCTATGAAGAACTTCAAAATGGAGAGGACGGTAATGGACTGCTCTCTGAGTGTGGCTCAGCCTGGCGCAAGCTTAATGTCCAACGTATTTTGGATGAATCATTGAAGAACCATGTAAAGATGCGATCAGAGGAGGCTGAACGCCGCCTTAAATCCAGGAAGTAAGCTACATAACTTTAATAGGAAGTGCTTTAAATCATGTTGTTCATTTATTCATTGTCCTTGTGACTTGTTATTTCAGAAATCTTCTGACCAACTTTACCAGCTGTTCTTCTTCATAAAATAATTTGATTCATTGCAGCGAATCTGTATTGATTCTTGTATTGCTGGTCGTTTAATATAATATCTTCATGCTAAAGAACATATGCCATTAAATAATCCCGTTACTAGTGGCACTTAGGTATTGAATCTTATCATGCAAAACAATAAAGTAATGACTATTTTTAGTCATTAATTTTAATTTTAATCTGAAGAATGAGATACTATTTGCTCAGAGTTTTTAAGGCTCATAACTGGGCGTCTGGGCAGCTAGAGCCAAGGTGCTTGGCCACCATTCTAGATCATGATACATGTACCCCAACACATTGCCTAGTAATTTTGTCATGTCCAATGTGCTTGAAAGCGACCATTTTGTGTGTATTGTGCAGGCTGAATGGGTGTTTATCTGACTCTGACAATTAGTTTGGTCAGATGATGTGAGAGCACATTTTGTTACATATGCATAAAAGTGTGTGAATATGTATGCTTGCAGAATGTCCTCATGTTTCATTTTCAATGGATTGTGTCGGAACCTTTGAGCGTTTTGACAGTTCTTAGCACGTGTTCCTCTTCCAAAAGAAGCGAATTAATAACGGTTGAGCAGTATTACACATTGTGATCACTGTCATTGTTCTCCTGCATCTCCCTCCTTCCCATGTTTACCCTTTGTACCCTTGTTTCTCTTCATTTCCCTCTCCTCTCTGTCTTTTCCTGTCTCTCCATCTCTCTATCTTTTCAGCCTCTTCTTTCGTTAAGTCGTCTCTCCATTAGCTTCACTCTCTCTCTCCCCCCCTCTTCTTTCTCAATTTCTCATTGTTGACCAATTTCCCTTCCCCATCTTCTCTACCATCTTTCTTTCTCCATTCCCCATGCTCTTCTGGTTTTATTGGCAACTCTCAATCCTCCATGGGCATGGTTACCTAGTCGAATGAATTAAGGATGGATGCATTCAATCAGGAATCAAGATGATGAACTTACGTATGATGTGTACTGGTCATGGCAGTATTTCACCATTAATGATTTCAAGTGAATATTCTGGTGCTGCATTCCACGTAGAGACTTCGTTGGATACAACTTTAGTAGTTCATTTGGAATAATGGGAATTTGGCCTCCAAAAAGTAGGTTTATGCTCCTTTTGAGTTAATTCATGAATTTCTGCATTCATGAAAGAAAATGGTGGCTTTTTATTGTATGTATAAATATTTTTCCTATTGATTTTTGGATTCAGTGGGCAATAAATTAATTCTTCATCATGCTGTAACACGTGCATCATCTGGCCTTCCTTTCTCATATATCTTACCCACACACTACATACAAGTCAACGTTCATCTTTGCTTGAAATACCATGAACTTGCAAGACAGCCCATCCAAACGAGGGAAATCTCAGATGTGTAGATAAAGATTCTGTTTACACATATCACTTCAGTAGTGCACTGTTGGCCTTTACAACCCACGTACTTAGTTCAGTATTTACAACACAACACTAAGCAAAACTCGTCCATATTACAATTCATTACCTGATTCAAATTTTCAATCCGGATGTTTACTCCATCGTGAAATAAGCATTCCTTAGAATCAGAGGATTTTGAATGCTGTTGGAAAAGGTTTTTAATTTTACTTTGGAGTTACAGTGCAATGCAAGTTCTTTTTATTTGAGGATTGGATGTGTTCAGTAGTGATTGGATATTAATGGGATTTCTGCTCTCCTTCCATCTTAGGATATAACATTTCATCTGCAAATTCCCATTGGTTTGTGCAATTCATCACAAAGCCACCTTTCTATCTGACGGAGTGAAAATGAATATTTTCCGACATTTAAGGGCACTGTTTTCCTTTCGATTAAGAAAATTTGGATCTTCAACTTGCTTATGCCGCGTATTAACATTTAACCATTTGTAAAGTTGAATGCCATTTTCTTTTAAAGCAGTGACCTTTTTCTGTCCTCAGGAGCATGCATTTTATACTGATATTGCATTATCACACACTACTTTCATCTTCAACATATCTAAATTACCTTTCATAATGCCTCCTAGCTCTTCTAGCTCCCCTTCTAAAATCCTCGCAACAGTAAGAACTGGACTGTTCATAGGTATTCTTACTGGTTTTTTTTTGTGGGAAGAAATTGTAGATCAAATGACAAGAATCACGTTGCATTATTCGTTTGCTTATAATTTTTAATCAATATCTGACTGGAAATTTACTGGTATATCTGCGTGCTTACTATATTTAATTGGGCTTACAATTTCCTATTGTTGTTTTTATGAATATAATCTTATTAAATTTGAGTAGGAATGCGATGCTTTGTTATTCAATGGACATCTCAAGTTTGTTTTATTGTTTGTCCAGGTCAATTGTCTTAGACCCTGCAAATCCATCTGTAAAGAATCAAGCCAAAACATTGGCTGCAGCAGCTGTAGAAGGTGAGGCACTTGAATTTGATCTTTGGGATATCATTAATTTTCTACTACATTATTCCCATTCACAACATTATTTTTGGGCTTCCTGTTGGAAGTCCTTGACTAAAACCTAAACATATTCATTTGATGGAATAATATTTGGCCGGGGCCAATATCGCTTTAATGCATAACAATATATTTTACGTCATACTCGAACATTTCGAAGACATCCTTTTTTAAAACGGTCTTGTTGTTCCTTATTTTCCTGTGTAAAAAATTGTCGAATACAGTTTTTGTTTAATTCCATTAGTGTTGGTCTCACTACTTCACATTAGCTATGGCGTTCTCCATTTAAGGCTTTGAGAAAATAGTGCTTTTGTTCGTCGTTTTCTATGTGGATCACTCAAGAATGTCAAACAGTTTTCACTCAATCCAGTGTGACTAGTTAGTTCATCTTAAGTAATGCATTTGATATGTAGATCCTTTTTGTCCGACACAGTCACTTTAGTTTTCTTATTTCAGCCCCTCTCATTTTATGAAAGGAAGGGAAGAGACTCTGGGAATACATCCCCGATTTTATGAAGCTTGCCTGAGGAAATAATTTCATGGGGTTCAACATCCACTGTCCTATGAAGGGGGTTTAGTGTTGTCTTTTGTTCTCACATACTTCAAGGGTCTATTCCATCTGTTTCTTTTTACTGAGGAACATTCCTGGCCAAAACGCCTGCCTATGTAGCTGATTACTTTCTTAGTTGTTTCCAAATCTTTATGATAGATCATTCATCAAGGGGTGGTATCCCAGCATTTTGGGATTAGGGATAAATATGTTGGGAAGGAAAGCTACACAAAATGGGGATCCCAAGCTTTTCAGATTTTCTCTTTGTGGATGGATTGAATTTTGTCTGAAGTAAAGCTAGAGGCATATGAGCAACTTGGCTTTGTTGTCATGAATGATGATTGAATGTATCTTTAAAGATCGGAATCTCTTTTCTTTGCTCTTGACTGAAACATAAACCTTGAATGGAGAAACCTAGTATGGTAAATTTTTGCTCTATTTAGGTGTTCCTTGTATAATGTGTGCAGGGTAATCTGTATCATTCTTACCTCATTCATTAGAATACTGAGGTTATTAATTTATCTAAATATTGGTCTATTAAAGAAGAGAAAATTCATTGAATAGCATTATCTATCATTGTAAGTCTCATAATATGGTTTTTTGCACTGTACCCTGGTTTTTGCATCTTGGCAGACATTGATAAAGAGGTAATCATCCTTTAGTGAATTTACCATATGCTCTTATTCTAAAGTGACATTTTTAATATAAATAATGTAAACTCTGTTCAAAGACCTGATGGAATAAATTAGTTGTTGGGCTGGAATCTTGCTGGAATCTTACTGGAATCATGTGGGGTTATTTAGCATTTAATGTTTTTTTTACGTTGCTGTGTTTTGTAACTCCACTCAGTCTGGCAGATTTGATTTGCTGAAGCTTTGAAAAGTCAAAAATCTAGTGTAGTTTATTCTGATAGGTTATGTGTAACCATTGTTGCTTTTACTTTAAGGAGGAACTCGTAGGTTGCTGCTTTCTTGGCTTTTCCACGAAGGCAGACATTACTAAATTAAAGGATTTTCTAGCTTTAGATTCATTCTAACCCTTATAATGAATGGACCTCTATATTTAGTTATTGGTCTTTTAGTCCATCATAAAGCTACCATGCTTTTAGGTTCATGAGTGATATTTTTGCCTTTCCATTGTATTCCATTATAATTGAATTTCTTAACTATGGTTAACAAATGAGGTATGAAACAACGACTTTACCACTTAGTCTTAATCTCCTCTTTCCCATTTCCTGTGCATTTTCAACTGGGAGAAGGCAGAAGGAAGAGGGAATGGAGTGGGGTTTGCCAGCTTGGGAGAGGAAGAGGACTTGGGAAGTGTGGTGTATGGTATGAACTTCGGGTAGAGGGGTCAGGAAGGAAGCAATAGGAAAGGAGTGGTGGGTTTAGAGTGGGAAGGAATGAAAATGTGCGAGTAGGCATCTGCCATGCGAGGAACGGATAGCAAGGATGAAGATGCATGGAGTATCTAAGCTTTTTCATCATGTTCGAAGTTTAAGAGAATATAACAAATGAGTTAAGAATTTTCTCCGTATAGTTTCCATCACTAAACAGCCTATGTGCGGCTTTATGAGACTATAAACTGCAGAAGTAAATTAAGTGGGGCCTTCTTCCAATGGTTTGCTGGGATGTAAAGCACGAAATCGTAAATCAATGAGGTTTTTCATTAGAATGTCTTAACTGACTTGTTCATTGTTTCATTTGTTCTAAAATTAACGTAAGTTAGATCCTCTCATTTGCTTGACATTGATGTTTGATGACAATCTTGTTTTTGAAGGTGATATATGTTTTCGATAGTTTGCAATTAATTGGGTGAACATTATTATATTGTAATATAAATGTAGCAATACCATTTAAGAAACAAGAGCTCATTACGCTCTGTGGCTTAAAGTAGTATCTGACGAAATACCTTAGACAATGCTTCATGTAGACAATTGACAGCCAGACAGAAAGCTTGATCTTTCTTGCCTTACCTATGGTGCAAGGAGCAATGACATTTGGTTTCATATTTTTACTCGAAGTGTTTAATACTCTTCTTCCTGAACTGTGGGTAATGTGGTCACTTAAAATGTTCTTACTGATTTTCGTTTTCTTTTTGCTGCTAGGTAATATGCGAAGGATGCATTGGAAAAAGGACCAATTTAAAAAGAGGAAAATGGATACAAGTATGGGTACAGGAACTCCCTTTCTAACCTGAATATCTGGCTTATCTAACCATTCACGGGTTGCCAATATCATCAATAATGATTTGTCTTGTGAAGGAAATAGGCGATACGTTATGGTTGTCACTGCTTTTTGATCATATCCGGTGTTTATGATATTTCACAAATCTGATTGATTTTGCACCTGATACCTTAGGTAGATGTTGTTCCTTGAATCAGGACGGAGGTTGTCTGAACGGATATGGAGAAAACAAAAAAATGATGGTTTAGACGTGTTGCAACTTGTATGATATAGGTTCTCATTTATGTCCCTATTTGTGAGTTCAATGTTACGACTTGAATCAGATTTGAGGATAGCTGCTGTTTCTATACAACGTTTTAATACAATGGGCTGGCAGTATGAGTTTTTGTTTAGTCCTATGGTTTGATTTGCTTGCCTCAATTAACAGAACTGTGCGATTTAGAATTTTTGCCCCTGATATGTCCTGAAATAGCTATTTAACTAGACATGCTTAACATGCATATTTTATTTTGATCTCATAAAAAATGTGCTTTACGATATTTTTATCTTGTGAATAGCTTAACTTCAAGTCTTACTGATAATCTTCTCGGTAGTTTTTTTGTATGTTGAAGCGTTTTGGTGTTGTTCATTCTGTTTTATTTTATTGTTCTAGTTACAAGCACGGTCGCCTCAAAACCTGTGTTCAAATCTGGAACGCCTTCACATATTTCTAGTGGGAGCCTGCCGTCCATCTCACCTCAACCATCACCTCCTGAGCAAGCTGGAATAACGGCTTCACTATCCTCTTTTGGAATGGCAAATCCTTCGAGAGGCCATGCAGCAATGGATGAAGAACATGCCCCACTTACATCAAATGGGGACAATGCTAACTCAGAGAGGGACCTGTCAAACAGGGCTGGCCATGGATCAATGCGCAGGCCAGTTGCAAGTAAAGGGGTCTCAGGCTCTCAGCCAGTGGAATTGCGGAGCTTTTTGATTAATTTACTCTTGGGTAGTCCCAAGGGAATGAGCTTAAAGGTATGATACGTTTCAAAGTAAAAAGGGAAATTCAGATGCATGCAAGTTCTGTCACTATATTGTTTGGGAAACCTACTGACTAATTAACTACCCATGAGTCCTCTGATATCCGACCTTAGTGTACTCCATTCTTGTTGGTAATGAACCTTGGTGTGTTTTGTCTTATTCATGTTTTCGTGTCATGAAGTGTTTCGCTACTGTTACCTACAACTCTATTCCCCTAAATAGTTGCATTGAAGTCCTAACCGACAATACAGATCAGGAAATAATATTACTTCTGGGTGCTGTACCTTAGATTCTTGGTGAGAATTTGTTGGAATGGATTGCAGTGCCACTGCCATGACCTTGGTTATTGCCAACTTAATAAAAGTGAAATGATCATTTCTGTGATCTTTAAGTCTTATTCTTTATATGGAAGCCTGTGGTGCAGAAGTCAAAACGACGTCTATCTTTTATTTGACTAAAGTTTTAATCACCAAAAATCCTGTCGATAGTTGCATCATTTCTAGTTCAGGTAATTGTGCCGCTTCTTGATTTTAATTAACTTCATCTGTACTTGTACTTCTGATCTTAATCTGACCGATTGGATTGATACCTGAACCAATTCAGGTTGGTGGGGACAAGGGAATTACGATTCCAAATTCTTTGTGATTGAGGTTTCCAATCAATCCATATTAATTTATTATAAAAGATCATAAATTATTTTGTGCTCTCCTTGTGACTTTTCTTCGCTTTTTATGTCATTTTGATAATAAAATTATGATCACACGAGCGGATTCCTGGGATTCGATCTTATAATTTCCGTTGTTGGATGCAAATGATGTTTAAAATGAAATGGTTGCTTTCTCAGGGTTTGGAGAAAGCTGTGGCAGAAACAATGCCCAATGCTGGAAAGAAGATCGAAAGTATTATAAAAAGCGTGAGTGGATTAGTTGATTTTTGGGTGCCTTGATTAGGATACTTTCTGATAGTTTCACCTAACTTTTTAATCTCGTTAACAGATAGCAACCTACCAAGCTCCAGGACGGTATCTTCTAAAGCCAGGAGTTGAAGTGGACTTCTCTAGAAAACCTCCATCTGAAAGTGGAAGGTATGAATGACATTAGTTTCTTTTCATTTATTCCACTAGATGAGTAATGTACTGAATTTCGCTTCATAGATATTTTAATTATTCTTTCAATACGGTGACATGAAAGTTGATATTAACAGTACTGGATCTTCTTCTGAAACCAACCGTCTTTTATGCAAAGTTATATAATTGGAGATGAAAATTTGGTTGTCATAATTCTTATCTCTGTGCAAGAACCTATAATTTATAAGCATTGCTTTTGTATTTTGTGGTCCAACTTGCTTTTTCTTTGCTATAACAGCCCTGATCACCATCCTGAGAGAAGGTCCGTCTCAGAAGTAATAGAGAAAGACAATGCTCAAGATCTTGAGCATAAAGCTCAGTTAACTCAGCTTACAGAATCAGATATCGAAAAAATTGATATTGAAAAAAGCTCTCCTGATCTTTCAGCAATTGATATTAAGGTTGACGATGAGAATGAGGAAGGCGTATGCAGCTCTAGTGAAAGTGGAAGCGATAGTGATAGTGAAAGTGACAGTAGTGACTCTGGAAGTGACAGTGGAAGTCAGAGTAGAAGCAAGAGCAAAAGTCAAAGCCCTGTGGGGAGTGGAAGTGCAAGCAGCAGTGACAGTGAAAGCGGTGATTCCTCCAGTAGCAAGGAGGGATCTGATGTTGACGTGGACATTATGACAAGCGACGATGACAAAGACGAAACTGGGAATAAAATCTCTAACATTTCAAGATTGTCTCCTCCTGGGGAAGGGAAGTCATCTTATGAAGATCACGAAGAAAATGCCTCTGAAAGAGCAAATCAGGTCATCCAAAGGACATCTCCATCTGATTCACATGATTACTTGACAGGTAGTAAGTCTTTTGCGGTTGAAGATATGGAGAGAAGATCTAACAATGCAAGGATAAAGGGTTCTCCATACTCTCAAGCTACAACTACAGACAATGTTCTGCAACCGAATCCTCGGAATCCTCGGAATTCTGGAGAAGATATGTCTTTAACAGCTTCCTCTCGAAATTATAACTTGGACAAAAGTGAGCATTTTGTCGGTCCGAGTCCCAGTGATAAACAATTATTTGGAAAGGACCGCCCTGATCTTGAACAGCTTGATAGTGTGGAAAAAATTTCAAAAGGCATAAATAAAAGAACTGATCCAAAGCACTTCCAAGAGAAGCCCGGAAGTAACAAGAGGCCAAGGGGTTCAAGTTCAGGTGGACAGTTATCCTCTGTAAAGATTAGAGATGATAATCTTCCTCCAAAATCACGCAAGATTTCACCAGACAGACTAGAAACAAATCAAATCAAGAGTTCAAGATTAATGGCCAGTGACGTTGACATAAATGAAGACGCATTTGATTCCAAAAGAACATCTGACAGTGCATTGGCTGGAAAATGCATAAAAGAAAATGGAGATCGCATTAAATTGATCCAAGATATCGTGGATTCTGATTCTCGACAATTAGCACAAATGGTCGGAAATACCATTGGAAGAGCCAAGGCTTCTGATGGTGCAGAGAAATCTGGAAAGCTTATTGAGAGGTTCAATGGCGCTAGTAAGCATTCAGAAAAGTCATTTGGCCGTCTGGATGGATCAGATGTATCTAGTTCAAGGAGTTCGAGCATCCATGACAAGTTTTTCATGTCCAAGGACATGCTGAACAAAGATATCCGAGACGTGATCATGGATGTTAATGAGAAATACTCAGCCAAACACGTTTCAGATGATATTGGAGGAGACAAGCTACCTTCGTTTATTGACTCAGGTCTCAGTAATCTTGCTGATCAGAGTGGAATTCAAAAGGATTCCAAACAGTTATTAAACTCGCATAAGGCTGACGTCGATAAATGTGCTGCTTCTAGCGAGAAAGTTGTTCCCCTGAGAAGAGAGCTTTCAGAGCTAGAGCTGGGCGAATTTCGTGAACCACTTTCTGTTGAAGACATCAAAAAACGTAAGAAGCCATCTGAGAGAAAAGGTCCTTCCAAGTACTCAGAGAGTAAACTGAACGTGATGGACAACTTTAGTTCAGATTCGAAGAAAGGAAGAACCCCAGCAAAGGCCTCCAATGAGTTAAAGAGAGAGTCACCTTATTTGTCAAAATGTGGAAGTCAAGCCAATCAAGATGGGCCTGGCAGAAGGGTGCTAGATAGTGACACAACGGATTGCACAATTTCTCAGCAGCGAACAACCGTTTCATCTCAACTTCAACAGTGCTCAAGAGTAGACCGACCTGAAAGTGACTCTGCCTCTCATTTGGATCTGCTGTCTGATACAGCTGGTAAGAATGCAATGAAATCTACTCAAGAAATTCGCCAGGAAGGCTCTGGGGCTCGTCATAAAAGATGCTCTAGTAGTTCTTTGATGCAACTAGATACAAAGCAAAATGGTCATATGACTGCCAAAACATCCATCGATAGTAAGCCTAAAATCAATAATGGGCTCATAGATTCATCTGATCGGAGTAAAGAAAGCTTTCGGGTGGAGAGCATTACAAGTACTGGACAAAAGGACTTTTCTTCTGATGAAGATGACTCATTTTATGCCAAGTACGATAAGGATGAACCGGTGCTGAGGGGTCCAATAAAAGATTACTCTCAGTAAGCAACTAATCTGTTGCCTGCATGTCATAAACTATGAAATTTTTCATGTGACATTTCTCTCATCTGTGTTGTCATCGTATTCGTAAAAGCTGCCTACGCATGGCTTTACTAAACTTTTCCGTACATTTATTCGCCCATAATGGAATACAAGTTACCAGTCTGGACCCTTTTCATTTGGGAAGGAGGAAGAGCTTATAAATGTCCATTTTAAAAATGATTTCCATTATTTTTTTGGGTTTAAATAATTTATTTTGTCCAACATAACTGTACAGTTATTTATTTATGACACCTTCAGCAAATCAGGGTTATTGAGGACACTATTAGACGCTTTCTTGTTCAAGTTGGTGCATTGGTCAGTCTTCTTACAAACTAATGCATTCACGGACTGATAAATTCATATTGTTCCCCTAACATTCTTCTCTCTGTACATATACATCATACATGAGTTATCCATGCACGTGTAGCTTGCTACTCTCTCCATATTTTATCTAGTACACGGACAATGAGGAGTCTTGACTGTGAATGCATGATTCATTCACGAATCTAATTCGAATGTTTTGTATTAACAGGTACAAAGAATATGTACAGGAGTATCGTGAAAAGTATGATTGTTACTCATCACTAAACACTCACCTTGAGAAATATCGGTAATATGCAAATGCTGTGTACATTCTTACAGTATCTTCTTTCCCAGTTTGTTACTTCTTTCTGATAGTTTTTGAGTAAGATGGTTTAATTTTGAACTCACTGTGTACATTCTACTTTATGCAGGAATGAGTTCTTGAAGGTTGGTCGTGATCTTGACATGCATAAGGGAAGAGACAAAGAAGCATATCGCAATATCTCAGAACAGATTTTGCAAATGTATCACCGATGCAGAAAGGTAAATATGAGTTAAAATTTACTATTGAAATCTATGCAAATGGAAATTATACATTTCTTCTTGAGCTCTATGTAGAAAAACTCGAAGTTCCATCATGTTGATGAGCTGTTCTTGCCTGTTGGCATGTAAAATCCTTTGCTTAAATATTTTAATAGGATTCCTCATTTATATCTATGATTTGGCTGTACCTTTTGAGTTAGCTGCATGAATGTGTTTGTTGGACATGATGTTAAAATCTTGTCGCTTGTATTTAGTGGTTTGAACATCACATGCAATTTATTGGTGTGGAAACCTTACCGCCAATAGGTTGTAACTTTGCAAGTATACGTTTTGGAACTTTCCAGAACTCACAAACCAACATTTCCAACAATTTCTGAGTAATTGGAATTTATTTGATTCTAACCCTTTATAAAATAGATGTATTCATCTACTTGTGGATACTATGTCTATTCTTCCTTGGGTTACCATAAAATGTCGATGAATTATAGATGCTTTATCTCATGACTATCATGGTTGAAGATCGGATCGTCATACATGAGTAATTATTCTCATATCCTTGGGTTTTCGGAACTTTCTGTAGTTTGAGTCCATTATTACAATGTTTCCTAATTTAAAGCTGTGCTTTTTCTCTTGCGAAATATAATTTTTTGTTGTTATCCTTATACGTTCCTGTTGTTCTAACACTACAGAAACACTCTCGGATGAAGAAAATATTTGTTGTTCTTCATGATGAGCTAAAGGTATAATCAGCTGTTTCTTGACTTCTATATTTTCTGGGGCGTAGTTTGGTTTTAAAGGTCATATTTTTTGTCTTCTTGCAGGCCCTTAAGCAGAGAATAAGAGATTTTTCGGAAGAGTACAGTAGAAATTGATTTCTCTCTTTATTCGCATCTCTGTGAGTTTTTAGTCGCCCCACTTTTCATTCTATCCTGGTTAAGATCCAATACTGCCTAATAAATAGCTCATAAAGATTGTGTTCTATTTCTAGCAAAATTCTTCACATCGGACTGCCAAGAACAGCAACGACTGCTTGTAATGGATAATCTTGCGCTAAAGAGTGTGAGGGGATCTGGTTTCCGCATAATATTGGCCTTAGAATATGGACAAGGGCTACTAAGAATTGTGGTGATGCCACTTGAAAGTGGGCTTATTGCAGTTCATCGTTGCCAACCATGCGAAGGTCACAGAACATTGATGTGGAAACATCCTTGAAGCGGCTGTCCCCTACCACTTTCCCAATTAAGCATGTTGGAGCTCTGGCCATGCTGAAGGCAAAGGGGTGAAGAGAAATCAACTCTTGCGAACGTCTGGTGTGATTAATGAGCTGTACAGTGTACAGGGATTAGGGTGAATCAAACCTGTAAATAAGATGGAGCAATTGTATCCTATAATCCAGCTTTTTGCCTCTTTGTTTTTCATGTAAATCTGGTGGAAAAATGTGGTTGTGTTTCCTGCCACTATCGTATTCAGAAAGGAATTTGTGCATAAATTGAGCCCAGAATTGAAATGTTCAACTCTTGATTCCATGCGTATGCTTTTCCCATGAACAAGGAAAGCTGGGCCGGTATATGAACTTGCCAGCTCCTGGTAGATTTAATGGTAGTGTTGGCAGTCAAATGATATCCTGAGTGTTCACAAATGGGTCTTGCATTTTTCTTACAGAGATTATGGAACAGCAGTGAAGATTGGTGGAAGCATTCTCATTGTCTCGTTGGTTGGTGAAACAATTTAGTCTTTTCTATCCCGTGCATTATGACTTTATTTATTTATTTTATCATTACTTACATAAAAGACTGAAAATTGTTGTGTTGTAGTCTTCATGTATGACTAACTCAACTAAGTCAACTATTGTCCATAAACATTGAATTACAAGGTAAAAAAATAATTTTATTCTTAGAAATGTTACAAATTTAAAAGTAGTAGAAATGATGTTTAAAACAAAATAGGGCCATATAAATCAGCCTGCATTTTATTGACAACATTTGTTTTAATAAATACATAAATAAGAATTTTCCATTCTTTTGAGAACTTTTTTCTTGTAATGCATCAATTTCGAGCTTGATGTTAGTTCGTAAGTAATTTGGGGTTAGATTGGGCTTAAAAAGTTTGATTGCTTTTTGACATGGGTTGACCTTTAATCCAACTCATATCAAAGAAAAATAGTAGTTGTCTTGCAAAGGTCAACTCTGCAATCAACCCTTTTGACAATCAACAAGTTGCTTTGGCAATTATTCAGCAAAATCAGAACGTTTGAGAAAGATATAAACGGCTGATTCTCATAAAAATGAAGGCCAATGGTAGACATTATCTTGGATTTCAAGAGTCTACCCCATAACTTTTGTGAGGTCTGCCCATTTTTGAATATCTCTATTTTAGTATAACAAAGGAAATTCAAATGCTTCCACATTCAAAAATTGGAAGTCGTAGAAGTTGCTAACTTTTGGAGGCTTTCTTGTTATGATGACAAAATATATGGAAAAGGTAAAATGGTAATTTATACTTTTAAACTTATGGTGAATACTTATAAAAATATTAGCAAATTAAAACTTTGACCCTCTAATACTATTTAATACTTTAACTTATGGTGAATAGTTATAAAAATATTAGTAGATTAAAATTTTGACCCTCTGTGACTATTTTTTTTGGAAACCGTTGCAAAACCCCCATGTCTTTTCTTATTTTTGTAAAGTGATACAATTGAGTCAACTCATTTGGTAAGAAGAATTACTATACTAATAATAGTTTAAAATAATAGTTTAATGTGATCATTACTATACTAATAATGGTTTAAAATAATGTTAAAATAATTTTTAACGTGATCATTTTAATCATGTCTAATCTTTATTTTATCTCTCAACAAAATCTTGTCTATATGTTGTTAGTTGTATGAACTAAATTGACTCACTTGATGAGAAGGTTATTAACACTCAGTGACTAAGATGCCATGTAAAGGAGAGTCAACTTACTAGGTAAGATGAAGTTTTAGTACTTAAAGGAACTTAAATAATATAAAGGTAGTGGGTTAACTAGTGTGGAAATAAAATTCTCAACACTTATAATGACCAAGATGTAGTATAAGTGTATAATGAAAATTTTATGTTACAATTATATTTGTATTCATTTGTAATATTCTATTACAATATTTTTATGTTACTTATAGTATTCATTTGTAATATTTCACAATTTTTTAGTGTTTGAGATATTTTTACAGAATTATTTTTCACCTGTGACAGGTGAGTTGACTCATGAATGAAGTTACATTATAAACTAACATTACTACACAGAAAAATTAGCACCATATGGTGAATTATTATAGTATAACAAACTAGTTTGACAGCTTACACATCCATTTTTTTAATATTTTATGGATGTCCTTGATTTGATAATTACAAGTGAAATTTTTATTGATAAAGTGATTACTAAATATGATGGTTATCTATATATGTCACAAATATATCTCAAATATCTGAATACAATCACCATGAAGTCAATAATATATGCTTAAAATTAAAATTTATAGGAATTTCTACCATGTCAATCTAAGGTTTAAAACTTTGAATTAATATAATTATACTATTCAGGCCTTGGAAGTATCAAATCATTAATTAGAGCTGTGGGAGATCAGTTACATAATAAGTATTACCAAAGGCCAATGAGAGACTAAAAGAGAAGAGAGAGAAATTAAAGATGTTGCAAGAAATAACAACAAAATACTAAAGTTAAATAAATAATAAACTAACTAACCAACAGTTGAGAAGGCACCATGACAGCTCATGAAGCTTTCGGAAGCTCAATCAAAGTATTAGCCACTGTTGTAAGATGATGTTAGAATCTTATTGTTACATTAGCTTAACACTAGAAAGCCACTGAAATCAGTCTTTTCACCAAATTTTGGCTTTGATTTTTATATCACTTGAGGCATATATATATATATCCCCAGACATGTTATGAATAGGGAGGAGGAGAAGAGAGATTAATCACCTTTTTACTCTTTACTTTATCAATCATGAGTTTTATTTTTGCAGTCTTCATTTCTATTTCAATTTGCTGCATGTTCAAACATATTTGTTTTGGCCTCTCAACAAGATAGATGCCTTATCCTTCTTTTTTTTTGCTGCATGATTGATGTCCTCGTGTGATTGACAATTATTCAATGGGATGTGATCATTTAAAGCATATAATCTACATTTTACTATTCATTCCATACATGTTTTCTCTTTTGGGTTCAATGTTTGAGTTCTAGGTGACACCTTAGGAGTATTTTTGTGAGTTAGTCTCTCATCCTATAATTGTTTGCTTCCCATTTATTTATTTTGATTACTAAATCATTTACAAGTCCGTAGACACTATCTTCATAATATTTCATTTTTTTTCAAATTTTTTTAATTAAATTATTGAAGCAATTCTTTCATTGACAGAACAGCTTTATCAATTGACCTTTTTACTTTCTTTTAATATGAATCTCTTATCTGAAACTAGTTGGTGATCTCATTCTTTATTCTTATGGATTGTAGGATAGGATTATTGGTGAACATTGAAGATCTTGAATCAAATAATATTTCTAATAGTTTGGGAAGTCAAATAAGTGTTGCTCCACTTGTGAACAAAGAATACTTGAAGTTTATTATCAAGAGTATGTTGATGCTCTAATTGTCTCCATCCTTGTGGATTGACCTGACAATCACTAATATTAAATAGTAATTAATAATATACAGCACATAAATATCTTAATTTAACACCCTACCTTATAAAGATTAAGGCTCATTAATTAATTTTTAATATGTGATGAAAAATATACTTTATGAGTGAAAATCTTATGATTTATGATAATATGTAATTTTTTTACCAACTTTTCTATATTTAGCTCTCAAGACAAACCCACACTCACATCCATATTGAATTAGTTAGATTGAAAAAGATACCAAATTTGGAATTTTTGAAACCTATTTGGTGAAATTTTCTATTGAAAAGATAACTTATTCAAAAGAAGCTCAATGCAATGTGGTTGAGATAGATGCATGTGACATCTTCTAGGGTAGACCTTGGTAGTGCAATATTGATGTCATGTATCATGACTAAGATAATGTTTATATGTTTTATTAGAATGGTAAGAAATTTTTATTAACCCATATGTAGGAAAATGATTTTAGCAATGGTGAAAAAGAGAGAAAAAAAGGTAATGTTGATGAATCAAAATGATTTTTTTAGTAAATTTAATATTTTTAATTTATTTTTGATGTTTTAAAATTTTAATTTAAAGTTAAAACTAGTTGATGTTATATCAAAACTTGTTCAAAATATATTATCTATTTTTTTATTATTCAAAATATACTTACTCATCATTCACCAATGTGAGACTATAAGATTGTATTGATTTAGTCCTTAGAACTAGTTTACTTAACCAATCACATTATAGAATGAGCTTGGAGGAAAGTTGACGTATTTAGAAATAAGTAGTGGAGTTATTAACAAAGTGATTAGAGGAAGAATGAGTTTGTGCTTTGTACCCACTTGACTAATTTTGGAAAAGGATAAAAGTTGACAAATATGCATTGATAAAAACACTATCAAAAAAATCACAATTAAAAAATATTTTCAATTCCACATCATGATTACATGCTGAATATACTTTGTGATTACCATCATTTTACCAAATATTTATTAAAAGTTTTAGTGCAATTATGACCTATGCCATTTAATATAAAAAAAATTATTTCAAGTGGACTGATGAAGTTGATAAATCTTTTGATTTGATTAAAAAAATTATGTTGTGCTTTAGTTTGAATACTTTTAGGTTTCAAAAGTTATTTAAAGTCGAATGTAACACCTCAATACTTGGGGCTATGTTGTCTTAAGAAGCTTGTCCTATAAC